GCCAGTGAAACCCGGCACGCTTTCTGGGTTCTAACAGCGTTGACCGGCAGTATACTGATATGCTGGACTCCAGCGAGGGTCATCAGTATTCTCACCGTCTACAGCAATGCAACGGTGCCGGAGGTTCTGCGAATAGTATTTGCTGATATCGTATATTCGTTGCAGCTTATCCTCGATCCCATTTTCTTCACGTTATCGTTGAGACAGCTTCGGGGTGCTATCAGGATGAATTTTTGCCGAAAATGCACTGGGTCTTGAAAATCGACGTGTTTTAAAGAACCTGCAGAGGGAACACTTGCTTTAACTAAGTTCATACTTCAGTCTGGATAAGTAAGCTTACGATTAGTAAAGTACACAATTTGCAGAACATTTGCTTGTTTGGTGCCTGCTTTTCGTAAAATTTCAGTTTCCAATAATAATGACACTGTACATACAGGCTACAGTGTATGGCTGCGTAGTGCATATTGGCGCGTACAGTAAAGTAAAAGTGGGAGCCGCTATCTGTGGTTTTAATAAAGTTTTATGGTACCCTGAAGAGTCTAAAGCGGTTAATTTTGTGTTAAACCATGTGAACGCGTTAAAAATGATACTAAAAATCATTAATAAGTTACAAGCGCTACGGTAGAAATTCAAATACGGATGGCTATACTCGACTAACGGTAAGTAGGCGTTCAATCAGAGATGTGCACAGATAAGAAAAAAATTAATTATTTGGGGTAATAGTACATCTTTGTTGCATGTACATCTTTATTATCAATATTATCAATAGATTCATATATCCTTACGTCCTTATTTTTTGGAAATTATCTCCTAAATGAACATTGATTTTTTCAAGAAGTTATTAATTTCATAAAATACAGGATCACACAAACGTTCCTACCATTATCTTTAAAAAAATCACAAGTTTTGGAGAAAGTCTAAATAAAATTTTTGAAAGTTGTAATACTTAAGGGTTTTTAGTACTTAAAAGACGTTAGTTTTGGAAATTATCTCCTAAATCACCATTCACCTTTTCAAAAGTTATTATTTTTATAAAATTGAGCATCACACAAACGTTCCTACCTTTATCTTTAAAAAAATTATCAGTTTTAAAGCAGTTCTTAAAAAAATTTTAAATGTTGCAGTACAGTACTTAAAATGTTGTTAGTACTTAAAGGTACTGTATTACCAAGTAAATTACTTATTTTGGCAATGCATGAGTACTTTACAGTACTCAGTACGTAAGTTTGTAGCAATTAAATGTAGTACTACTATCACTTAATCGCCAGCGTATTAATACAATATTAAAAGCTGTATTACAGTACTGTATACTGTACAGTATTACAGTTGTAGTACTGTACTGTACCATTGTAGTACTGTTGTAGTCTGTTTCGCAGCTTAGCAACCTAAACTACAGATCTGTGTATGTTATTTAAATTGTCAATTCCATCAAAATTATAACTTTTTTTAATTTTTGAAACCTCTAAGATGTTTTTAAAACATGTTCGAATACCTCAAAATAACTATTAATTTTTCCAAAGTCGGCTCTAAAGCTTTTACATTTCCAGAATGTCTAAATATTTCTAAATATTTCGACTCGGCCCCGCGCAGCGGGGCCGTTACCTCTAATTTTCTGAGCCTCCAGAGTTTCGAAATTTTAAAAACGTCTAGAAATGTCTGAGTACCTCAATATCTCGCGGTCTTAAGAGGTTTGGCCCGATACATAGCACCAAATTTGTATGTATCCACGGCAAATTCCGCTGTCGCGCGCTCCCAAACCCTAATTCTCATAACGGTCCTCATACTCATAACACTATTCCTAATTCAGAATTCATACTCAAAACGGCTTTCACAATCATAATCATACTTTGATCCTACCGGTTGTCATATTTTTGTTCATAATCATAACTCAAACCTTTACCGCTACTCATACCAGTGCGGTACTGCGCTTAATGTTATTAGTAAAAGCATTATATTGTTTATTAATCGTAAAAACCGTAATATTGACACTAAGTAGTAATAGCTGTTGCGCAAATTGTGCACCGTTCTTGAATTTTTTAAAAATTTTTTTTTGATATCTGCTTTTGTCCTGGCTAGCAACGATTAAACTGCGTTATTACTCTTCCTGTGTTCTACTGCTGTACAGTGTACAGGATGCTTTTGTCGAAATTTAGTTTTGTGGAAATGAAAAGTTAACAGCCCGTTCACTTTTTGTTTGGTGGAAGCTACGTAGTAAGCCCATTAACATTTCAGGTTTTTTTATCATTAGCACTAGTTTAAAAAATGGACGAAAGTGGACAATGGTAGATTTTCTTGCTCAGGTTTTATATGCAGATTAAACTACTTAGCTTTCGTTGCCCATTTCAAGTTTGCTGAAGTCATTTTGTAATGAAGCCATTTTCGAATAAATATTTTTTCGCTTCTAATTATGATGAAATAAATTTTACGAGTGGACGAAAGCGGGCGGTAGAGTAGACTTACATGAACACATAGTTGTAATTGAATATTACATTTTTGACACACCAGCATGAGTAATGGTTAAGATATGAGCTATAATTATGAATAAATCAATATGATGACCGGTAGGGCCAAAGTATGATTATGATGATGAGGGCCGTTATGAGTATGGATTCGGAATTAGGAGTAGGGTTATGAGTATGAGTATGAGAGCTGTTATGAATATTAGGTACATACCTAGCCAGGCAAAAAAGTGTCTAGGATTGCGCGACAGCGAAAGTTCCCGCGTATGTACCCGAATTTGGTACTATGTGCTGGGGCAAATCTCTTAATTGTCTAATTTATATGTAGTAATTTCTAAATATTAGGCCTCGTCCCCAATCTGTAGCGAATCTAGCTACGGTACAGGACACCACCGTCCCATAATAGGAGTTACGCGATACGGTATGTCGGTTCTCGCTTCGCATATCTGGTTATCAGTGCAAAGATTCGGGACGGGAGTATGCTGCATATCCGAATGCGTCCCGTATCCACAACTCTCAGATACGGTATCCTGCGAACCGCATCTCAGAACCCCTACCAACCCCGCGTCTCACATCAACCAAAAATTTTACGCGCGCTTTTTACGTATACCCTGAAATACAAAGAAAAACGATACGGTACGCGAAGCCACCTCCAGAGGTGGCTTTCCCTGGTATCTTTTTGTTGATGAGCGAGCATTTTTTAGTATTGCCATTGTGTGACGATTTCTTTTCGTGAGTTATTTACGTTTTATGAAATTTCTAATCATTTTAAAACTCAACTGAATGCACAAAAAATTGAAACAGGAAATGTGACCAGCTCAAAACAATAAAATTCTACCAGATAACAACAATTAAGTACTACAACATCATGCGGCTACAGAGAAGCGGAATGGTTTCGAAAAACAATGGTTTCGAAAAACAATTATTCAGACCGAGTGTGTTTTCGAATACGAAATTAGTTTGTATTCTTTACCACATAAAATACTGAATAGGAGCGCTCGGAAAATGAAGATCTAAATTTGCAAATTTTGATCCGTATGTACTACTTATGTAGCTGCTCTAACGATATTACTATACTGCAGCATGCTGGGCAAAATAAATAATTGCGCGGGTTGTGCGACTGATCTGACTCATCACCAGCTAAAAAGTAAGGACAATGATGCCATAAACTTTCAATCCAGGGAACAACATTTAGCAATTCAGACTAGGAACTAACTAGAATGAGGGCATAAAAACAGCACAAGAATACGCAAATACAGCGATACGGAGCCAAAGCTGAAGGTTCGATACAGGAAACAGAGAGCGAGCCCAGTTTCGATATGCGTAGCCTGTGCTGCATCTTGGTGGTGCGCACCAAATAGTGTCCCATTTTTGTACTGTAGCGAAACTAGATACGGTGCTGTATCGCAACGAGATACGCTTTAGAAAGGGGACAAAGCCTTTAAATATCTAAAAGCCGGCCCGCGGCCCGTTTACCGTATTCACTCACATGGCGGCTCTGTGATACTGGTGGTAGCTTGGGCATTCACTAACCTCGAAATCTAATAAACATGTATTAATTTTATTTTAATAAATACTGAAGAGCTTGACTGATGGCTGAAAAAATCTTACAATTAGTATCTAAAAATGCAGCCTGCAAGGACACCTTGGGCGATTGTTAACTGTTCCCCGCAAGTTTCCATTAATTCGGCGCTAAAAAAATGGTATTTTATGGGCATCGTGTGCAGATATATGACCCCACTCAATCCATTTTATCACCGTTAAAATATTTTCTGTGGTACCAAAAAATTCAAGTCTTCAGTTCGTTAGATCGGTAATATAAAGTTACATTAAAAACGCGATAAAGAACCATGAAAAAAGAAAAACTTACGGGGGCTTTCACAGTTTTCAGAAAATGGTCGAATTTAACCGGAAAGCTTGAAAAATTTCCGCATTTCCAAATATTTAAAATATTTTTGTAGCTGGCCTCGCTGGGTTTTATATTTGAAATATTTCTCAAAATCTTTTTTAATGCTTTACGAAGTATATTTTGTATTTCTTTGATTCTTCCATACCTCAAACACAACTGGTCGCGCGCTAGCGCGACCGATACTTGTACATCTTTATTGCAAATACAGGTTATGACTTTCACTTTACAGCACTGTAATATTATGCCAAATTGGTAGTTATGCCATTATATATAACGCTTGATGCATTAAATCCGCTTAAATAGGACATCACCCACGCACTAATGCATGGGTACAGGGCGCTTCGATGCTAGAATAAGTATAAAAATTAATGTTTTGCAGGTGCGTAACTTCGCAGTCACGTCGATTATGCCCTGCATAAATATAAATAAATAAATAATTGTTACTAATAATTATTGTGGTCACATTGAAGATCGTGTTCATCGAATGCCGACTCACGTTATGCAGTAACACGGCAGTGGTACAGTGACGTACACATTACACAGTAAGTACGTACTACATGCAATGCAAAAATCGCGCTTTCTACGGTGCCGGGTGCATCACTTTCGAAATTATTTCGAACCACTTCTGCGCTTGCCATGCAATCAGGTAATTTCTAGTTTGCAAAACGAGAGTTTCTGACTTCTTCCTGGGCTATCTTCAGACGGATTTCACGAGGCGATTCTAATAAACTAACTTGTAAGAAGCAGCAGATACGTCATATAAAAAGAACATCGTAAGTAGCCCAGTTAATACCGTGCAGTTGAAGGCTCTGTTATCTGCGATTGATATTCTTTATGAATCTATCTTGTACAACACGTTTTGCCTTTCACAGTTGGAACCAGATAATTTCGAAAACTTTCTGCACTGGAAATGGAGGAATCATGTTGTGGATTATTCGTTGCCGAATCGAATGAACCGATTCCGCTGACGGCAATTCATTACGAAGTGGATGTGAAAGGATTCGCCGGTTCTATCACCATCAACCAGACATTCAAGAACGTCGAATTCACCGATCTGGAATGCGTGTACGGATTCCCGATGAACGACCAAGCCGCTGTCATGGGCTTCACCGTGAAGATTGACGACCGCACTTTGACCAGCCAGTTCAAGAAGAAGGACGAAGCCTTCAAGGAATACAACGCCGCGCTGCAGCGCGGAGACGGCGCGTATCTTCTGGACCAGGCGGATCGCAGCGACGACACCTTCGTGCTGAGTGTGGGCAGACTGCCGCCCGGGAAGGAGTGCGTGGTTAGCATCAATTACGTCTGCACACTGGACAGCGTCAGCGAGACGAAGCAGCGACTCCTCATTCCCATGTCGCTCTTCCCGAGATACAATCCCAATCCGGAAAGCACGGTTGGGACAACGGCGCCGCCGGAGAAGTACGCTGCAACGGTGTCGTATAAAGCAGCGCTGGATGCCAAAATTGAAACCCTGGGTAAAGTTAAATCGGTGTCGTCCGTGTCGCATCCGATTGCTGTTATCGTTATCGGAGACAAATCTGTTCAGGTATGACCGTAAGAGTTAGCGGTATAAACTTACTGTGTTATCTCTATAGCATGATAGGAAATAATTTATTTGCTTATCATGAAAACTTTTATCCACTATCTATACTACAGATTCTTTGCTTATCTGTATTTTCCAGATTTTTTGCTTAATAACTTATTTTGTTATTTAATTATTTTTTGCGTTTTTATTGTCCCGACCTGGTCTGTACTCTGTACTATGAAATTCAGCAGAAATGCAAAAGCTTCTGCCGGTTTGTTACGCCCAATAACGAAAGCCGATTTAAAAGAATAAGCGGAAACGCTCTTTACTGAATTATCGTAGGAGACTAAGAGTAATTATTATTTTTAATTATTATAAGTATGCAAACTGAGAAAAGCTGTTACGCTCCGTGAATTCGTTATGACTGTATTAAAATGGCGTGGACCGTCTACCTGAATTGTACGTACAGGCCTGCCGGGCCAAGTTGGGACAGTTGCATAAAATAAATTATAAAACATTTGTAACCATAGTTTTACTTTTATCCTTTAACATTGTTGGTGTAACTTTTTATTGCAAATTCAGAACTGTCAAAACCGGTAAATTCAGGTCTGCAAGTCGCGAGCCAAGCGGAGATTTAGGGGACGGGGTGATGGTCTGTTTTAGAGTTCTTATAACTGCCCTTTAGAAAATTCACCGATCAATATTTTCTCGTGGACGTTTTTGAAATCTAATGAGAGACCCACAAGGTGCCCATCACAAGTTGGGAAAAGAATTGTGCTCAACCAGTTCTCGCGGTCGGTACGAAATTAGGAATCACTCCCATAGACTACTATGTTATAACGAATCTTCGGGTGAACAGGGTTGCCTAGCACACAAAGCGTGGTAACCTCGAACTGATATTTTCCAGGGATGACACATGGATCACATCATTCAGATTTGGTGTTTTGACTGACATCCATTGCACAGAACGGGAGATGGTTCCGTCGAATAAGTGGAACAAAAAGCCAACAAAGCTACAGATAAAAAAAGTTATAGTTGATCTTTGAACTTTCTGGGACGGAGTACCCCGGGCTTATTGCGAGAATAGCGAGACTTAAATCAACACTGTAAACCTCCTAAACGAGATTTTACCAAAACAATTTACATACGGCACCCTGCTACTGTACAGCGAGCATGCGGAGGAGGTCATCCTTCAGTTTTCGGGTACCAGCAGTCAGACTGCAAAGGTCACCCACACCTGGCGGAAATCGACTGGTATATATATGGAGCAATTCGCAAGAGTACTGCATCGCGAACAGTTTAAAGTTACCAATTTGAGATTATGACACCAACAGAATTTTTAAACAAATTCTAAATGGGAAAGTGGCTAATAAAATCGATGGGTCGAACCACATTTTCCAACTAGTCTGCTCTAGTTTCCATCTCACTGTAATTCGAAACAAGCTTCCAGAATAGAAACTTTAAATGCAAAAGATGTTGGACACCCATAGAGATCATGTGAACATTTAATAAGTTTAAATTTGGTGTCGGATGATTCATGGAAATTTTTGAGAAAAACTGTCCCAACTTGGCCCGGCAGGGCTGTAGTATTTTAATTCTTAATAGTGATATCAGTTATGCGAAGCTCCTGTCTGTGAAATACATGCTTGTCGGTGCGGTAGCATAGTGGACAGTCTTGGACACCATGGTTTGGTATGCAAGTTAGCGAAAGGAAGACACGGTGTCCACGCTGCCTTGAACGAAGCAACCAAGCGGGCGCTCAGTTCGGCAAAAGTGCCATCGTCACTCGAGCCGGCGGGTCTAGATAGAGGCGATGGAAAGCGGCCCGACGGTGTGACAGCCTTTCCTTGGAAAAATGGAAAGCCGCTGGTGTGGGATGTAACCGTGGCGGACACATTTGCCCAAACGTACATCGCACAGACGTCCAGAGTGCCGGGTAGTGCAGCGGAAATACGGGAAAACCGGAAGTTAGGAAAGTATAGCGGGCTGGCAGACCGTTACATCGTCCAACCGCTGGCGTTCGAAACCACTGGTACATTCGGTCCACTGACGAAGAAATTCTTCAAGGAACTATCGAGAAAGATTATCGACAGTACAGGCAACCCCCGCTCAGGAGAGTTTTTACGCCAAAAAATTGGTATTGAGATTCAGAGAGGAAATGCAGTTTCTGTTCTCGGTACATTTAGTGAAATGGTAGAGAAGGAAGATGTGTACTTTGCCTTTCATTTGGCTGAACGGAAATGATGTCATGTTCTCTTTTGTTAACTGATACTCTGGTATTACATTTCCCAACACGAATCGCTAATAAACAAGTTCCATCTTTCAAAAAAAAAAGTTATGCGAATCAATTTCTTGCACCCATTATTCTTCCTTTCTGTAAAGGCATTCATCTAACTTTTTAATCACTCCTTCAATCGTATTAAACACTTTTTTGTAAAATAGAGGTAGTATAACTGTATGAGAATTGGAAGAATTGAGATTTATTTGTTCTAAATAACTTTTACTTTCCTTCGTGCATGCATAAACGTTGCTTATTTATTTTGAGTAAATAGTACTTAATGTGTAATTAACAAGTGCCTATCCTGCTCACAATTAAATACTTGATAATTATTATTAATCATATTCTTCGTTGATTCTGGAATAGTAATACGTATTAGCATTGGTTAGCTAGGTTTTTGGGCATTAAACTGTTCAAATATTTGACTAGCTTTTGCTTCCCATTTATTAATAAGACTACGAGTTCAAGTATCTGAACTGTGCAGGTAACATTTCTAAACGGCCAAAGCACATAAAGCGCATTTTAATAGAAATAAACAATTTTTCAGTGCTTGTATCAGCTGTATGTACTGTACATTATGCGCATGTGTACTGATAGCTTTAACAGTCAGTGCTTAATCCCTCACTAACGTCTACAGTAATTACTGGTTGCAGGTCACTTTCGGTACTCAACAGCAACCGGTTGATCGCGACCTGGTAATCGACATCGAGCTCCAAAACAATCCTCAACATCACGTCTTCGTGGAGCGCGTCGACGGTGATCAGTATGTTGGCATGTATTCCTTCATCCCGGAATTCGAAAAAGGCGACCACAAAGTGCAAAGTGAGCTGATCTTCCTCGTGGACTGCTCCGGATCAATGGGTGGCGATAGAATTGAAGACGCGAAACGAGCGATGCAGATTTTCCTTCGCAGCATTCCAGAAGGGTGCTATTTCAACTTTTACCGGTTCGGTAGCAGTTATGAATCGTTGTTCCCTAAAAGCAAGCTGTACGCCGAAAATACGTTTAAAGCAGCACAAAAGTATGCCGATGCCACGTCTGCAAACTTGGGAGGCACGGAAATCCTGGAACCGCTGAAGAAGATTTTTGCAACGGCTCCCGTTTCCGGTTTTTCTCGGCAGTTATTTGTTTTGACCGATGGTGAAGTTTTCAACACGGAAGAAGTCATTAATATTGTCAAGAAAAATGCATCCAGTTCCAGAGTTTTCTCGTTCGGCATCGGCGACAGCTGCAGTCGCTCATTGGTCAACGGAATCGCGTTAGCCGGCAACGGAAAATCGGAATACTGCAAACATGGAGAAATCCTGGAAGACAAAATCGGCCGTCATCTGGAACGAGCGTTACAGCCTGCCGTTGTGCAAGCGAGTGTTTCGTGGGAAGGAGTTAAAAATGTGCAGCAAGTGCCGTATGTGCTGCCCCCCGTCTTCCGCGGTGACCGGCAAATCGCTTACGCATTCTTCGAAATGGGAGATACTGAACAGACCCCAAAAGTCGTTTTGCAGTTGAAAGACCAGCTAAAGAATGAAACAGGTTTTGTATTTCCCATCGGTGCTGGCAAGGATCAAGGTGTTGCAAACTTGGCGGCGAGAGCTTTAATTAAATATCTGGAAACCACTCCCACTGAGACATCATCATCCATTAATAGCGGATCGCTGCAAAAGCGAAACGTTGAAATGCCTGACACAAAGAAGGAAGAGACTGATACAGAATCAGATTCAGATACCGATACGGAGATAGATACTAATAAAGATGCGATAACGGACATTTCCTTGAAATACGGCGTAATGTCGAAGTATGTTTCGCTGTTGGCAATCGAAAAGCGAGAAAGCGGAAAAGCCAAGGAAATAGAATTACGAGAAATTCCTGTCCAGGTACCTATGTCGATGTCCCATAGGCCGATGTGGAGGGGTGGCGGTGGGTGTGCCGGAGGCGCGCCTCGCAGGATGTTGGCAACACGTGCATATGGCGGACCCCCACCTCGCAGGATGCTGGCAACCCGTGCGTGTTCCCGAGGTGGCGGTGCTGCAAAACGGGCCTGGCCTGTGCCGGCCACAGGTGGTGTGCAAAAGCGTGCTAGAAAAGGAACAAACAATGCTATGGAGTGCGACGACGCGGATACGGAATCCAGCGATGATTTCGATGATGAAAAGGCGGAAATGGAATCCAGCGAGGACTCGGAAGACCAGGAGGTGGAGAAGAAACGTATGCGAAGTGGGGATGCGCCGAAAAAGCGGAAATGGTTGGGCGCACTCGAAGATTGGTCCGACACCGATTTTTCGGAAGATGAAGAGCCGGACGTGATGGACGCTACACCGAAGCCGGTCCTGAATCAGGTGTTGGATCTGCAGCAGTGGAACGGCAGCTGGGAGTTTTCGGGAAATTTGGAAAGTAACCTGGGCGCTACTAAGGAGGCTGCGGAAAAAGTAGCCGGGGAGAAGATGGATTCTGCTGTATTGGCCACCCTGCTGGTGGTGGCCTATCTAAATGCCAAACATGCCGGTCAAGTGCACATTTGGCAGGCCATTGCTAACAAAGCACTGACGTTCATCCGGAAACATATTTCTTCCGAGCAGGAAGAAACCGTGTTGAAAGGTTTGCAGTCTCTGTTCTAAGTTTTGTTCTAATTCTAAGTTCTAATTCTAAGTTCTAAGTTCTAAGTGTTGAAAGGTTTGCAGTCTCTCTTCGAAATCTGTTTATTCCTTCTGTAATAATTTTTTCTCATCACGAATATTCGTTTTTTGGCTCACTATCTGTATACTTGGGAGTTTTTGTGGGGTTTTGTTTAAAGTCCAGTCCTATTGTAGCGGGTAATTAGTTTACTCTGTAATTCTAATCATAATGCAATGTCCATTGTCCAGCATCATACTTTTCGCTCGACGTGTGCTAGACTGAAATCCGTAGTTTGTTAGCATTCTTTATACATAATATGACTTCCTACTTGTGTTGTGAACTCCTCTCTAATAACAAAATTGCATGCATGCGTAGACAGCGTAGTTACGTTAGGTGCAAAAGTAAATTACTCTGTACAAGATCGTACTAACACGTGTATCAATGAAAATCTTGTGAGCTAATCGCCATTTTTATTAGGATCTTTTTTATTACTTATTAAGCCGGCTAATACATCTCCAATGAGGAAAAGCGTGTCAAAAGTTAGCGAAAATAATTAAAACTAATTCAGTTTTCTAGCTGTCATTGATAACGGCTCAGCAGCCAGCCAGTACGTTGTGATCGAGCCCTTTCCCTTGATTTCAATGGTGCCACGCTTTTCGGTTTCAAGTTCTGGAAAATATTCCTTCAGTAGAGTACAAGTGCTTTCGCTGATATGAATACGCGAAACGTCGCTGTACATCAGCATCCTTGATGCGGTATTCACGGTGTCGCCAAACCTGCAGTAACAAACAGAGAAATTTTTATTAACCGATTATTATTTGATATCCACGCGCCTTAACTATTATTCCTTGGAAACTATCCGTACGCAGCTGTTGCCGGCAGTTACAGTCTACAGATACCTTAGCTGGGAATGTGTAAATAAACGATAATGTAATTCCGGTATGATCCTGATATTTCACAGTTGAAGTGCTGTATTGAGTGAGTGTATTCGTGTTTTAAAAATTTTTTTTCCACAATAGGTACTTAAAAAATTCTTACAGACAATAGCGTGGAGCTTTAAGACCCACGACACCGGCAGCACAGGAGCCAGTATGTATTCCTGATTGAAGAGAGGTTCCATCAAACAAAACACCGAACGCAGAGTACACATCTAGCAGGCTTAGGGCAAGTTCGCAGATTTCTTTCCCGTGAGCATGTCCGTTTCTCATAGGTATGCCGCTGACAACCTGCACAAAGAACCAAAAACTCGTTACTCGTATTTTCAAGATAAACAATGAATCCTTACCATGTAAGAATCTTTTATAGTCTCAACCTTGTAAACATCGAAACGTGACAGGACCGAGTCGAATGCTGTATAAACCTGCAGAAACGAATTTTGCAGTACACACCGTCATCTGGAAAGAGTACCTAATAAAATAACAAATAGATGGAATTGTAAATTTATACATAATATCGCAAAATTTACTGCTGGTACAAATAAACTGCACCAGAAGTTCAGAACAAAGTGAACATCACACGGTTTGATCCGAACTGTTACTGTACATCATTCAGGAACAGCATAACGAAGGCCGGTTTGCTGTTTTTCACAATCTCTTTGAATCCCCCGATCTCCCTTCGACGAATTATATAGTTACTTTAGAAGGAAAAAATTTGACAACTCGTAGATACAGCTTACGTAAAAAGAATAGTTGCTAAATCAAACGTTTCCGGCTCCGGCACGGTTCCCTTCCGCAGTAACTCGATATGTTTACTAATTAGAAAAATGTGCGGTTATAAATATTACTAGTTATACTGCAATTTAACCGCAGATATTCGCAAAAGAATTATTAACGATCATTACGCTGGCAGCATTTCCCGCAACAATAGATCGCATTTCCGTTGTTCGTCTATAAGTGCAGTTGTCCTCACAGCAACTTGGTGATCGAGCTCCGTGGTATAGTTTTCTAATCGGCGAATAATTCGTTCGAGTAGGTGCGTATCGTCGATACGACCTCCACTTAATCCAAGGGCTACCGTGACCTTTCGCGTTAAACTGTTAACATCCGATGTTGCCGTGGCTGGAGATCCCTCCGCGGAAAGTTTTAAAATCGGTACAACTTTAGAAAATTCGGGCGAAAATGAATCTGGAGATGGTTTGTCGGGAGCTGATTCGAATTTCTCTACAATGATAGTAAATACTTTGTATATAAATACTTTGTAGTAAATACTTTGTATATAACTTTAACCGCGTAAGTTTCTGTTCGAGTGTTTCAACGAAAAACGTTTGTAGGGTTACAAGTGTGTAATTCGATATTTAGTGCATGCGTTCGTACCTAAGCTGGCGAAACGATCATCAACAGTGATTACGTAAAGCAAAATAATGCCCACCGCACGGATGTCACGATTGCGGTCGTCAGTGGTGTCGGTGGATTCCTGCCTGATTAGCTTCCTCAGTTGGTTAAAACCTGCTTCACCGATCTTCACGGTAAAATGTTTGTCAACGTAACAGCAGTTACTGGACAAATTTCCGTGGTATCGGATTGCAGATTGTACAATTGCCCTAACACCCTAAATCAGACGTGACAAGTTACACAAGGCAAGAGTTATGCTGCCAGTAGGTTTAGTCGATAGATATTTTGCTATTTCTACTCACTTTAAGAATGTCAAATATTAACGCAATTTGCAAATCAGAATCCAAAGTCACTTGAGGCAGTAATTTCGTGAGGGCACCGCGTTGAACGAAGTCGCTGACAAAGGACACATGCCATCCACTATGGGAAACGGTTAACCCGAGAAATCGATTTACGTTAGGATGATCGAGGCGGCGGAGCTGCAACGGTATATTTCTGTTAACGCTCGCAATAAGCAGTTTATTATAAGGGTACCCTTATAGGCACCCCCTAAAACCCCCGTTTATTATAGGCACCCCTTTTCACACCCCGTTTATTATAGGCACCCGTTTTGAATTAATAGGAATAATAATATTAGGTGACCACTCCGTACACACCCTTTCACATCCTTTCACTCCGTACACAACCTTTTGCACTCCCTTTCATTCCGTACACAACCTTTTTGCGCTACCTTTCATTCCGTACACAACTTTTAATTTTTTTAATTTTTTCACAGCAGAGTTTTTGTTGTAGTTCTGCTTTTCTGTAGCAATATAGATTACAAGTATTTAAGTATAATATATACAGCCCTGCTCCGCCACACGCGGGCAGTAATAAAATTCCCCTGACTTGGAATGTTGAAGTGTACCATTTAAACTTTATTTTTGTATGATTGTCCTTGCCCTTGTCTTATAGCAACTTTCTAAAATATGTTTCCAGGCAAGAAGGGAAAGAGCAGGGAATGAGAGCAAAAGTTTACTTTAATTTATCTCGAAAAAATCAGGTTGCTTATCAAGAAATAACTGTGTCTGATCAATAATATTTTAAAACTCCTAGACGAATGAAAGCCAGCAAATGGCAACGTAGCTTTCTATTGGTCCCTTTCCAACTTCCCTTTAATCCTTAACATCATCTCTACAACTCTTAGTTCTCCTGGCATGCTTATTCTTCGGAAGGTACCGTTAACCATACAAGTCTATGGGAGATAGATCTTGTTTTGGGGTCACCTCGAGCACTGGTAGCGAAAGGTACTTTTGTTAACCAGTAACAGGTACCTTTTGGGCGTGTCAATAATTTACAAAAAGGTCAACCCGAAAAAATTGGTTGCTGAAATTGCTATGGAGGCTAGTATACGCATCTAAAAAACGACCGCTACCCCCTCCCCTTAAACACGGCTTGGCTCGCTACTGACACTTCAAAAGATCTCAATTTTAGTATCTCTGAATCCGCAACAAAAAGTTACACCAGAAAAATGCAAAGAAAAAAATTAAACGGCGGACAGAAGTATTTTTAAATTTATTTTGTGCAACTGCCCGCGTGTGGCGGAGCAGGGCTGTATAAATATATATAAAAGTTTGGTAGCGCACCGAGTGAATGGTAGTGCGCAAAAAGGTTGTGCAAGGAATGAAAGGGTGTGAAAGGGTGTGTACGGAGTGGTCACCATAATATTATGTAAACGGAATATAATTTACATATTCCAGAAATTATTCTAATCATTTTATACAGTTACTATGACCGTAAAAACTTACTTTGGACAAAAGTTCAGTGCAATAGGGTTATACATACATATTACATATGTATCAATAATTTTGTTCTCAATACCGGCAAATATCATATTATGGCGGGTTAAAACAGCCCTCCGGCGTCGGGGCCATCGGAAGCCATAACTGATTTAGTATTCCCCTCACTCGACAATGTCGTTGACCTGAAGGACGAATACCCTTCATTTGAAGAACTCGAGAAAGACTTTAAGACCTATCAGGAAGCGACGTTCCAAACATTCATAATACGACGGTCCGAAAAGTTCAAGAACGGAGAAAATCTGGAGCGGTCCCTTAAGTACAGAAAGATTTTCTACGAATGCGTGCACCACAGAGAATACGAAAAGAAGGGCGTTGGCGCTCGGACATTCACTCATAGCCGACGAAACCAGTGCCCAACTCGCGTCAGGCTTGCAGCCATCATTTGCGGCCACGTCCTACGATATTAGAACGAGGAATGGGCCATTACCATCCATTAACAGCAAACAGGTGGAAAAATCTACCGGAAAATCGTCGCCTTAGCCATGTTCAGGCTGAGAAGGTAGTACAAATGCAGAAATCATTCATCCCTGCACAGGCAATTCAATGTCAAATTGCTTAAGAGACCGGCAAAGCTGTAACAGCCCAAGACATCCAAAATGTCCGCAACTAAGCGGAAAAAGTGGATCGTGGTGGACGTACGGAAGGGGGAATGGTTAATCACGTTTTAAACGAAATACGTGTGAATATCACTATCATTACATCTCAAATGCAGAAGAATTACCGGGACAGTCCATCTTTGTGCTTTATCGACGGAACATACAAAATCAACGCCGAGAATTATTCTTGTTCGTTGTTGTCGTGCAGGACCGACATGGAAGAGGAAGGCCGGCGGCATTGGGGCTAATGTCTTCTGAGAAGGTTGTAAACCTGGATGCTTTTTTCCAGGCATTTAAAGCGTGTCACACAGACTGGAAGTAGCTTGGTGACAGTTGGTGTACTTAACTCGATCGACGCCAGACAAAATTTTTGTACTATTATCCGAATAAATTGCATTACTACCTGAGAATACTGAATCTGTTATATATAATTATCATATTAATTTAAAAAGGGTGCCTATAATAAACGGGGTGTGGAAAGGGGTGCCTATAATAAACGGGGGTTTTAGGGGGTGCCTATAACGGTTTCCTTATTATAATCTATAATTAATCCTAGTGTGCACATTTGACGATAAGCCGCTTAAGATTATAAATGCTAATTTTAGCCACGGTCTACGATCAAAAATATACCATAAGAACGTCTTTTACATCCAAGAACGCAAAGATCACTGCAGTATAGTTTTGCATGAAGCGAAATATTTATGAAAAAGTCGGTTTCCAAATACGTACATGGTTTATCAACAGCAGTGCACTTGGACTAGGACGAAATGCCTGAATTGTCGACGGAATAGATAACTTGGTTGCAGCAGTAACCCAAACCAGTTGGTCGTTTACGTATTTCATTGTCACATTCTTTTCATTGCCAATGATTTCCTAATGATTAAGTCTTTATTAAAATTAGATACGGCTAATTTCGAGTCCTGGTTAATGCCCAGTTTTCTTACCGATAGAGTTTTGGGAACGGACACTTGGTTTGTGTCACCAACTGCACGGAGATTGGTAGAATCGATTCTCCATGAATCGTTGTTCAGAAGTGCATTGTTTGCTGTGCGCCTATGCGAATTGGTTGAATAAGAAGAATTATGCAAAACTCACTTTTGCAAAAAATCAGAGGGCTTTCGGGCCGTTTTTATCAGTTTAAATTTTAAGAGGTAAAGAAACGATTTTTCTGTAATTACAGTGAATTAAAACCTAGTTAATTAATACGGTTTTCAAAGTACTAGAGTAGTAATTCTTGTGATCAGTAGCTAGCAGTTTTCGCTTACAACTGAGGACCGTTTATTCAGATTTCGAAACACTTCAACCACAATGTACAAAAGTTTAATGTAGGCATACCTTGTAAACATGAAAACCACACAAGTTAACAGTATGATCAAGGCAACAGCTCCACCACCGGAACCAATATAAAGGTCGGTATTCCCTGTCAAAATTAATTCGTGTTAATGTCATGAGAGAAAGTAGTCAATTCTTGGGTTTTATTAGTTAATTCTTAGTAAATCTTTGATTTTCCTTTCATCTACAGCAAAACATTTTCAGATGAAATAATTGCGGAAATGAGCTCATTGTTAATTTTGCATGCAGAACAATAACATTAACCTTTTGGGGTGCACAAGGGCGCATCACCCCGAAATCCACACTTAGGTTCGTTAAGTGGTGGCCATGTGCCCGGCCACTGTGGTGGATTAACAGCGTGCAGACGCAGATCAGCAGGGTCTTGTACGAAAAGTGGCTACAAAGAACTGGTTACCGGTACCACCCCGTGCACTGCCGTACACGATCGCTGCATGGAGCCAGAACATGTTCCTATTAAATATTACGTCGTACCCGAATTTGTGATGTGTTCCAGTCAAGTTGATTTACTTGTACAGTCGGAATTCGCTCGCCGAGCGGACCAATATAAAACCGTCCTACATCCGTCTCAAAAGAGCGATTCAGAAACAGTTTTGCGGTTTCTCTTCCTGATGACCACATCTCACACGCGTTGGTAGAGCGCAGGTTCTCCATAACCTTCATAAATCCGCTCGTTAGTGGACATCGGTAATTGGTTCTTTTGCGTACAGTTTCCAGCCGAGACAAAGGGCATGTACCTGCGCCAGCATCATCATGCCGGCATACGTAGAAGCCGGATGTGGACTGATCTGGTTGACACAGAACACAGTATATAATGCATTGCCGTTAATCTGCTGCTAGCCAAAAATTTTTCCGCGTGATATGAGTGGATAATAGCACGCAATCATCACTGTCGGTATTTCAGCCTTACCAGCTCGTAAGGCCCGTAAGTATAGTTGTATTTAGTTTTCGACAAATTCCTCATTTCTAAAGAAAATGAATCCGAACCATCGGTTTGACCATAAACTGAGCCATCTGGTTCGATAATCAAGACAGATCGGTAGGCGAATCGAACGACCTAATAAAATGCCGGTAATAAAATGACACAATCATAAAAATACGTGAGCGTTAAATTGGTGGCGGTGTTGGCAATCACCATGCATACGAGCTAATATGCAGTGCGCTAATAATGCAGTGCAAATATCAGGGGTCCAAGCTGAATAAATTTTAACAAAATTGTAAGTTTAAATATCGATTTGAACCTCGTCATCTTCATCGTTTTTCTTCCAGTGCAGGTACCCGGGCTCGGAGCTCAATCTAAAAGGCGTACCGATGACGTAAACCTGAAAGTTAAGAAAACTATTTTTAATGATTGCAAGAGCAGTCAAGCAACTGTACTGGAACCCGGTTCGGCATACATGTTCTCCGTTGGTCGAATTCAGTTCTGTCGCTTTCAACTGCGAATGTATAAAAGCAAAGATCACGAAACTAAGAACATACTAGATGTACAACACCTGTTACAGAAATGAAATGAAACTGCGCTTCAGTATACCAACAGTTTACGAAATCCATTGGGGTCACCCAAATAGAAAAACACTGCAACAATCACACCCGCATATCAGCAAACACGAATTTTGCAGAACCTTGCACTATATATTCAAAAATTAATGCAACTGAGCACAGTATATACCTCTTGTAAGAGAATTCAGATGTAGAAATATCTTTTTAAAGTCCACATCCTCTTTCGTATTAATATTTTCGCGATGCACTTGCCTCCCGGGAGCAATTTGAGGATACAGGGATTGGGCAAGCTGCGGGAAGTACGGATTGCCACCGTTATCCACGATTATGGCGAAAGAGGTCCAGTTGAACATTGAGACAACATTGACATAAATATTTACGTATGTCGACATCGAGAGGACAGTAATTGTTATCCAGGTTGGCGCTAATCGCTTTTTGCGCAGATCAGGCACGTTGCTGGCAGTACTGTAAACCAGATAAAAAATTTTTGCCAGAGCTTGCCCGTATCTCGTCCTACCAGATAACTTACGGATGCTGTTAAAAATTACCTGGTGAGCATGAAAAGATCTAGTTCCCTCGCTATGGGATTAACCTCTGCAACTTCGCTGCACCCTGAAAAACCGAACCAAAACCATATGCATGTCCATTATGCCAGTCTGACAGTATCTCTGAACGCTGCCTTAGTACATGCGAAGAAACAAAAGACAGTTGGTCTGGAATCGGTGTTCTGATGCAGGTACTGCCGTACTGGAGATGCTACTTACCAGCCCACATTAATACAGTGGTAGAGCAGGGATCTGACTCAGAGCGCTGGTATTTTTTGTCTACGTTGGCTGTGACCTTATTTACGCCATCTGCTTGGAGATCCTGACAGCTACGATAAGACTTTTCCCAAAGGATTGTCTGCGTCACATTCAAAGATGGATACTTTTGACGAATATCCTGTAATCCTTTAATATATGCCGGTCCAAGATATGGTAAAGATCCAAGCAAAACTGGGTGTATAATTGCCAGAGTGACGATTTCAATGTCCAGTATGCTGCATAAAAAAGTGGAATTGGCTGTCGTGGAATCTTCCATTTTTAGGTAGTATAACAAAAATACAATTGTGCTACCAAGCTCACTGGTAATACATAAAAATGAAATACAGAAAGTTTCACTGAATCCGATATTAACGTACGTAGTATACTTCTACTGCAAGGGGAATGCAACGATCGGGCGAATGCAGCTCAAGTAGCAATCCACTACAGTACAACGTAACATCGAACCGATCAAAGACAAAAAATCGTTAAAAAACGGCCAAGCATTGCATCGAAATTCTGTATAGGGTGATATCTCTGGTGCAATAGATGTAGTGCAGTAGTGGTATGTTCATATCAGTACACAGCACAGCCGCTGAAAAATTGAAAGGTCAATACAGCGCTATCTGGACCCCGACCCAGAGAACCATGACGCGGCTGGCTCACCTGGATGATGCCGAATGCCAGGACAGTTATAGGGTTGCGCAGGGCTCGTTGCTGCAGGCGGGTCATGGTGAGGAAGAGAGTTGTTTGATGGTGGCATTTCTCTGTTGGATGTTGTTTTTATAACCCACTCCAGCAGCTGCATCTCCACCTTGTCACAAATTGTAACGGATCATTCGATCTTCGAATCGTAATGGATAGCGGCAAATGACAATGGTCTCGTTCCGTGTACAATCGTCCAGAGAGCATTGTATGTGAAATGACTGGTATACTGTACTACGCACGCGGATTGCTTTGATCGTCATTTGTCACGACCAGCTTATAATTATAGGTACATCGCTATCATTTGCCACCTCCTCTGATATTGCAATTTTCATCATTGCGTATTATTACTCGTAAATACTGCTTGTCGCACTACTAACAAATAACAATTAGTAAACATTAATTCAGATACAACATTAATTTTAAGCGATGACTCTACGGCAGCAGCGTACGGATAAAAGCCGATTCCAATGCCGATTATACCTCTGAAACTCTTCTGCCCTGATAAACTTTAAACAAATCGGAAACTTTAAGGCAACAAACCAGGAAGGACTGTAATAGTCAATCAATGAAATCTGCAGTAAACAAAAAACGACACTGTAAAATTAAGGTTTCGGATCAGTGAATCTTTCAAAATACCACAACATACAGCCGAAAAGCAGTATTGAGTATTGCAATTTTGCATTGTGACAGTGTCAAGTTAGGAGTAAGCAAATCATTTTCACACTCTCCTGCATTTCGTCATGCAACGCATTCGCATGTTTTGCACTGTGATCAAGCACTTCTCATCCTATTAGTGCCATCATGATCACTGAATGAAATTACGTTGTAATATTTACTAAAACAGTATTATTTGCTTATATAGATAGTAAACAGTTCGCATCCCCTAGAGATTCATTTTGGCAGTCGCTTAATGCAGCTCTGTGCAGTTTTGAAAGTGCAGGTTCATAAAATGTCGCGGAATGCTATTCAATTGTTTTCTGGATCTGTTCAGTCTTGCATGCTACGGTAGATGTTGGATTATAGAAAGCTATGGGCACCGAGAATATCATAGCACAGTATGTTGCGGAGTGAGCAGCTATGAACAGTCAGAACATGCCTTCGAACTTTTCCAATACGAGTTCCTTTGATCCGATCTCAAGTGGACCTTCCATATTACTTGGGATTTTTGCCGCAGTCAAGCTTTTGCTAAATGCATACCCTTTGTTCCTTTTCCTGAGCAACCGCAGTTTGTGCACGCCCTTCGCTGTTTACCTGATTACCCTTTTCCTATCCAATATCTTTATAACTTTGGCGGATCCTTTCCTTATTATGGAATCTCTACAGGTGCGTTGGTTTTTCACATCCGCACTGTGCAACATCAAGATCTACATGGACCACTTAGGAAGAGCCCTTATCCTGCACGCGCACCTTCTAATCACACTAAACCGCATTTGGGCGTTGACCTTCCTCTCAACTATCGCAACCATCATTCCATGAAGACCGCAGTGATTATCAGCTGCTTAATGCTGGCCTATTGTCATTTGCTCTTGTCACCTTTATTGCTAACCGATTTTCTGTATTTTCGGCCCAATATGCTGACTGTCACCGAATGTGAGGTGGTAAGCGAAGCCCAGCCGACTCTGCGCAGATTCTTGCGCATTTGGATTAATACGATGCCGGTACTGGTGATTTTCGCAGCGTATCCGTATTTATTGTGCATAAGGAGAAGCGTTGGCGTCGGTAGATTACAAATTCGTCAGTCTGTCATTACTGATAAGAATTTCAATGCTAAAAGCGTTAAAAGGGAAACCAGCGAAACGCGGCACGCTTTCTGGATTCTAACAGCGCTGACTGGCAGCATATTGATATGTTGGACTCCTTCGAAGGTCATCAGTATTCTCATCCTGTTCAGCGATGTAACGGTGCCGGAAGTTTACCGAATGGTATTTGCTGATATCATATATTCGTTGCAGCTCATCCTCGATCCCGTTCTCTTTACATTATCGTTAAGGCAGCTGCGGGGCGCTATGAGATTCGCATATGCCGAATGTGCAAAGGCTCGTGAATACTAATCCTTTAAGATATCGAAGATAATCCTAATATTACGGTTAGTTGATAGGTGGTAATTAGTTGGATAAGTACTTTAAATATTTGTTAAGTTCCTGCAGCCTGTTTTTATGTGGTCTAACCAGAAGTTTCGTAAAATTTCAGTTTCTGTATTACCAACAATATAACTATAATAATAATAAAATTATGATAATTATGGTACATTACGGTAGTCGCAACTCGCAACTCCAAACACGTACCGACTACTAGAAGACACCGAATTTTAGCACCGATGCCCGGTTAAGCTGGCCGGTTGCTGGTGGAATGACGGGAATCATACCTTCCGGTACTCGTACAGCTTCAAAGTTTCTAATTTTCTTATGGCAATTCTTTGCAAAGCCCTGCTGTGTTCAACAACTGCGCGATTATTTACAGGCTAATGGAGTAATGGCGATACTGCAGTGATTAGACACTGAGTATAGAAGTAAGTAGGTCGGTTCAACTCGGTTGTATGCGAGCGAACTGTTTTTAATTGTTATTACCTGTTACACCTTATCCTTGAAGTACTGATATTACTTTAATACTTAGTGAATGCTTTGCGACCTGTGTGGTTACCAAGTTAGCAAGATCAGTAACAACAATATCAACAAGACAACAACTCTGAGAAAGCGCGAAAATACTTATCGTTAATATTTTGCGATACTGCTGCTGATACTGTGTGATGTGTATAGTATTACACCGTACGGTACATTAACACTGATTACAGAATGTATGTATCTATACAGGAAATCATTCCGAAAGTCATTGCCGTCTCTATCAACGTCTCTATCAAAGCAGCGCTACCAACTAATTTACCACTGATTAAGCACTTAAGCTTGACTATCAGCAGCCAACCAAAGAATTACGAGAAAAAAGAAAAAGTCGAAAAGCCGTATAAGAAAACAGTCAGTGATTAATCTCCCTGATTTGTGAGGATGAGTTATCGCAAGAAAAACACAACAATAACCCAGGTACAATTTCCATCCGTATGATAAGCTACAACAACTCATAACAGAAAAGGAATCAATTCGTGACAACACAAACGCCGCCTAAGCTGTCTGGTAGATATTGTTCTGCTTGATGAGCGGCTGTCCCACATCGGTTCCCTGCTGCTGCGGCGGCGCTGTCGGCCCAGTGGGCTGCGTCGGCACGAAGTACATGGGCTGTCCGTCGTGATCGCAAACAAGAGCCTGCGCCCCGGGATAAGCGCCGGGCGGCGGGAAGACGATCTGCGCCATCTTCAGGGTCTTGGGCCGCATCTTGCACAGATTGATTCCGGCCGCAATGGCCTGCCCCACGTTGGCCACAAACATGACGATATGCAGACCGAACTGGACAGACGGTCCCAGATTGATCACGGATCCCGCGATCAACGGCCCACCGCCCATCGCTCCCAAGATGCTCATCACGGCACAGGAGACCAGAAGGCGGCGTCGCGATGACGGGGGAGCACCCGGTGGCAGTCGCTGGCCGGCCTTGATGCCCAGGATGCCGGTGATGGTGAAGAACATTCCCACGACGCAGAACACGGAGCCCATGAGGGTATACACTATGGATCCATAGCGGCGAACGGTGATCAAAGTTCGGGAGTAGTCATCAGCATGACAGGAGATGGAGTTTTCGTGATGTGGGAGTACGATAAACCCTGCAACCCGTTCGGTTAGCCACGCTATACTGGATGATATTTAATGATAAACGCAAGTCAATTGCTATTCCCTATACGCTATACCAGGAGTCCGTTTTCGGAAACGGTAAAAGTAAAACAAACACTGAAATCTATCTTTTTTGAATTTGCGAGTCCTGAGAGTGCAACCCCACTAAAATATGCCAGGACACTTTTTACGACAGTGTTTTACACCGTTTTAGGGTTTACATGCCTGACGTTTACCGTTTATCGGTAAGACTCTTACCGATAATGTCGTTCAGCATCAGCGCCACTGCACCAACGATCTGGATGATCCCGAAAACCATAACGGGGACGCGGTTCCACAAACGAGTGGGACTGGGACAGGATGTCGCGGTCATTTCCGGCATCATGGTTACCAAATAAACAACTAATAAAAAGGGAGTAACAGGTTAAGTTTCACGGAAGAAATTTTTACTTCCTACAGAGAACACAGCTTCTCTAGCCTGCGAGTTGAAAACTGCTCGTTTCTGAGCGATTGGATAAACGCCAGTTTCAGACTGCCTAGGGTAGAGACTACTGATGACAGCCTGACGCTGTGCCCGTCTTCTTTCTGTGGTTTGACTTGCTGCGCCACTATCCACAAGCCACCACCTAACAAATCCGGTACGAATCTAAAATTATTCAAGAAAATGCCAAGACAGGTATTTCTTAGAGGTAATCGGGAGCTAAATAAAAAGTTGGGATTCCTGGAGTTGATTCCGCTGTATGATTCCGTTGAACACCTGCTAGGTAGTACGTAAAGCAGGTGACGTAACTGACGCTGTGCACAGTACAACCGCCACGAGTTGGCAGGAGGTGTGCTCAACCGTCACAATCAGGCCTTCAGGGCACATTAAAACTCAACGAACGCGAGTTAGCGTAATTCCTGGCAATTTTAGTTTTTGGTTTTCGCTTTTTCAAAACCTTGCATTTTTTGTTTTCGTTGAATAATTTCGTTGTAGTAAGTTTAGTTGCTTCACCTTTCAATGGCAACTTGCACCTGGTTGGCTTTTTATTTTAATCTTTTACTGGTGCTGCTTTGCGTTGATCGTTGACTGTTGAGCATGTATTTTCCGCTGGCTTCTGTCCGTGTGCACAGTCCAGTGTCGATCATGCTGTGCAAACTGGGTCTCCACGTCGCCGTCGTCCTGGCAGTCGTAGCGGTTATCCTCTGGAACGTCCGATCGCTCAACGCCTTCCGCTGGGCCGAAGAGACGCTGGGCATACCGTGCGGTAGTGCCGCTGACGCCGTGGAGCGGGCCTACCGAGCGCAGGCCAAAGTCTGGTCAGTGAACGTGTGCTTAACCGTGCTGCCTGGTCGTTGACCTGTTGGCTGCCGTCGCACTGACGCTTCTACCAATTTAAGCAACATTGTAAAATTTATTACCATGCGCATCGGTGGTTGCTGTTTTGAGTTGTCTACTACATGGAACGACTTATTTTTATTAATTTATTACTGATTTGCAGCCATCCTGACGCTCTGAAGAGCACGGATTCTAAGCAGTTTCTCCTCCTCGGGGAAGCCAGGCGGGTATGATAAAAATTGTGAAATATGCAGAAAATTATTATCATTCAGCTTCCTGCATTGACTGCATCATCAGTATGGATGTTCTGCTTGTTCCAGGTTATGCTGGAGGATCCGGACTGTGTCATGCAGCGTTACGTCAACAGCATCTGCATCGTCAGCGTCGGAGTCTGCTGTACCTTCGTGGGGCATCTGGCCTACGTGTTGTTCAAGGTGCGTGAGTACATTCTGTACATGTAAGGAATCCACAGTCAAGGCTGCTCTGTTTTTCTACGGTATTACTCGATAGTCGATATAATAATAAATGTGTTATCAACGCATGAAACAGCCGTGTATTGTAATTCATCGCTATATATTTGTTTGATCCTTTAATGTGTATTTTTACAAACTGTGTACGGAACTAAGAAATACTCTTATACGTATCTTCTATAGATATAGATATATTGATGAACAAGTACGTACCATCGTATTCACGTATGCTGTGATTGTGCCTTGATCATCAAGGCTTGATGCTCTCCTGAATTTCCGTGATTCTGTACCGTTTTCTCTTTCTGCACTGTCTGGTCTATTAGAGTATGCTGCTGATACGCCGGAGACACGGCAGTCGATTACCGTTTCATTTCACAACTTGTAGCTCGTTTCTTGAAATTATTTTCTCTGTTAATTTGTTGTTCCTTGTAGTTGAGGCGATGCTGGTCCAGACTGACGGGGCCTATGGATCCCGTTACGCCGGCACCTGCTCTGGATGCGGACGTCACCGCGTTTTTTGATGCGATCGGTTTGGTGGAGGATGATGTGGATGTCCACATTGACGATCATTTTCCCAATCCGCCCGCTACTGTGTACGTAAAGTAATTAAGTCATAATTAGCTGTTAAAGTGTTAAACGTACGGTTTCATCGTCCATTGCGGTTTGGGAAATATGTGAAATTATTACAACGACGCTTCGACAACGCTTCTTAAGCAGTGGACGTTATTATTATTTGTGAATTTATGACATTCACGATTAAGCTGCCAGATTATGCAAGACACTTTGCGAGTTATATGCGTAGCAGTTGATCATTTATGTTTGATAGGAATAACGCTCCTGTCCAAGACGGCGCGCCCGCAGTCGCTCCTCTTCCGTTTTTTCCACCGGCGCAACCCGTTGCAGTACCAGCTTGGCCATATCCGTACGTATTTCTGTCGCTTATAACCCCATTTCATTGTCACTTTGCAGTTTTCTTAATTCGAGATTTTACAGACTGGACCTGTCGCCCGTCCCAGTAATCCCGCCTTCTCCACGGAAACGTGTGGCGATCAACCCTGTTGCAACGGTGATACCCGATGGGAACAAGGAGAATGAGAACGCCGATGGTGCAATGCAGCATTTCGAAGAGTAAGCGATAAAAACAGTAACAAGACGACAGTATTTACGAAATATTTGTAATTATTTCCGGAACGAACGCATTAAAAGAACTGCAAAGATTTTCTCTTCTTGTTAACTGCCTTAACTACGTGGCTGTTCATCTTGAAAACTATTTAACAGTTTAAAATGCTTGCCTTGTATTACAACAGTTGCAGCAGTATTGCATATGATAGCCTTATTTATTTACAGTACTGTTTTTTGATATTGGCTGTTGCTTCGTTGTTGAATATGCTAGTATAAAGAGGTATTTGACGGCAGGAATATCGAGCCGCTGGACGAAAATGTTCGCATGCCGGCTGCGCGTCAGCGGAAGGCCGCCGCTGTTCCCCTCGTTGATCCCCGTCAGCCCTGCCACCGCAAAGCGAAAGAGCAGGCCCGGCTGAAACTCAAGCAGTGCCAAACGGGAAACAAGCGGACGGCAGCTGGAAGATGAGTAAGTTCTGTGTGCGTTGTTTTCGATGTTACTGGAAAGTTTCCAGTATCGTTGCTGATTAATACTTATTTCTATCTGATGCATTGGGTATTCTACGTTTAAATGCCTGTTTCATGCCGTTCATGCTATCAGTTTTTCCACAGAAAAGCTTGTTCGTATTTCAAAGTAACATTACTTAATAAAATCACATGTAGCTGATAAAGGCAAAGAATAACAAAAATACAAATGGCGTTTGAAAGGGAATGGCACGTTAATAATTTGACTAATTTCGAATTAACCGTATTGGTTATATATTTTGGCGTTTAATTGAAATTATGAGTTACATGTCGCACTTCTTTGCAGATCGCGCGCCACCGGCCGAGTAGCCGGCGACTCTTTTGAGGGCGAAAACCTTTCTTGCGCCACTATCTGGAAAAGCACCAGATGTGGACGCTCCTGGCGATGCGCAGCTTTATTCATGTTTTTGTTATGTTTTACGTCGTCAATTTTCTCATCAATTGTATTTGTTTGATGGTTTTACGTTTTTATTGTTGAGGTTTTTCAAGTATTTTCTGAACACCGATTTTGTACGTTCGTTTGAAATGCGTATCCTGTGTCAGTCAGAATGATTGATATTTTGTAGATTGTGTTCGTCATACATTTTTACGTTTTTACACGAAAAGTGCATCGTTGAATTGTGAAGTGTGTAAAGAATTGTTGGCAATAAAATTATGTGTAGCATTTGTACGCTTACACAATTGACCATGACTAAACATTACTCGTATCGACCTTGGAAATGTTTACAAAGTTCGATAAACCGGCTTTATAGCGGAAATTTCTGCATTTGGCAGAGAAACCTGGTGCACTGCTTTAATCCGTCGGCGGTACACCGCTGTTTAGAAACACATTCAGGCTCCACGCTGATAAACGTGAGCAAGCGGTCATAATTCCGTTATATGCATTTACGTACTGTTCCTGTGCTTCTCGATTTTTGCATTCCGGTAACCATCAGCCGACAAAATGTTCATAAAACGGTAATGTCTTTGGAGGCGCTCGCATTTTATCGGTTCTTCGTTGAAAGCCGGACATTAACGCGTAACAAGGCACAATCAGAGAAGCTGAAACCAGCACCAGTTTCCCATATTCACTGATATCAGGGATCGTTTCCTTCGCATAATTCCGTTTTACAGGTTGCATAAGAGCCATGTGTAGTATGGTTTAGCTTACGGTTTACTGCCTTATTTTGATTGCTGACATAACTTTTTATCCCTGTGCTCCAGACCGGAGTACTTGGCTTGCAGTCTGGAAAATTTACAGTATATAAGCGCTCTGCAAAATCCGTAGCTTTCGTCAGTTACATCGTGTCTAAAGTTCCATTTCGGTCTTTACTTGGTTTCCCGTCACTATCCTTAGTTTTTCTCACCTTCCACCATGAAGTTGATTATCCTGGCAGTTCTGCTGGCGGTCGCAGCTACTAGCGGTAAGTGACCTTTGCGATTCCAGTGCATTAAGGAGTTAGTCGATGTTACTCGCTGATGCAAAGGTCATGGATTGGCTCATTATGCTGCTTCTGTTGCAGTGGCTGGCGGACATCACCGAAGACGCTCCGAATGCTGCAGTGCGTGGAAACGCTACATTGTCCCGATTTCCTCGTCGGTGGCACCAACCAAACCCACCACCAAGCCGTGGCAGTAAGTTGTACATTTTGTTAAAGCTAACGTAAGTTTCCTACTTGCACTAAATACCAGCGACAGTATAAAGGTCATGTCAGCAGATGCTTCTGTTTCTGTACTTAATAATAAGGTCACAAGCTTATGCCTTATACATGCGTATTGCTACTTTTGCGACTTTATTCATTACTTTTTTCATTTAAATAACATAAATAATCTTTTGCACATTTTATATACGTTAATCGTTTACACCTTCTTCGTAAATGATAAAATATGATGCACTAATGGGACACATCCATAATGACTTTTGGTCCCTTATTCATCACTTAAAATATGTACAGTATCTTTCTTTACAATGTGATAACAATAAAAATTAACAAGGATTTTGATTTCTAAGTTGAGCATTTCGTTTACAAAATAATATCTTTATTGGTTACAAGTCATGGCCGACGTTGGCTGTATTCTTATCTTTAGTAATTTGTTCTGTTAATTAGGTACGCCGTCCGTGTGGGACAGAGCCTGTACATGACCTCGGTGCGCGCCTTCACTTCCTTCGCCAACCGCACCATCATTAGTCCGGGCGGCACCTACAACGAAGCCATCCAGGTGATGAGCTTGACGGAGCAGATCCTCAACGAAGCCGGCTGCACCTGGAACGACGTGCACGATGTAGTGGCGCTCATCACCGCCGGCCCCACCGACTACCCCGTCATCGACACCGCCATGAACGACTTCTGCGCCACCCACGGCTGCTCCGGCGTATGTACATTGTGCTTTACCTTGATTGACTTCTTTTAGTAAGCGGCTCTTTTTTTGTAACCGTAGTTTCCTTGGACTGGCCATCTGCGCACTTCTCCATCCTTCAGCGGCGGCGCCACCGTCGAATTCACCGTCCAGGCCAGCAACTGCGACTGGACTGGAGAGGACAACGAGTGCTCTTGCGAATAGTGCGATCGTCCTTTTTGGCCGAGTGTCAGTAATGATAAGAATTAATTCTTTCTTCGAAATTGTGTTATCGATTATGGGCGCGTTAAGTGTGAAAGCACCAACAGCTCATGAGATGATTTATCTAGCAAGAGCACCAATGCATGTATTGTTCCACTTACTTAAATTTAATGTCCTCTGACCACCAAACGAGCCTTCAACAAATTCAAATAAAGCCCGCTGTTTCAAAGGCATTCGGTTCGTAGCGATGTCCACGTAGGGCACAACTCCTCAATACAACAACTAATGTGCTAATTAAATCAGCGGCCACTCAGCATTGCTGTGTGCCCATAAGCCGGTATGGCGGTATGTACATTGAAGCATACGTATAAACTTTTACAATATCTATACCAGTCAGTAGTATTACAGTACCCATTTCAATCGTAAATTTGTAGCTATTGATGATTGCCACGCAAACAGCAATTCGCAGTTAAGTACTACTAGTTTTCGCAACCGAAGCTGAAGAATCAGGAATCGTACCCACGTAAAACGAGGAGACACGCAGTTGCGCAGTAATATTAATGGTCACAATAATGGAACTACTGCCAAAAAACGCGAAAGACAACACGTAGTATAAGTACAGTTTCGTATCGTACGTACAGCACAGCGGCCACGTGTAAAATATGTATCTAGTACGTACTGTACATCAATAATAAAAATTAATTACTAACCGGTAAGAATCATTTCGCACAAAATAAGAAAACCCTACAGAATTTAAACAGAACTGTGAGCACGTACGCTTTAAACACATAATATCACAGCAGAAAAAATAGCAGCACGGTATTTCCGATAATATTCTGATTGTGTATCATCGCCGAATCTTCAAAGAAAACGAGGAAGTGCCAGTATCTCCATTCTCCAGGGCTTCCTTCGCGCACACGCATTCGGCATGCACTGGCAAGACTTAGTGTCTTCATTGCTCCGAATTTCCGGTGTCCAGGGTCGTGAATAGTGTGAAAAAATCTTCACGAGACCAGTGGCGAAAGGCTGTGTCACTTTTCTGGGAGGCTGTTAGACGCTTCACAGGCTGACGACGTGCCGCAACGAAATGATCAACCGGCTTCTCCGTGGCATACTTCATTCGGTAGATCCTCCCCATTTCCTCCATCGTCAGTAAACCCGTTTACAGCCAACCTCCATATTACATACGGGTCGTATATGGTTATCCTGTTATAAAATATCTATAGCAGTTAGCACTACTATATCCAGGATTCCATTCCAGTATACAGTACTTACTCCCATTGCAGCAAAAACCAATACAGTAAGTACATTCAATACACTTTTATAATAACGACCAAGTTATAATATCCACGTTATTATGAAAACCGACGTCTATCATGTTTAACTGGCTGTTGATAATTGTGTTACCTTCAAGGGACCATCCGCCAACAAAACATTCGGCAAGAGTGGAAATCTGACATGATACAGTGTACCCAGCATCTGACGTCGATTGGCCCGATGGATCCAGCTCGCGCATTTGGCAAGCATTCACAGCCCACCTGCAAGAAAATGCAAAAGATTTTGTACAATAGCGCGTCCATTCAAAAAAAAACAGGTATTCAGTCACTCAGCAGTCAGCAACTGAATCGCACTGATTGTGAGACACCGCATCCACTGATAACTGCACATTTCATGCTTATTCTCAAAGTCAATGCATTAATTACCATACGTTGTAATACCATCCTGCGAGCCTAAAGTTAGTTAAATTTTGATACTGAATTTAACTTCAGTAAATTAAATCCGAAACGAATGCAGACAGCCAAAGTCATCATCATATTAAGTAGGACGACGTTTAACTGAACGTGAGGAAATACAGTATGCGCGCAGGGGTTTAAGTAAAAGTTTGCGCAAAACCGTAGAAAAATTCGTCCTTTTCGAGCCTTTCAACATTAACTCTTGGAATGAATGCCGTAGAAAAAGTACACTCTTCACCACATACTTTTCGACAGCTTCGTAGATGAGATGCTCCGCAGCCGACAGTGTATCACGTACGAGAATCATCGCCAAGATGTCACGGTCAACGGACATCAGCTGCTCCGACTGCAAGACGTTTTCAGAGTATTCATCCACTAGTTCCAAGGCTCCAAGCATTTCGTGATAACGGTAGGTGGATGCAGAAGTTTGACCTACGAAACACTGGCGTGGACTCTCCCGCTTTCAATCACAACACACATAAACAATCGGTAGACTCACACTTTGCAGAACAGACAGACAATTCTCCGCGTTCAGCTGACCAACGATAAACTCCGAGCACCGATCAAACAGCGGCTGAATGTGGTACTTCACGGCACAAAACATGGTCTGCACAGCGTTGCTCATATCCAGATGTTCCACGGTATCCGAATACATAAAGCTAACGTAAATAAACGCAAATACAACAAAACCATTTCTCAATCACAAGAACGAGAAACCCACTTTTACGTAAAGTCGTATTGTACCTGAGCATGTTGAGGAAAGCGTCTGGCAGAATATCAGGAACATCGATGGGAGCGTCGCATTTTTTCCGACAGACTCCCGTAGAACATCCGCTCAAAGACGTCACTGTTGATGCTCAACACCAACCTGCAAAATTACCACCTTAAATTCCGTACAAACATCCGCGTTGGCTGGCCATGCACCACCGTATCTACTATCCAGCATCCAGCGTACTTGTGTGCCTGCAGCGTTTTCACTTCCCCAAACTGCCGTCCTACCGTAAACTGGACGTCGCTGTGATTACCACTGGCCAGCGTGCGCCGCAAATGGTCGATAATGCCAGCAACGGGTTCCTGACGGTCTGCCATTGCAGCTGTTATCAGTAATGAACACTTTACACTGCACACTGATATGCAGACCAAAGCTGAAGAACCGACGATGCAGGACGTTCTCCCTGTTAAGCAGCTCGGAGAACTCTCCACCAAAAGCACGATATAATGTGAGAAAGGGGATAGAGCACGACGGAATACAAAATCATTAACACCACCACCACTTCATTAACACCATTTATCCACAAAACCAGATGCAATATGCAGCAATATTCAATGTCAGTGCAGTGGTAAAGAAAAATGACGATCAGCTGTCAGCTGTGCAGATCACTAGATCAGGCTGCGATCGTGAAGCGAGAGCGCTTGTTGCTGACGTACTTACGGCTCATGCACCCCGCGTGTGGTGTGCCATGCGACAAGCGTTACATAGGTACCTACGTGAATTTTCATTGATTTTAACAGTTTAAGTTTGCTGGTGCCGAAGTAACTTAAAATGAATCTACTTTAGTCTTTAGGTATACGTACCACATACAGATTGTATGTGACTATGTGGTACGTATCTAAAGTAGTGGAAAAACACAAATTAGTTAGTACATGCATGTATATCGAAGTACTAGTACACCATTCGCCAGCAAGGATCCATCATATTGTTTATCTCCATGTTCAGCCACAACGTAAAACACTAGCAGGGTGACGGCAGCAAGTACAGAGAGTGCTTGCCCCAGCCCTTAAATTCCCCCTACAGATAATCCATACTTATGCATACAGCAGAATTTCAAATTTCTGCTTTTGCTATTCCACATAAAATCTCGAAAAACTAAGAACTGTTTAAAAGTACATAAATAACGAAGTACAGTACACCATTTGCCAGTATGAAGGATGTATGTTATCGAACGTAAGATCCAACACAAGAGCAAAAACCTGTACAGTACGCCTCCGGCCGGTAACGCGTTAAAACCCGTAAAGTAAGTACTTGTACTTGAACAGACAGAAGTACCGCTTGTCGGCTACAGTAGATGTCGCAGAATTCCCTTTGCCAGTAAAAAATCTGCTCTATTCTAAGGGTTTCAGAATTTCCGCATTTTGAAATACGATTTACGTATACTCGAGGTATACTTAAGAGTCTTTGGTTTTGAATCCATCACACATTCCGAAAAATAATTGTTCATTGGTAAAAACCTTATCGTTAATACAGTAAGTTAAACGTAGTACAATATACAATTGGTGGCATCTGTGGCAGCCTGGCAGGTACAATAATGAAAGGGCAGAAGGATTTAATAAGCTTTTACTGTTGTTAATGTTTAGCAATGGTTTGTCTTGTCTCGAACTTCATCGGTTCATAATGAATGAAACCCAATAATATACAACAGGTGTTATGTACAGCTGGCGCCCGTACGAAAACAAGAGATAAACTTTGACAAAATTAAAATTTTATGTTAAATTATCATAATTTAACATAAAATTTAATTATGTACTGTAAACGGGGAAAATCGCACGATGGGCGCATGCTTTGTACACAGTGTGCATGTGCACTCAACAACGCATACAGGTACAAAAAGTATTGGAAACTCTGGCATATGCATTACTAAACTGAAGCGCCAAAAACATTATTGCTCTTCCAACTGCCGAGCCGCCGTCCTGATCTTTTCTCTGCAGCAGATCGCCATGGAAATTCATCAACTCCCGGAACGCGCACGGCTGCTATCGCTCCCATTCCTCCTTTTCCACCAGCGCAATCCGTTGCCGTACCAATATGGCCGCTACCGCACGTGTTTTGTCGCCCATAAGCCTGTTAGTTTGCGCTTTTTTTAATTCAGGATTTTTCAGACTGAACCTTTCGCCCGTCCTTGTCGTCTCGCCTTCGCCACGGAAGCGTTTCGTTATCAGCACGAATGTAACGTGATACCTGATGGGAACAAGGAGAATCCGAATGCTGCTGCTACGATGCAGCGTTTTGCAGCGTAAGCCTTACTGGCTGGATTCATTTTTAAGACCGTATTTAAGTATTATCCTGTAAAGCATAGATTATTCCGGAAAGAACAAATGAAAATGTGGAGGTAAGATGTACAATGTTCTCGTTATTTGTGAACTATCCTGATAATCTTCCTGTTAGTCGGAAAAGTAATGAGCATTTAGTGTTTCTTAATAATAGTTGGTGTATTTTATGGTTTTATTGGTAGCATCTGTATTTGGATGATGATTGTTGTTGAGTAATAACGTAGGTACTTAAATTGGTATTCGACTGCAGGAATATGGTACCGTTGGACGATGATGTTCCCGCGCCGGTGCGGAAAGTGGCCGCTGTTCCTCTCGTTGATCCCCGTCCGCCCAGCTACCGCAATGGGAAAGAGCAAGCCCAGCTAACCGGTAAGACTCAAAGAGTGCCAAACGGAAATAAGCGGATGGCCATGGCAGCTGAAAGATAAGTCAGTCCCATGGGAAATGAATCGTGTCCGGTGTTTCTGCAATGTTTAGTGTTTACTAATGTCGTTGCTGGATTTTTATTTCGTCGGGTTCTAAAGTGACTTTACTTTTACAGTGTTATTCCAAGAATATGATCAGTTATTACAAAAACCTCCGAATTTTCAAACAAAATTAATCCATTTAGATAGAGCTGAAAAAGCCAGAGAGCACGAAAATATAAACTGCGTTCAAGAGAGAATAATCAAGAGTCTTTGCCAGTTTCGAATTAACCGTTGCTGGTTTCACTTTTTGACGTTTTAAGGCATTTTTTACAGATCGGTGACCACCGGCCGAGAAGTCACTCGACTCTTTTGCGAACCAAGACCGTTCTTGTGCCACTATCTGCGATAAGCAGCAAATGTGGAAGCAACCGGCAACGCTCGGCTTACTCGTCTTTTTGTTATGTTTTACGTCGTCAGTTGTCTCATCAGTTGTATAATTTTTTTAGCTGATCTTGCGCTTTTATTGCTGAGAATTTTCCAGAAGTTTCTGAACAGCGAGTTTTTTACGTTCATTTGAAATGCGTATCCTGTGTCAAATAGAATGATCAGTTTTCTGCAAACTGTGTTCGTCAAACACTTTAATGTTTTTACATGAAATGTACGTTGTGGACAATATTAATGAATTGTACGGTTTACAGTACATCAAATTGCTGGTATTAATACAGGTGTTGCATTTGTACGTACGGTCAGTTGAACGCTTACACAAAAGACCTTGATTAAACGGTATCGACCTTGGCAATATTTACAGTGTTCGATAACCGGTTTTACAGCGGAAATTTATCCATTTGGCAGAGAAACCTGGTGCACTGCTTTAATCCGTCGGCTGTACGCCGCTATTTACAAACACATTCGGGCGCCTCGCTGATAAACGTGAGCAAACGGTCATAATTCCGTTATATGCATTTACTGTTCCCGTGATTCTCAGTTTCCACATTCCGGTAACAATCAGCCGACAAAACGGTCGTAAAACGGTAATGTCTTTGGAAGCGTTCGCACTTTATCGGTTCTTCATTGAAAAGCCGGACGTCAACGCGTAACAAGGCACATGCAAACAAACTGAAACCAGCACCAGTTTCCCATATTCACTGATATCAGGGATCGTTTTCTTCGCATATTCCGTTTTACTGGTTGCATAAGAGCCATGTGTAGTACGGTTTAGCTTACGGTTTACTGCCGTATTTTGATTGCTGACATAACTTTTTATCCCTGTGCTCCAGACCAGAGTACTTGGCTTGCAGTATGGAAAATTCACAGTATATAAGCGAGCTGCAAAATCCGTAGCTTTCGTCAGTTACATCGTGTCTAAAGTTCCATTTCAGTCTTTACTTCGTTTCTCGTCACAGTCCTCCGTTTTCCTCGCCATCCACCATGAAGTTGGCTATCTTGGCTGTTTTGCTGGCGGTTGCAGCTACTAGCGGTAAGTGACCTTTGCATATCCTGAGCTTTTGCGTGTTAGTGGATGTTACTCGCTGATGCAACGGTCATGGATTAGCTCATTATGCTGCTTTTGTTGCAGTGGCTGGCGGACATCACCGACGACACTCCGAATGCTGCAGTGCGTGGAAACGCTACATTGTCCCGATTTCCTCGTCGGTGGCACCAACCAAACCCACCACCAAGCCGTGGCAGTAAGTTCTGTATCTTTTTGAAAGCTAACGTAAGTTTCCTACTTGCACCAAATACCAACGACAGCATAAAGGTCATGCCAGCAGATACTTATGTTTGTGTACTTAATAATAAGGTCACCAGCTTATGCCTTATACATGTGTATTGCTACTTTTGCGACTTTTTTCATCCAAATAGCATAAATAATCTTTTGCACATCATACGTTAATCGTTTACACCTTCTTCGTAAATGATAATATATAATCCACTAACGGGACACATTCATAATGACTTTTTATCCCTTAATCATCATTAAGTTCCTAACGTGCTAAAGGTCACTTACAAATATGTACAATATATATCTTTCTTTACAATGTGATAACAATAAAAATTAACAAGGATTTTGATTTCTAAGTTGAGCATTTCGTTTACAAAATAATATCTTTATTGGTTACAAGTCATAGCCGACGTTGGCTGTAATTTGTTCTGTTAATTAGGTACGCCGTCCGTGTGGGTCAGAGCCTGTTCATGACCTCGGTGCGCGCCTTCACTTCCTTCGCCAACCGCACCATCATCAGTCCGGGCGGCACCTACAACGAAGCCATCCAGGTGATGAGCTTGACGGAGCAGATCCTCAACGAAGCCGGCTGCACCTGGAACGACGTGCACGATGTAGTGGCGCTCATCACCGCCGGCCCCACCGACTACCCCGTCATCGACACCGCCATGAACGACTTCTGCGCCACCCACGGCTGCTCCGGCGTAAGTACAAGCCAGTTTTTCTTGATTGCCTTCTTTTATTAAGCAACTTTTCTTTGTAACCTAGTTCCCTTGGACTGGTCATCTGCGCACTTCTCCATCCTTCAGTGGCGGCGCCACCGTTGAATTCACTGTCCAGGCCAGCAACTGCGACTGGACCGGAGAGGACAACGAGTGCTCTTGCGAATAATGATTTGGATTTGCCTTTTTGCCGTGTTTAAGCATCTTCATCAACTGCATACCGAATTGGCTACCAACACCAGCCATCTGTGCGCCATTTGCTATTTGAAAAAGTAATTTTGAACTGTCTTCTTTAAAAAACGGTGGGTGTGTTAATTGCGACAACATCAACACCTGAAATGATATACTAAGCACTGATGCGAGATTTAATTCCAACGAACTGTGCTGTAACAACCATGCACGACGTCCAACCGCATCATATAAAGCGCGCTTTTCTTCGCCATTTCGGCTCGCATAATGTGCATTTACGCCACAACACAACAGATGAACCAACCATCGTTCGACGGTGCCCACAATAATGTACATCGGCACAAAAACAACTTAGAAGATTAAAAAACATAGTCGAAACAAGCACAAAATACCTCCCCGTTTAAAATAAAAACAAACTTAAACATTACAACAGATTCTCTCTCATGGCCATTAGCCGACGAACGAAACACAATTCCCATCGTTATTCTATGCATCACCGCTATCACAGCCAAATTGAAAACAAGATTAAAAACGTTATTCATTTAACCTTAGCCCGAAATCTGCCGGTTTTCCCTGTCTTCTGCGGTGTAATGGGCGTCGGCTTGACTACGGGCCCATCGGTGACCGGTTCCGGGCCGGCTTTGACGATGGTCAGCGAGGCCTTGGTGTCGATCTCCTCCAGCCCGTTCATCCACGTGTACACCATCTTCGGGTAGGCTTTGAGGAAGTCGCGCATCTCCCGCTCGGTGGGGAAACACAATAACTCCTTCAAGGCCATCACGGGCAAGTTGGGACGATACCTGCAAATCACAACGCCAAAATTAATTAATATTACGAATTATGCTACACAAAAATTAATTAATACTGCCGATTAATTCATTTAATTCATATTACGAATTATTATTACAAAATAATATTAATTAATCAGCATTACTGGAGAGGAGATCGACTTACGCATTGCACAGTTTAATGAGGGACTTTTGGCGGAACTGCGGTATGGCCACATCCATCACGTAGCTAGCCATAAGAGGAGCAAGTTTATAAAATGTAAAAAACTGCTGATAATCACCCGCAAAGTAGGCTGACAGCACGGAGAAGGCAAAGGCGATGCACGTGTCTTTCTTGTCATCCACTGACAGATTCATACGCGCTTTGGCCGCATCTACGATCATTCACAACTTCGTCGGGTCGGCAAAGAATTCACTATCTGTAAACTTTCCGACAAAAACAATATCCGACAAAAGCACGTATACTACTCACTAAAATCGGAAAGTTTTACTTCGCTTTACCAAGAGATCATTTCTCCATAATCATTAACGAAGATGGAGAACTCAACAAACTTGGAACTTCACATGAGATAAAAATATCAAAGCCAATAGCTGATAAGTTTATAAAATACTAGGTCTAGATTGAATATCATAGGCTGAATAAGTCAGTCAAACATTCCTCAGAAATTCTTTTTTTATTCTACAGTACATTTCCGTTTCAACACATGCCTATGAACTTCCTTTTTAACCCTGCTTTTCATTTTCATATTTAGTTTTATCGGAAACATCTTTTAATTTATATCATTTAATTTAAACCATCAGTATTTAATTTGAGATGTTATATCGTATTATTTTAATTTTCACATTCTAATTTGTGTTATTTGTATAGCGTACCTGTGGTCCGATTCTGCCTCATCACATACAGAATTCTGTACGACAAAAACTCCCGTCGATGCTCACATCCCTTGACCAGCTGCTCCCCACCCCCGCCCGTCTTCATCAGCACATCGTACAGCCATTCCAACTGCGCCAGACACTGCGTGAACTCAGCCTGATCGCCGACCTCCAGGGCGATGCGCGCATGCGTCTCATACACGGCCACCGTGAAGGGACTGAAGACGTGCTGCACCCGCAGATCCTGCCGCATACTCTTCAACTGCGACTCCGCATACCGGTACTCCTTCTCCGCCTTCCATTTGCGTTTGACCAGATCCAGCGCCTGCTCCAGGATGTACACCGGGCGGACCTGCGCCGGATCGACGTGGTCCGTCAACCGGAAGTAGTCCTTCTCCACCGTCTGGCACGTGCCGATGATGGTGCGCGGCGCCGAGATAGAGCGGTTGGGTTTCTGGCTGCGCAGCGAGGATAGCGGGGAGACGGTGTTGAAGGCCTTTTTGGCCTTGGGCAGGGACGGGACGGGGGTGTCGGCGGCGGGGGAGTCGGGGGCGTCGGAGGTCAACAGGTCGCCGAAGCGCTCTTGCCGGCGGCGGAGACGCTCGAGTTCGGCGGCCGTCATCGGGGCTTCGGTGCCCATACCCATTAACTTACCACGGGCGCTGTAAGCATGTATGATTCGCATCAAGGCATTCAAACCAAAAGAGTCTTCCAGATTACAGAATCAGGATAAAAATTATCTAATTTGTGGGGATTTAATCTAAATTAGTAAATTACGCAGGTAATATTTTATTCTAAATTAATATATTAAAATAGACCAATTTTCCAGTGAATCTTATTTTAACAACAACGATTTCAAATTCAACTGACGCAAACAATAAATCACAATAATCACTCATACTAGTCGCGTCAGGAACGTCTGAACATTCTTATGGCACTCTTTACCATGACATTAAAATTCACACAAAATGAATAATTCATTATTTCCACTGATATCAGAGCGACAAACATATTACTTACCTCTGGCAGCAAAATTAACTTTGTGAAGTACAATTTGGGGAAAAAACCACAAAACCATAGAAAACATACCTCTGAGCGGCTTTTTTGCCTTTGCCGGCCTTCTGTCCCTTGGCGCCAGCGGATAAACTGAGCCCTTTACCCGTCAACGGCATATAATCCTGTGCGGAATTATCCTGCTGCGTTTTCTTACTGGGCGACGCATTAAACCGTCTACTCTCCTTAGCACTACCACTACCCGGCTTAATTGAATAATAACTAGAGTCGTCATCGTCCTCCGAATCCGATCCGTACCGGCCGCCGCTGCCCGTGCGCCGATTACTGCCGCGCCGGCCACCACGCGACGACGTCGACCCGCTGTTGACCGACTGCGGCCGTTCGTTCTCCCGTTTCGGGCTCAAATTAAAGATCTCCGAACCTTTATCGTTCGAACTAAAAAATAAGAAAGCGTATCAGATATACTGAAGAATACCAGAAGTTCCATAAACACTTCAGTGCGAGTAAATCAATTTTCGCATAAAATTCTTGCAGCTCAGTCTTTTAATCTGCTTTAGATTTATGTACTGCGAATTTTACTCTGATAATTTTTTGTCGTCGACCATAAACTTACTAGGGCATGGGCGCATTCTCCCATTTGACGGTGAATATGGTATTGGTTTTGTACGCGTTGGTAATCATCATAGTAATCGTTTGCATAACCTGTTCACGTTTCTCCGGCGGGGTCACTTCGATGGCCTTTGTGACGTATTCCCTGAAAAACAAATCAAAAGCACCGCATTAGCACAAGGCAGAAAGAGGAGAATATTTAATTGCTTAAACAGGAAAGCGTGGAACAATCAAGTTAAGACAATTCCAGCGCGTAACAGCGTAAGCAGTCAATGCTTTTTTCAAAAAGTAAGTAATGAAGTAAAATCATTACGCCATTATTCGACACTTACTGCAAGCTAAGCGGCCAGTCTTTCGAGCTAACAGCCCCGCCCGGCTGTCCACTAGGCGGGTAATCTTGTTTGGGTGCCGAGCTGAAGCGGGATACGTTTCCGGTCCTGCATGAATGTTAGTAAACGTAAAAGTTGAGTGCCTAATTCTAATTTCGTTAAATAAAACAGACAAAATCGAAAACCAGGCTGGCATCGCTCGACTGATTACAAAGAACGTATGAAAAAAAGGAAAAAATTAATTACTTTTAAAACAGAACTTTGAGCATTTATCAAAGCCAAAGTTAAATATGTACACTGACTTTTTATCTGAACTGTACAATTAATAAAATAACTGCGAATCTGCGATTTATCCTACTATTTCTTATTCATATTGCTTAATAAATCGTTAACGGCTTACTGCTTATTTACGGCAATATTTGCATTTTGCAATAGATAAAATGACCATTTAATCCTAATTCCAAAAATCTGAGTCAGTACCTGCTAAATCCAGTGTCGGTTGTTATGACGGTGGTGTCGGCGTCTTCCTGAGCAAAGGACAGGCGAGTCGCTTGGCTGCTGGACGACTGTGTTGGGGGTCTCTGCAATAAAGGAGTGGATACTTTGACATCCGTAGCAGAAGAAGCAGTGGGAATTTTCTTCGACAGCTGAAATCGAATGCCACCAGCCCCAGGAGCTTCTGCAATAAGAAAACGTTTCCAAATTAACACCCTGCTGTAAACCAGAGCCAAACAGGGTTACTGAATTGTAAAAGAATTGTAAAACGGTGATAGTAGATTAAATATTATCACGATGGAAGAAAATTAACCAATGGAAATTCAACAAAAACGTTAACAGTGATGTTAACCTTCTAGTTAATCTAAAAATTCGCAATTAACTCATGATTTCTTGTTATGATCACTTTGAATCATGAAATAAATATTAAACACGCATTCAAACAGCTAACTTGCCCCAACAGATGAAAAATTATTAAGATGAATGTACGGTCTGCGAAGAAACGCTGGCAGAAACGTAACCGTAAAAGGAAAACTAAAAGGTTTAAAGTTAAAATTTATTCAAGAAACCAGCAACAACCTTTGTTGCTCCAAAATTCGTTCCAAATTTTCCAAAATTCGCTCCAAATTTTCAATCTTTTATAAAGGCAAAGTAAAATTATGATAACATTATCAAAAGTTTCTAGAACATGTTCCAACATTAAGTGCTACTGACCATGAGTAGTATTCGTACAGACAGAACTTACGTTTGCGAGCCAGTCTATTGCCGAATAAACTGCCAGTAGCCGACGGGGTAGCCGTCATGGCACCGGCGGAACTATCCTCTTCCAGATCCATACTCTCAGGCTCGTTGCTTTTCCCTACCGCGGGGGCATTGCTGTTATATGAGTAGGTGGTGGGCGGCGCTTGATACGTGATCTGCGGTGGATTGGTATCTTTGCCTGGGACATTGTAGGGCGAGAATTTGGACAGACCGCGCAGCCGCGGCCGGGCGGCTGCCCCGCGGGGAGTGAAAACGGGACTGAGGTTGGATGAGGAAGAGGAGTTGGAGGAGTGGGAAGCTGTCTGAGCTTGAGCATACTGCACTGCAAAGTTCGGATACGCGGAGATGGAACTGTAAGCTGGAGCCACGTACGCTGACGAATATCCAGTTCCATAGCTACAAAAAATGCAACGAACGCTCAATGATCCACAATTTTTCCGTTTAAAATTTAAATTAAAGTTTAAACTGCACAATGAATTTGTCGCGCATATATACACTGACGATGATCCAAGTAGAGATTAGTATTTAAAATATTTAATCACTAACTAATTAAATTTTACACTCACTAATTCTACCTGAATTAATGAACTGATAGTTTACAATCGACAGTTTACATAGAAGTATACATTCGAGTTTCGAGAGTCTGCACATGCGTGATATATTAATGTGTAATGCGTCGTAGTGCAGTGGTACTTATATCCGGGGTGAATCGGACATAAAACAATAAAAACTGTTCAATGTCGCATAAAAGTGATAAAACTCTCAAAGCTGCAATCAGATCAAATTACTCGCTTTCCTTAACGTTTCCATTTTTTAAATTTTGATTTCACACTGCAAACTCTCTGTAATTCAGTAGAAGGTTAAAGAATATAACGAGGATAAAATCATGAATATTACCATATGCCTTCACTGGAATTGTTACATAATTGCAGCAACTCTAAAGTCTAATCATTAGACTCTAATGCGACACATTCTGTAAGTAAATGTTCATCAAACCTGCATATCTCTTACAGTCTTACCCGTAGTACTGTGTCGCAGGCATGGCATAGGGCGACGTATAGGTGGGATAGGCATTTTTCGCCATCTGCTGCGTGCTGGCATTGGACTGATTGAGGGCCTCCATGGCCCGCTGCCACTCCAGACCCCGACTGTTGCTGTCAGTGGCGGCGCCACCGTAGCCCCCCGGATGCGCGGTCTCCCCGGGGGGCAGAGGCACATCGTGGAGCGCAGAGGAAGCGTGATTGTGATAAGGGTGGGAGTACGCCGAAGACTGACTGGGCTCCTCGAACTCTTCGGGCGGTGGTGGGGGGATGCACTCGATGTCCATCGCGTGTCACGGTGTCAGCCGTTTTTAACCAGAGAGTTTACACTGTACCTGTGGCTTTGATTAAGTTGTGCTGACGGAGGCGGTGTGTGCGCGATGAGGCAGAATGCAAATAACGCAGACAGAATCCAAGGAAGACTTCGATCCCAGTAAGAGAATTGGCAAGAATAAGATAACAAGAATTTATACTGCAAGGATGACTCCCGTTTCTGTCTTGGAAGAATGGGTTCTGGAAGTATCCGATAATAATTTAGTTGAGTGGAAGAAGATTCCTATGGTGTCGGTATTAATAAAACCTGAATCAAACAGGGAGCAATAAGGAACTGCAAACCAAAACAAGAAACGAAATGATGGAGTGCTGTGCAGCGCCAGCAATCGTGTTCGTTCACGCAACGCAGGGTGTGACGTAGCCTTCAAATCTTCTCATTTACCTGCAAGAACGTGGCACATGCCATCCTAAAAACAGTATTCAACTTTTCATTAAACAACGAGCGAAACAAAAAGATCTTCCAGCGAAGAAACTTAAAGGATGTGGGTTCTATCTAAGTATATGTTTAAAAATTAAATTATTTAAAAATCTTCAAACTGGCTCAGTGGCTCTGCTCACAGATGATGTCGAAGCCAAAAACTCTATGCCTGACATTCGGTTTAGCGGGGGTTCCTTTACGAATGCTGCTAGAAAAAGGCCGATCGTGATTGGCTGCAGGTATCCAACCAGCGCAATCAGAATACAGTCACAGCTGCGATGATCATTTGGGTTTCTGATTTTCTGACCACAAAAGCACAAATGAACGGAAGTGATCCTATAAAACTGATTATTTTGAAATATTAATGTTTATTTTTCCAGGTTTCAGGCTCGAAAATGAAAAAATTGTTTGCGGTTGTTGCGAGTTGCTGCCGATGCAGACTGGAGCCAATATGCTACACGATATTTTCCGCTGGACCTTCGCCTCGTTACGGTGCGTTACGCGTCAAGTGGACCACCCCAGGAATGTTGCATCAATGAACGCTATTCAGCCAACGTGTTGCTCGTCGCCTGCATTTCCATTCGCTCGGCCTCGGCTGTGTGTATCACTTGTATCGCCATCGTCATTAAAAATGTTAGGAATGCGAAAAATGTTGCCGCCAGATGTGCTGATCATTCTGGCCACTTGTTCTGCCTGACAATAAACCGTCATGGAATTTAATCAGATACCTTTTTAACCTAAAGTGTATCAATAAACTCATTCATTCTGCGGGTGCATTCTTCGACCATACGTGTAATCGCCCGTGAACGCAACAGCTGCCGCAATCAAGCGTGGTTGAAGACGTTTTTCTATGTGTGTCATCTTCACTCTGCAAAACTCATTCAACGATGAACGCGCGTCTGCATTCCGCCAGTCTGGACGCCCTGAAACCATCCGTCAGCGACGACGCTCACAAAATGGGCTCGACTTCGTACGAGGAGCTGCAGCAGCGGGATCTGGAGGATTCGGATATTTTGAAGTATTTAACGCGGGATATTAAGCGTAATTCCACGGAGCAGTTGCTGCACTGCGCCGCCATGCCCAGCCGGATGATGTCGCAAGTGCGGCCTGTCGTGCACGGGCATTATCAGAAGAATGCCAAACTAGCCAGGCAACCCGTGGCCGAAGGGTCCCGCAGTCATACACCCAGTCCCAAGGGGACGGAAACGGGCAGTGTCGAGAGTGTGTTGACGGAGAACGCGGTGCTGCGGAAGGATATTGAAGGCCTGGTTGCCAAACTGTCCAAGATGCAGAAGGTGAGCGCAGTTTTAAATTTTAAAAATATTACTGTCGACACCCCACTTCGCTTGGCTGATTGTTGCACTAATTTATTGTTTAGAGTAGTTGTTTTAATTTTAAAAAATAAAGTTTACTTATGCTGAAGTTCACTATATACGCGTATCTGTACTTCCGGTGCTGTAGCCTTATACAGAGTACACTAATTATACCAACAGAGGCAGCACTAATTATTTGATACGCTAACAACTGACTCTGCTATATTTTCGTGTTTACATATTTTTATCTTTACCATTTTTTATTTTTTGCATTTGGTCGATTATTGGTGTTGGTTCTTGCGTTCCGCTTCAGATGACACAATTTGAAAACATCACAATTTATCGTTAATACCGATAGGGCAAGCATATAATTTATATAAAATTACTGCTTCTTTCAACAGCGTTATCATTTATTATTAGTGTATTTTCCTCGTGTTTTTGCGGACCTCTCCTTTGAAACATACTTCGATGCCCGCAGTTTAAAATTAGAGCAGTCTTGAGTTTTCCGGTATTTTTAATATGCAACCAGCAACCAGTAAATCGAACACTTGGCGGGAACGGGAGGTTTGATTTTACTGTCGCGTTTTGGTGTCTACAAATGTATAGAACAGGTCTGGCAAATACAGAGTCTAAGCACGAATGAAAATTAATATTTGAAATGAATTGGCCATGTTAAAAACAGCTGTCTAGTTTCCTTATGTCGACAGCTCTGGCATGTTTGAATGTTTATTTTTCAAACTCGAACTGGGTAAAATACTCGTATATTACGGAGATCAGCGGAATTTGCCAGTTTACAATATTTTACTTTGAAGTGTTTAAATTAACACGGTAGTTAATATTATCTTTCCGGTAGCCTGCTGGTGGATTTAGAACCACCTGTTGCATTAAGATTTTAAAGTAAGGTAGTATAAAAAAATGTGTTTCCTGTTGATATATTGACATGTATGTATGATGTACTCGTATAATTGTTGAATTTGTTCTACACCGTTACGTTGTTGTATTAAAATTGGTGAGGAAATCGCTGCTACTGTAATTACGCTATTTAGTACAGTAGGATAGTCGTAGCAAATTACTAGCATATAGTGCAGCGTTTCCGGTGGCTTTAAGCGCCGGCTGGATCTTATTCCTGTCTTTGTAGGTCCGTTCTGTGCATGAAAACGGATGGTGGTACCGTTAAACTTTAAATTTTACTCTCGGTTTACATATATTTGAAAACTGTACTGTACTTGAGTGTTACAACGCCCGCTGCAAACAATGCTAGCGTCGTGATTCTCCAGTTAATTCATGCGGCTTTTATCGCGCTTTTAGGTGGAAATGGAAGTGGATAACATACAGCAGTTATATTCCCATCTGCAGAAATCCACACAGAAGCGGGAAGCCTTGGAAAACGCTATCCGGTCCCAGTTGGAGAAGGAAAAACAGCTTTTACTACAAGAAAATCAGCAGCTTAGAGGTCAGTCGAGCGTTTTTTCTTTTTTTAAATCTGTAGATCCATTGGAGATTGTGTAGTTTAAATTCGTATTGATATTGATCGGTGGAACTGTCATCGTATAAGTAATAAATTTAATTCAGGGTGCGACGCCAAAATTAATCATCGCTTTTATTCCACTATCATTTCAGCATAATATCCTACTATTACCCCTAGTCGGTTTTTCTCACGGTGCCACAATGGTATGAAATTATATCATTCCTCACATGCAACAAGTGTAGTCATTGAGTTTTATTGTTGATTTTACTGCGGAACTTATGATCATGTATAAGTGGGTCAAGTGTTTCTTCCGCCCATGTTGTTTAGCGATGCCCACCTGCTGTTGAATATTCATTTTTGCTCGGCTAAAACATGTTAACGCACTGTTTGTTGATGTGCGAATTCGATTTCTTCTCATTAACGATCTGCAATTAGTAATTCTTTTTTGTTTTACCGGCCACATTCCATTCGATGTAATGTAATGATTCCGAGAACAATTCATGAGTTATACCAGTTTTTACTGAGTGACCTCGTTTATTTTTTTCAGTGAGTACTATTTTCGTAGATTGTTCCCTGTCTTATACATACAGAGTAGTTATTTGCTATGAGAGCGTCTGCACAGTTAACATTAATTTTGTAGTTTGATTTACGTCAGCGGGGGTTGCATATTGACATTCTTATGGTTAATGGCTATTTCATAATCGAGAATTTTATTACGGTTGTAAGTAAGCCAGAAATTCCTTCGCTATAAATGTAACGCTAAGACTTTGTACTTGTGTTGCTTATTATATTATTATAATATCTATATTATTATCTACGTTTTGTTGCAGAACACGTGGATGCCTTATCGCGGCAGATTAGTCAACGCTCACCGGTAGTATCGGAAGTCGATTACCAAGCGGCGGTGAAGGAATTCCAGTTGGCTGTTTCGCGCTTGACCGCACAAAGTAGGTAGCATTTCTGGAAAATAATGTCTTCTTCGTTATTCTACTTTGTGAGCTAGCAGCATAAATAAATGAACTGGTTTTGCGAACCTTTACAATAATTATATAATTTATATTTACCTTTACGGCTGCACCTGATTATTCTGTACATGTTGTGCACTCAAAAATATCGCATCAAATGACTGCTTGGCTTTTGATTCTGATACGTGCGTAGAGCATTAAATCGTTTTTGATATGCATAGCATTGAAGTGATTAGTTATTGAACAATCGTGTTGATCGTCCGATCAACACGATTTTGAGCGCGTCGGTGCATCGCACAAGGATAAAAGTCAAGATTAACTGCAGCAAGATAAATTTTGGGCAGGCATATAGTACCGCGTGATGGTGGACCATTTTTTGCCTTTTACATTAATAACCGTAGAAATAATTGTGATAGAGTTATTGTAAGTAATAGAGGATGGTTAAATCATGGTTTGTACTGTTTTTCGTTATTTCCACAGATAAAGAGCTAATAGAGGGCCGCAAACGGCAGGACATTGAACTGGCCGCACAGCGGGCAACCCTCGACGAACAGCGGAATCACATTGGTATCCTGGATAGTTACCTCAACAGCGCACAAGCTAATATTGCCGCACTGGAGGAAGAGGTACGCCGCTGTACTAACTCTATCACAATTATTAGACACCCGTTTTGATCGAGTGCAAAATTATAATTCTTTGGTAAATACTTTTACCAGCAGAAAATACTTTCGGCGTAGTTCCTGTCATTGTAAGTTTGTAACTTTATTGGATTATTCGCCGTTTCCGAGGTTTAAAATAATTTTCGCACTTGACATCTGTTTACCTGCATAGGATAATTGCAGTGATATTACATATTTTTTTATAGAATAATGCTGTGTGAGTATTGTTGTATACAGATATGCATACTAGACTTTTATTGTTTACCAAAATTTTATTTTGTGTTTTTTGTAGCTCAGTAAACGCACACAGTCCAACGACCGACTTCAAGAAGTCCAGCAGGCCCTCGCCAGCGTACAACTAGCCTCCAGTAAACGCGAAGCCACCGAAAAACGCCTGCGTGCTCAGATGGAGCTGGAAATTAGCAATTTAAAACAGGAAATCAGACACCTGTCTGGTTCCGGCAACTCCGACAGTTCCGGTAATAAAGCGGAAGCCGCTGTCGATCCCACAAGGACCTCTTTAGAAGGCACCGAAATTCCAGCCGACACCGGCAAACTGCAGGAAAGGTACATCGAAGGATATTTTACAGTATTTTATTCGTTTATTATTGATCCTGAATTTGTTTTCGTTTGTTTGTAGTATTGCCAGGCTGGAGCAGCAGTTGGCCGAGAAGAACGCGCTGATTAACCGCTACTTCCGCAATCTACCTGCCTCAGCGCCCAGACCCACCGTCAGCCATGTGCGCGTGCTGTCGGAAGCCACGAAAGATTCCGTTTCCGGGAATAGTGCCAGCACCGCGGATCTGCACGCCTCCAGCAGTCAGTTGTCGGTGCAGAGGCCGAAAAGTGTGGCTTCCATGAGGATAGAGCCGAAGAGTCAGTTGTGGGAAGTTTGATCTGTTTTGTGGGGGGTGGAGTAATTTATTTTGTATTTCTGGTGAGATCTTTTGTGTGTTTTTGAAGAGATTTGCTGTTTTTATGGTGATCTGTGTACAATGTAAATAAAAGAAGGGCGATTTGACACTTCCGATTGCACATTCATTTCATGGTGTACGGTCGAAATCTCCGGATTTTTAATTACAGGAAGTAAATTTATGGCGAAGTTCTACGTAGTTGGAACTTGGGACACGAAAATGTGATACGAATCTTCTATGCCGACTATGCGCATACAATTATTTCGGTTATATTATTATTATTATTATTATTACGGCACAAGAGCAGACAACCCCAAAGGGACTTCAAGTCTGGTCGAACGATGTAATAAACGCGGTGGGACGTTGGAAGCAGAACAAACTAAAAACTGCAAAATGGGGCAACAGAAAATTCTCCCTAATAGTAAACTCTCCCTAATGAATAGTAGCGAATAATGTAGGAAAAAAATCCGGAATTGTGAGTGCACGCTTGGTGATTTACGAGGAGAGCGAGCACGGTCCGGCCTGTTGATCAGCCGGTTCGGCCCGTTCGCCACCGATTCTGCAAAACGTACACCGTTGCCTGAGCACTGTGCCGGGATCAATTTTGGAAAACCAAAACAGGCAAAACTGTTCTAAAATTGAAAATTCACAAAATGGTATCAGCACGTGCTGCTCTAAATTTTTGTTACTATCTGACGAACCTGTTTTTCTTTTGTTTTGTTTACGATTAACTGAAAGTGCATAATTAGCGGTTATTCGGACATCCCGTTTATCTAAGGATAAGCACAAGTAAGTACGAGTACTTAAGACTCCGTAAGCGGTAAGCAGTAAGTACGAAATAGCCAATGTTCCAGCTGCAGCGTTTTTGGTTCCTAAGAAAGCTATGTCTAGATTTGTCCTTACTCCTTAAATATTTAACTTGACTTAAGTAATTGTTTTGTTGATCGCTCACAGGAGTCACAGCTGATAATAGTACTTAAGTCTGAGGCTCTGACATCAAGTGAGATAAGTTCTAAGTGCTGATGTTTAGAGATGTCTTACGGTTTTTTCTTCGCAAATTCCGAGCCACTGGATCCTTAACTTTCTCATCTGTTTTCCAGTGGCCTTTCTAAGGCTTTCCGGGTTTTTGTTTTTTTTGTGTTCGAGTTATGTAATGCGAAATGTGCATTGTGTCCTATGTTCTTGCTTTGTGACTATGGATATATATCGGCACAGCTGTAAGTTAGTAAGTAAAAGCGCAGGGAGGACAGGAATAAGTGTCGAGAGGTGAACGGTTTACCTCTCGACATTATTCCTGTTAATCAGTTAGGATCCTTAGATGTTAACGGTTTACCGTAAATATCTCAGGACCTAACTGATTTACGGTTTACTCAGTTGCTCACCGGTACCGTAGCTAGTTTAACCAGTTGCAGGCTTGCAGGACTGCACGCTCGCAGTTAACTCACTGGTTAGTGGTCACTGGTTACATTACTTAATTTTTGTTTGACTGTCTGGACAAACTGTTCTCGCTGACGAAAGCAGGAATTTCTTTCTTACAAGGTAACAAGCTACAAAGCTGCTTATCTGTTTTCAATATCCTGTCAGAGTTTTGGCAGTCATAATGCAGGAACCGACCGCGAAATTCTGTCCCCACTCCACTCGTTTGTGGAACCGCATCCCCGTGGTTGTCTTCGGGATTATCCAGATTGTCGTCGGAGTGACGCTGATAATGAACGACATTATCGGTAAACCGCAAAACAAACTGATGCGCAACCGTTCTTTTTGTGTTTTGTGAATTTCAACGACATATTACGCTTTGCAGGGTTCATCGCATTCCCAACCTACGGGAACCGGCGCCTGCGCTACGGAGCCGTGGCCTACACCCGCGTCGGCTCGGTGTTCTTTGCACTGGGAACGTTCTTCGTCCTCACAGGAATCGTGGGCATCAAGGCCGGTGACCGTCTGCCAGCGGACACTCCAACGTGCTCGCGACGCCGTATCCTGATAGTCTGCGCCGTGATGAGCATTCTGGGGACGGCGGGCGGGGCGCCGTTAATCGCGCTGTCCCTCATCAATCTGGGACCATGCGTCCAGTTCGGTCTGCATATGCTCATGGTGGTGGCCAACCTGGGACAGGCCATCGCGGCCGGGATCAATCTGTGCAAGATGCCCAAGGCCTTGGAGGTGGTGCAGATCGTCTTCCCGGCTCCGGGGACGTATCCCGGAGCGCAGGCTCTCGTTTGCAATCAGGAGGGACAGCCTATGTACTTCGTGCCCACCGGGCAGAAAGCGCTTCCGCAGAACGCGATCGATGCGGGACAGCCGCTTATCAAGCAGAACAATGTCTACCAGAACGTTTGAGTGCTGTATGGTTATTTGGTTGAGTTATTTCGTTGCTGTTTTTTTTTGCCTCTAACTTTATTGACAGACGAAACTGTTAATGGTTTATCATTCCTTGTTGCGTTAATTGTTCTTCGTGCTTCAACTTTGCTGCTGCGGAAAAAAGCAATCACTACGTAGTGTACTTACATTATTGTTGAGTTCTGTAGTTAGAACTTAGAAAGTGTACAAAGCCGGTAAAAAAGTTACTAATTTACTACTATGCGGTGCGTCGTGTGCAAATTTTAATTGTAAAAATTAATAAAAAACTTTTGCTAAGGATTGTCTATACAACAATTAGAAATAAACCATTAGTAGCCTAAGGCCTCGTCCCGAATTTGAAGCGAATCTCGTTGCGATACAGCAACTCTACCTCGCGAGGTGGTTTCGCGTACCGTATTTATAGGCGTGGCCACTGCATACAGCCACCTCGTGCGGTTGAGCAACCGTACCATAGCGAGATTCGCTTCGAATTCGGGACAAGGCCTAAGCCTAGCCTTCACGCTTCAGCTCGGTACTGGTCAAATTGACGTACGTACAAGTACAGTACTGTGCCACGCTTTCATGCAGTTTCATGAACTGAAACTAAGGCTACGGATTGGTACTACACGAAAAAGTAAGTAAATCAATTCTTGATTCTCCATCATGATGTTATTTTGGATTGTTCCTACTGGGTTCGTTTTTGCCCCTGGATGAAAAATTTCCCTCATCCAGTATCGAAGGGTGGCTGCGGGACCTAGTCTGGAGATCTTCTCCAGAGACTGTCGTGGCAGTTGTCCCGCAGTTATCGAGCCGCCACAGTTCCACACCGTGTAAGTACTCTCACTGATCTCCTGAATTCAGATCTCTTTCTCGCCGAACGCTTTATTAAAGGGACGACTATGACGAATCCCCTTCAATGTCCAAAGTGCCAGAAAGTCCTTTCCAGTGCACTGTATCTGTCCAAGCACCTTGAAACCCAACCAAAAGAATGCGCCAAAGCAGAACAACGCCAACTACGTTCTCAACCGCCCCAACCAAGCGCCTCGACCAACAACCAGCAGCGCCCTGTACCAACAGATTTACCATCCCGCCTGGCGGAACTGCGCGATACAGTCCACCTTCCCGATCACATCCCGAAGAGCACCCGCGTTATAGTGGCTGAAGCGTTACTGCAGACTCTGGAGAAGGTTACGGAAAATAACTCCCCGAAGCCTGGACGGATCTCCTTGTTTTCAGTTACGCAACACTTGGGCAACCAAAAGCAGCGCCAAGCCACAGACCACGAATATCGTACCCCAATATAATTCGCCGAAACATCCAAAACCATGGTCCTCCCGAATTATTACAGGGTCCGCCGTCGGACCGCGCTCCACGCGCAGCTGAACCCGACGCTCCTGTGCAGCTTCGTAAACGAGTCAGCCGCAAGCTTCAGGATGGCAATGTCAGCGGTGCAGTGCGGCAGCTAACCAGCGAAGAAACGATTTTGCCCGCGTCGCCAGAGACCTTCGCTGCGTTGATGGAGAAGCACCCTTCGAACCCACCGATATGTCACCCGCCTCCGGGACCCGCAACTCCGACAGCCCTCGATATTACTCCGGCAGAAATTGTGGAAGCAATTCGTGCCTTCCCGAATGGATCGGCAGCTGGCCCTGATGGATTGAGACCTCAATATCTGAAGGAGCTGATCAGTTTGAAACACCAAGAATTGGGTAAAAAGTTAAGTGAATCATTAGCTGCTGTTGCCAACATAATGCTGAAGGGGGCTGTGCCCCAGGACGTAATCCCGATATTTTATGGTGGAAACCTGTTTGCCTTCAAGAAGAAAGATAATGGGATCCGGCCCATTGCAGTGGGAACGAGCTTGCGCCGTTTGGTTTGTCGTATTGTGATTTTCAGATTACGCCATTTAAGTAAAGATTTGCAACCCATCCAGCTGGGTTTCGCAACGAAAGGAGGTGTGGAAGCCGCTGTTCATGCCGCACGCTACTTCATCGAGCATGCTGCGATGTTGGACAAGCCGCAGGTTTTCCTTAAACTAGATGTCAAGAATGCTTTCAACTCCCTAGACCGAAATTACATACTAAAATGTGCCGAAGAATTCATGCCGGAGTACTACAAGTTTGTGTGGCAGTGTTACGGTGAACCATCAATACTGCTACACGGCAAGTACACCGTATCTTCACAGGCGGGCATCCAACAGGGGGACCCCCTCGGCCCACTACTGTACTGCCTTGCAACTATCGCACCACACAAACGCCTGAAGTCAAAGCTGAAAGAAAGCTTTCTGGACGATGATGCGCTGGGCGGAGACCCGGAAGATGCTTTTAACGACCTCTGCTCCCTTCAGGAAGCGCTACGAGAACGCGGGCTAACGCTTAACATAGCTAAATGCGAGCTGATGGTGATCGGAGGCTCAGAGGCAGAACGCCAAACTGTGTATGATGCATTCCTCCATGCCTTTCCAGACCTGCAATGTCCCCAGCTGAAGGATCTGCATTACCTCGGTGCACCAATTCACGATGATGCGGTTGCGGGCGCACTCGTCAGTGCCACGGAGGTAATCGCCCGAATGACGGAGCGCCTAAATCTAATACCGGCCCATCAGGCCCTTTACCTGCTGAGATGCAGCATGGGTACTGTAAGGCTGAGCTACAAGTTGCGCGCAAGCCGATGCTATCAACAAAAGATGTTATTAAGCAAGTTTGATGATACAATACGCCAAAGCCTCACCTCTATTACTAACGTTAACATTACTGATGACATGTGGTCGCAGGCATCTCTCCCGATTGTAGAGGGCGGTCTCGGAATTCGAAGCGTCGAGAAGCTTGCACTCCCGGCCTTTCTGGCCTCAGCTTACTCGGTAGCTCCACTAACATCGGAAATTATTGTATTCGAACCGGACGTCTACTGTCGTGATGCTACTGCACAATGGCTCCAAATAACCCAACATGACCTCCCACACCTGGACGCGCGACCAACCCAGAAAGTTTGGGACGATCCCATAATTCGCGACACCGCAGATCGGCTACGAGCGACAGCCGGGAATGACATCTCCGAACAGGCAAGGCTGAGAGGTGTGAGCACGAAAGAAAATGGGGCATGGTTGGGAGCGCTGCCGGTTGCCTCCCTTGGCAACCTTCTTACGGACTCCGTGGTAAGAATCGCCGTTGGTTTGCGTCTGGGTGCACCGGTAATTACCCCACACCGCTGTGTATGCGGTGAATGGGCGGATGCTCGAGGCTACCATGGTCTAAGCTGCAAGAAAAGCCGAGGACGAATCCCCACACACAAATGCCTGAACGCCATTGTGAAACGTAGCCTCGCATCTGCTGGTTTCGAAAGCGAACTGGAACCGCAAGGTATCTTTCCAACAGACAGTAAGCGACCAGACGGAGTTACCTTGACACCATGGGATAGAGGACGAATGCTGGCATGGGATGCTACTTGCGTCAACACAATGGCCATATCGCATATTATTGCGACATCCGCACGAGCGGGAGCAGCAGCAGCACAGGCCGAACAGGGCAAGATCGAGAAATATCGCGATATCGGCCAAGAGTACTGGTTCCGTCCTCTGGGTTTTGAAACGCTCGGGCCGCCCGGACCGGAAGCTGCCCGCACGATAACGGAATTTGGACAGCTCATACAACAAGAAACTGGCGAAAAACGTGCCACGGAATACCTTCGCCAACGGATCAGCATTGAAATTCAACGAGGAAATGCGGCATCGATCATGGGGACAGCGCCATTGGGAGCAAATTTAGATCAAATTTTCTCTGTAATTAGGCCGCCCCTCTCGATTGATGCTTAATAAGAGGGATTGCCTTCTAAGTTACTGTAAATGCTTTGGTGCGAATAAAAAAAAAAAAAACTAAAAAAAAATGCAGGTTTGAAGTCCGAGATTTCTGCACACTGCACTCTCGCATCCACGCTCTAAAATTCTGTCATTGCTCTGAAAGACTGCAATCTGCGTTTTTTTGTTTCTTATTGTTAGTAAGTTATAAGTTGACATTGCATAATTTCTGACCTGTTGTTTTTAACTAACTGTTTAATTGTATACCGTTGTTTGTCCGTATTATAACAGCCGGTAAGCAGCACTGCAAAGAGACTACTGTAGGAGTAAGATTAAGAAAGTGGCAAGTTGAAAGCATAACGCTGATAACGCCATAACATAATAGCGAGATGATATCCTGGGTTCGGGTCCGCTCCGTACTCCTTTTCTCGGGTTCCTATTAATTTTATAATTTTATTAGCATTTTCTTCTGAATCTGCTGCTTTTTTGTACCGCTTGTCCATATCTGATCGTATTTGCAATTTTGCACCTTGTTTTCCGTCTTCGTCCGAAATCGAGCTTGTGTTTGTTAGTTTGTACATGTGACCGTGCTTCACGGTTTGTGGTTCCTTCACTCCTTGTGGCAGTTTCCGCTCGTTTCCGTTTTTATTGTTCGTATTTGTGAGAGAAGGTATTCTGCATAGGAGTAGTGTTAGGCTATACTCTTTTTTACAGAATAATTATGATAAAAAGTAATTCTGATTTAGTAAATATGATTTCGCGCTGCAGACAAAGAGCTGAATAATCGTGATACTGACTCTGCTGAACAGGCCGTGTTCGGCATTGTTTGCTGATGAAAGCTGAAAACACAGTTTTCTGCTGTGCCACGCTGGCCCACGCAATAATTGTTCCACGTTTTTTCTTTCACAGTGAGACGATCATGAAGCAGGAAACCGCCGCGCCATCCAGTCTTAATGTCACTCGGCTGTGGAACCGCGTCCCCGTGTTGGTTTTCGGGATCATCCAGCTTGTTGTCGGAATGGCGCTTAACCTGAACGACATTATCGGTATGTATAACTCTAATAAAAGTCTAAGGCGTAAATCAATTCTATGACAATAATGATGGTTACTGGATGAGAGGACGGTGTCGACGTTCAGTTATAGTCCTTGACGTGTTCCACTGCTGGGATATGATTTGCAGGATTTATCTACTTCCGCAACTCACGCTATCTGGATAGAGAGTATGCCGCCAAGCTGTACAGCACTGTCGGCTCGGTGTTCTTCGTCATGGGCACCTTCTTCGTCATCACCGGGATCCTGGGCATCAAGGGCGGTGCGCGTCTGCCGGCGGACACGCCGCCCTCATCCCGCCGGGCCCTCCTGATTGCCTGTGCCGTTATGAGCATCCTGGGGGCCATTGGCTCGGTGGTGTTGATCATTCTGTCGGTTGTGGATCTGGGATTGTGTGTGCAGTTCGGTCTGCATATCCTCATGTTTCAGGCCAACGTCGGACAGGCGGTCGTTGCGGTGATCAATCTGTGCAAGATGCCCAAGCGGGCCAAGACCCTGAAGGTGGCGCAGATTGTCTTCCCGTCCCCCGGGACTTACCCCGGAGCGCAGGCACTCATCTGCGATCCCGACGGCCAACCCGTGTACTTCCTGCCGACGCAGTCCACTGGGCCGACAGCACCCCCGCAGCAGCAGCAGGGAACCGATGTGGGACAGCCGCTGATCAAGCAGAACAATGTCTACCAGAAGGCTTAAAACGGCCTGTGTGAATTTTCAGTTCTGGTTATCATTTGTCCCGGAATTGTTTCCTTTTTTTGTTATGAGTTGCTGTAGCTTATTCATATGAATACGAACTGCACTTGTATAATTGTTATTTTGTTCCCTCTCTCCAGGGATAATTAACGCCATGGTCAGGGATCGTTGAATCTCTGCATTTTTCTTATTTAGGTACTTCGTTTGACTGTTAGTTTGTTGATAGGCTGGTTTAGTTGGCTACTGCCCGAGTGGCCGGTAACACAAAATTAATGACAAAATCAGTACTGGTGGTGCATCCTAATGCGAATTTTACATTGATAACAATTATCACAATGATTTCATACTTCGCGTGTAAGGACATTATAGCCGCATTAATTTTATCAGCAGTGTATGATTACGAACATTGCCAGCTTGATAACAACACAGGTGACAATGCACGCAGTGATAAGGTTTACCACAAATTTATAGAAAGAGTTCGGTCGCATAAAAGTGATAAAGCGGAACTGTACAGCGTTTAAATCACTGCAACGTAACTGTAAGCGTGTAATTAAAGATCAAGCGGTCGTAGAACATCGCTGCGTTGTTTTGATTAAAGGTTTTATTTTTTAACACGAATAATTTTATACTACTGTAAAGTAGTACTGCATCACGATGGCTACTTCGAAGTATGGCTGCACCGTACGGCATGATGCCGGTGAATCCACCGGCAACCAACCTGCATAACAGGGCATCGGTGCTAACCTTCGGTATCCTCCAGTTGATATTTGGCGTCGCCATGATCATCAGCGACATTGTCTGTAAGTACTGGTTATTTACACAGACGCATCCCAATTGCTCTGTATACGACAAAAACAAATTCCCTTAATTAACAGCGTTCTGCATTGTTCCACCCTATCGAGCGATCGTATATAACGGTGCTGGTTCGGGATTCTACCTGGGTGTCTTCTACATCATCGCCGCCTCCTTCGGGATCGCCGCTGGACGATACTTGCCGGTTGGCACGCTACCAAGCTCGCGAAAATGTCTGCTAATCACCTCCATGGTACTGAGCATCCTGGCGTCGCTGTGGGCCATCAGCATGGCGATCGTTTATATGGTCTTCCTAATTATTTTCAACGCTGGCGGTTTCGATTTCAACTGGTGCTATCATCGCCCGTACGGCTCCGAAGGCTATTACCAGGATGCCTATCTGTGCTACAATTATTGGTCGAAAGGCTACGGATTCCTGAGTGCCAACCTGACCTTTCAGGCGCTCATGTTCATCTTCAGCCTGGGACAGTCTATTTCGGCCGGTATCAATATGTGCAAGTTGCGTTGTAATGCCACCGTCACACAAGTGGTCTTCACGCAGCCGGGGTATTATCCTGCAACACAACCGATTACGTTTAATTCACTTCCGGTCGTGCCGGGACAACAACCGGCGTACGTTATTGCTGGCCAGCAGCCGGTTTTCATGGGTCCACCGCCTATGTATAGCGCCGCTGCTCAACCAGCACCTACGAGTGCCGAACAAGCACCATCTCAAAAAGCTTAAAAACGGGATGGCTTGATATAGCTATAAATAATTAGTTTTACTGGAGTATATGATGCAAATTGTAATTCATATACAGTACATACTACATAGTTATATTTTGTAGCCAATCGGTCTAGTAATGTGGTTCTCACTTTTGAATTATTTCATAATTACTACTATATCTGTTTACGGATTGCTTCTGAAGCGCTACAGATGTTGAAGAAAATCACATGATCAGCTTTTTCGCACATGATATGCTACGGGATCCTTCTGTTGTACAGTAGTACATTAGACATTACATAAAATAATTGCTGATAGCTTTACGCAGCCGACATTTTATCCTTGTTGCTGCAAGCCGTTTTTTCTGAGTCGAATAAAAATGCCGAGCCCACGTATACCAACTTCGAAATCTGAAAAATTAATGACGAAGCCTTTTTAAATTATGGTGCGGTACAATGGAACTTTTGGCGTGTAAGTGATCATGGTCAAGAGGTCGTAGAACAGCGCCACGTACTTTTATTTAACAGGTAAGATTTTATTACACCATTTGAACCGCATCATTATGGCTAGCGCTGCACCAGCATGGTTCCAGCCATTCCAACGGCAACCGGTTTGCATAACCGGGCATCGGTAATTTGTAAATGAAGCAGAAGCAATTTGTACATGTATTGTTTCACATTGTCAGGATGCTGCGCTTTTAAAACAGGAAGGTGTTGCAGTACGGATATCTCACCTCGGATCGACTGTACTCGACGAGCTACTGTCGCGCGTAACTTCAGCCTCGCGATCGGTCAGCACACGATCGAGCGATCAGCAAATGCATCGAGCAATCAGTCGATTAACACCACTGGACTCAATACTACAGAGTACAAGTCCTCGTCATCAGTAATCTCGTCTTGATGCCCTTTCAAGATTATTCCCCTTGTAGGTCATATTTGTTTTGTGCTTCATATTCGACCTTTCATAAACAGAAGATTTATTAGAAATTATCGGTTTCGGAGGTTTTGGTTGCATTACGTCGCTGTGCAGCGCAGGCTTGCCTGTGGCTGTGAGAACCTGTGTATATTACCAATTTCTGTAAATGAAGTGCCATCGTTAGCATGACGAAAGGAAGCAACAAATACGAACTCCACCTGTATACATTATTGCCTTGCACTTTTCGTCGCACCGGACAAATAAGAGTGACATTTCTCCGCACTCAGATTCGATTCGCGACTTTTTGCGGAAGACAAAGACATTGCGCCGCGGGACATACGGACGTTGAACATACATGATGTATATTACATGTGACATTTCGGTTTGGGACACACTGCATGCAAGTTGCATGCAGTGCAGTAGTCATGCAATTGTTGCATAATGCTACTGTTTTACGCAATAGATACTTAATATGTTATGCTTATTAAATGAGTCAGATATACGATAATTATATTTATTCACGCTAGCTATAAGGTGCTAAAGTGCACATGTAGCGCACGTTATAAAGTGCAAATATTGTTATCGATAACCTTATCACCTACTGTTTGCATTGCCAAGTGCTTTCTGTAAGGTCCAACGACTGGTAAGTAACCGAAAATTTGCTGGTGACGTTAAAATATATATCGGTATCGTGTACATAATAATGTACAGTGTAACACTTGTGAGAACCATTGTTTTTGTGCCGTGTTTGTCTCCAGTTACAGTGCACATAATTTATCAGTCTGTATCTGTTATTCGACGATACAATACTTACTTTAGTTTTCGTAGGTAGGTGTAAGTACGCTGGAAATGCATTTTTTCCTCAAGAAATTACATTTTGGTGTACTGGGATAACAGCGCACATTGCCCCAACACGGCCGCCTTATAAAGTTTGAAGTTTTCTGTACAGCATGCTTGCTGGTCTGTATGGTACGTCGGTTCCTGCCGCTCCAGCCTCTCGTTTATACTGTTTACGTCCTCTCTTAGCATTTGGGATACTACAGTTGATTTGCGGATGCGGATTGATTATTATTGAAGACAGCGTCGGTATGTACTGCAGACGTTCTCTTCGATTAGTATATTTTTTCTTCGGTTCTTCTTGGGTCGCTGTGAAAATGAACATACAAGTAAACCAATGATGCGTTAACATATACAGGGCCTTACGCGGAAAGTATTTTATTATGTCAGTTAGCCACAGTTGCCGACGCTGTTGTAGAAGAAATAAAATAGTTCAGAACATAAGCAACATGTAAAACAATCACAATTACTAATATCATTCGAGAAACTATACTCGTACAGTCGTACTGAGTAGGCAGAGTATTCCTACGAGTAGTTAAACCCGTTACCACGTATAAGATACTAGCAACCAAAAACGGTCTTTCTAGTTCCATATTTTCTAATGCAGAATCTAGCATCCTTCCAACCTATCGTGCCGGCTTCCACAGTGTGTGGTTTTCGGGAACATGGGCTGGTGTATTTGCCATGATAACCGGCGCCTTTGGCGTTGCGATGGGTGGACGCCTGCGAGTTAGTCAAACTCCCCGTTTTCGCCAGTGTTTCTTCATAACAGCGCTGGTCGTGAGTGTTTTGTCCCTGCTGGTCAACATTTGTGCCATCATTGTCCGCAGTGTTTACGTAGCAGCATTTTCCCGCGGCGGTTCGGATTTTGATACATGCACGTACTTCTTGGATCAGTGGTTGGAAGAAGATATATGCACGGACTACTGGCAGCGGGGATTTGGTTTGATGGGGCTGGGATTGGGATGCCACGTATTGGTTTTTATCGCTGGCCTGGGGCAAGCCATTGTCGTCGGTGTCAACTCCTGGAAACTTCGAAGCCAAACGGTTTTGTAGAACCCCTTTGCTGTTCACGCTCGCTGTTTTATAGTACTGTTGCTGAATGTCTGAAAAGCTGATTTCGCCCTACTTACTTGTTAATTATGACCCGCCGCCTAATTAAAATCTCCAACAACATGTAGTACTCGTACCAGTGGTAGTATGTACTGAACAATACTGCAGTGCACTGCTGAATGTATAATACTGTGCACGGCATTGTGTATTCGTATTATGCGGTCAGCCTATCTACAGCTGCGAAATAATTACTTACTTTTACTGTTTTTGGAAGGTATGATGGGTTGCCAAATGTGCATATTAAGAAGTCATATTGCAAATCGTGGAACCTTGTAAACTCCTAGACCAGACTGCTGTTAATGGCGGTTAGTATAATTAAGCTACTGTTGCCTTAATCAAGTTGTGTAAGTATGCTTTGTTCGAAATGTGTATACTTCAAGTACACGTAGATTCGTCCGCTGGACTAAGTACACTGTACTGTACAGTGCCAACTCACTGCATTCACGGGAATTACAGTATACCGTACTCGTGCTTTGCATCAGTTCGCGAAATCGGTTCATTTGGTAGTGCTTTCACAGTGACAATAACTTACCACTCATTTTAAGCAAGAAAGTTCAATATAAGCGAATAAGGACTACTGACTAGCAAGCATGCACCCATAAAGTGAGTGTCAGAGATGGAGATTATGCAGCTCACACCCAGCAAGAAACTAGCGATTTGAATTATTATTCGCAAGAGCACTCGTTATCCTCTCCGGTCCAGTCGCAGTTGCTGGCCTGGACGGTGAATTCAACGGTGGCGCCACCACTGAAGGATGGAGAAGTGCGCAGATGGCCAGTCCAAGGGAACTACGGTTACAAAAGAAGAGCCGCTTATTAAAAGAAGTCAATCAAGGTAAAGCACAATGTAGTTACCCCGGAGCAGCCGTGGGTGGCGCAGAAGTCGTTCATGGCGGTGTCGATGACGGGGTAGTCGGTGGGGCCGGCGGTGATGAGCGCCACTACATCGTGCACGTCGTTCCAGGTGCAGCCGGCTTCGTTGAGGATCTGCTCCGTCAAGCTCATCACCTGGATGGCTTCGTTGTAGGTGCCGCCCGGACTGATGATGGTGCGGTTGGCGAAGGAAGTGAAGGCGCGCACCGAGGTCATGAACAGGCTCTGACCCACGCGGACGGCGTACCTAGTGATCCATAAAGGGAATTACTTATAATAATGCCGGGGATAACGGTAACCGGTTACAAGTCAACAGTTTTTGCAAACCAAAAGCTTGATGTGTTTACAAGAAATTGTAATTTATGTTATCTTCATTATTAGGAATAGTATTTATTATAAAGGGAGACTCTACGAGCTGCCTTTGTGGTATTAGATTTTAGTGTTTATGATGGCTAAAATATTAAAATTCCATAAAAATATGAGCAAATTGCAAATTGCAATTTTTGGCTTAATGTAGAAACTTCTAAGTTAGGTCAGATTAACTTTCGTCATTAGGGAAAACAGTAACAACTTACTGCCACGGCTTGGTGGTGGGTTTGGTTGGTGCCACCGACGGGGAAATCGGGACAATGTAGCGTTTCCATTTGCTGCAGCACTCTGGATGCCTTCGGTTATGTCCACCGACTACTGAAGCCAAGAGCATGAAAATGAATTGAGGGATCTATGATAATGAATAACTGCTAATAACAGTCGATCAGCTGGCTACCGGCACTTACCGCTCGTAGCAGCGACAGCCAACAAAACAGCCAAGATAACGAGTTTCATGGTAGAAAGCGAAAGGAAGTTAAGAACTGTAAAATATAACAAGATTCCAAGAAAAGGTCAAGGTAGAATTGGACACTATATAACTGATGGAAGCTTCAATTTTGCACACCGCTTATACATATATATATGCATTTTCCAGGCCGTTAATGTTAACTCTCAGTCTAGAGGAGGCGGAAATAAAAAGTTATGTTAGCATTTCAAGAGAGTAGTATAGCTTGATCAACAGTGTACCACACATGACGCTTATATAACCTGACAAACGGAATTATGCGGAAAAAACGATAATATCAGTGATATGAGAAATAGCTAGTGCTGGTTTCAACTTGTTTTCATGTGCTTGGTTACGTTTTGATGTCCGGATTTTCAACGAGATGCCGATAAAGTGCCAGCGGTTTTAGAGGCATTATCGTTTTGAAGGCATCTATGCCGCATCGTGCCGGCCAGTTCTTACCGGAAACCAAAGATCGAGAAGCCAGGAAGCAGTAAACACATGTACCAGAATAATGTCAACCATTTGCTTGCTTTTTATCAGTATGGCGCGTGAATGTACGAGTAAATACTGGCTTACCGCCGATGGATGAAAGCAGTGCACCAGATTTTACCGCCAAAATTTAAACATCTAAATTTGCGATGTAAAATGGGTTTAACGAACACTGTAAACATTTCAAGGTCGACACCATAATCAAGGTTACTTGAGTAAGCGCACAAATACTATGTACATACATAACTCTACTGTGCAATATGCGGGTGTATTTTTAGCGACTATGAATAATACTTTACAACACGTAAAAACAGTCTGGCGAAACCACATAACTGATAACATAGTCCATATTTAAGGTGTTCATTGATTTTAACAAAATCATCATTATTTTTTATGCAGGATATGCATATCAAAACGCAAAAACGTTCTAATTACCAAAACATAAAATCAAGAGTTTTATCCGTATTCGAAAATTAGCAGTACCCGATTACGATTCTATAGTTTAGCCACCGTGACTGCATTTCCATCTCCGGCCACAGACGCAGTTGAAGTTCACCGCGCTATCCGCATTTCATTCTGCGTCATTTGTGCGGTCTTCTGTCCGCTAAACGAATACCGTGCATCGCACTGGCACAAATTACGATAAAAATTACTATACGTTAAACGATAAACACAACATGTTAAGGGAAATACTGATGAGAAAAGTAGCGCATCGCTTCTTGTTATCGTACGTTGCAGGATACGATTTACCGGTCAAACAGTACATGACTGTATACTTTTACCGGTCAAACAGTACATGACTGTATAAACCTTATTAGTGCACTTAATTTAAGAAACAAGTAATCAAGGAATTTATGGTTAATCACGATATCAACCAACTCGCTGCTCTTGAGTTGTAAACGTTCTCTAATTTCGTAATTTCCCGTGGCACACACGCCTATAATTTTGTAGTTCTGTGTAATGATCTACGGTAGCAAACTCATATAAAAACCAAATATCGAAGTTTTCACTATTGACAACGTTGCATAAACACGTACCTCGACACATTCTCGATACTGTGCAGTATGTCTCTCGTATATTTTTAAATTTTACGTTTTTAGTACGTACTTGCTTTATTTTTTGCCCGTTTGTACTTATGACTGATGTTATGACTAAATCTATACTTTTGTACTGTCCAATTTAACGAGATGGGGCACAGTCGCTAATGGTAAGTTGTTGCTGTCTCGGGCCACGTATCTGTACTTTTATTTACCTGTACTTTTATTCACCACGGTAAGTACAATACATACCGTACTTTCTATAATTTCACGGCATTCAAGAAATTTATGTTTTCTGTTAGCGCTCTTGCACCCTGCCCAATCCTCTTCCTTTGAATTACCTTGCTGTCTTTTATAGGGTACATAAACGTACATTGTGGACTTTACACTTTTTTCAGCACTCCGTACACACCCTTTCACACCCTTCCACTCCGTACACAACCTTTTGCACTACCTTTCATTCCGTGCACAACCTTTGACACTACCATTCACTCCGTACACTACCAATCCGCGCTACCTTACACTACTAAACTTTTAAACTGCGCTACCTACAAAATTGCACTACCAGACCCTGCGGCAACTTCTTACACAGGGAGAGACCTACGAAACTGGGTCGAAAACTCTTTCGAAAGCGGCACTGTCCAAACCCTGCGAAGAAAAACCGGCACAAGGGCGCCTAGAATAATTTTGTCACGGGAATTCGATTTTGTAACTGACAATGATGCTTTGAATTATGCAGCAATAACTGCTGTTAACGAAAAAACTCTGCAGTTCCAGAAATAACTCTGCTGTGAAAAATTAAAAAAATAAAAGTTAGTGCACGCAGATAAAGGTAGTGCCGAATGGTTGTGTACGGAGTGGAAGGGTGTGAAAGGGTGTGTACGGAGTGGTCACCAAAAAGAAAACCGTGAAGTGTAAAACGTCTCTAACTTGCTTGCTCAACGCAGCGCTCTTTTTCGTATTGCACGGTAAAAGAGCTGGGCAATCCTGCCGCTATTAGTAAAAACTATGCAGTAAGCTACTACCAAACCCGTCTAACCGTCTCGCCTAGCGGCGGTTAACCTGGCTTAATAGTGATTCGCTGACGCAATGAAGGAGTTTTTCTATGCAACACCAACCGATTATTTCAGTATTGTTTCACAGCTAGACAATCATGAATCGGCAAACGTCACCGACATCCAGTCCTAACGCCACTCGCCTGTGGAACCGCATTCCGGTGGTGGTCTTCGCCATCATACAGATTGTTGTAGGAATGGCGCTAAACCTGAATGACATCATAGGTAACCTTAGCGCATAACGGTTCTGGCGTGCTGTCTGTCACTGCGCATTAGCTAATCATAAGTTAAGTAAATTATTTGGTCATGGTTGCCATGGTGGAACTTGTACGTTCTTAAAATGCTATCGCGATCTGCAGGATTCTTCGTTTTGTTAAGCGACCCAGCCAAAATGTACAGCGCCGTCGGTTCGGTGTTCTACGTCATGGGCACCTTCTTCATCATCACTGGGATTCTGGGTATCGTGGGCGGTGCCCGTCTGCCGACGGACACTGCGCCAGCATCACGAAGGGCTCTCCTGATTGCGTGTACCGTTATGAGTATTCTGGGCGCCATGACCTCGGTGGTGTTGATCGCGCTGTCAGGTACCTTTCTGGGACTTTGTGTGCAGTTTGGTCTGCATATCCTCATGTTTCTGGCCAACGTGGGACAGACGGTCGCAGCGGGAATCAATCTGTGCAAGATGCCCAAGACATTGAAGGTGGCGCAGATCGTCTTTCCGCCACCCGGTGTTTATCCTGGAGCACAGGCTCTCGTCTGCAATCAAGCAGGTCAGCCCATGTACTTCGTGCCGACGCAACCAGCTGGACCGACAGCGCCTCCACAAAGCAGGGAATCGACATGGGACAGCCCCTCATCCAACAGAACAAGGTCTGCCTGATGGTTTAACGGTGCTTCTTTTTGTCACGGAATGACTTCCTTTTCTGTTACGAGTTGTTATATCTTGTTGATACCAACTGGAATTTTACGTCTGAGAGGGCTAATTTTTTATGGTTCAATCTCCAAAATGTCTTTTAAGCCATTGGTTGATTGTTGACTGTCAACTTATGTGACCGGTTACGGGGAAACAGAAATTGATGGTAAAACTGATATTGGTGAGGCACCGTTATATCAAAGTTTTATTCCGATGCAATCGAAAGGATTTCATACATACGCATACAACTGTAACAAAAGCATTTTGCCGCGCTTCCTCGGCAGTTGTTTTGTGCAGAGTAGTTATGATCGATCTTGGTAGCTTGATCACAACACAAAGCACCGATGCCAACCTAACCTTCCAGACGCTCATGCTCGATTTCGGGAAAGATTATGCCAATAATCTGCATATTATTGGACCTGGTGATGGTGGGTGGAGCGCTGTGGTCTGTCCTGTCTGTTCAGTGGTTTGATGGTCAATGGTCAGCGTGTACTATATATAGCTGTTCGCAGTGTATGCACCCACACTTGGCACTGCGTCCGGCAATGATGAAGTTTAGATTTTTTTACTAATTTTGGTTAATCCCATATCTGTTTACGCCATGGTAGTGCCAGCGTCAAAGTCCGCTTTGCGTAAGCTTAGCGTTCAGAAGTTGAGGGAACTGTGTGTTGAGTTAGATATTTCTCATGTGGATACCGACGGCAAGAACGCACTTTTGCAGCTTCTAGAGCCTCGGATGTTCCCTGTGGATGACACCGATTCCATTGCCAAAGTGGTTGTAGAACTGAAGTTGGACAGGAAATGCCAGAGTGAACTGGAAGCCGAAGGGATATCCAGCAAGTCTGCCCTGTTGTGCCTTGGAGAATCTTCCAAGTTCCCAAGTAACCTGGATATTGTAAGCCGTGAAGGAGTTCGTTGCATCCTGGAGCGATTCATCCGTGCCGAGAACAGCGGCCGCGGTCGGGAAAAGCCACCCAAGCCAATTCCCCCTTTCCGCGAAGCCAGCCCACCGCACGGCAGTCCTGGCCAGCGTGCAGTCAAAGGTCACGCCGACCGCAAGGAGGTCAATCTTCCCCGCAGCAGTGGTACCCGCGGGTGAGTATGATAATCTGAAGCCGGCATGCTTGCACCGCTCTGTTTCAGTCATTTCAGTTAAGAGTGATAAGTCTGAGTTTATGGCCAAAAGTTTTAACTGCTTCCCAACGGAAGCACGTAAACTGCAGAGGCCGCATGAGCTGGCGTGCCCTAAACCAGGGTCGAAAAGCAAGCATGTTTCTCCTCTTGATCTTTCACTGGATGAGTTTTCCGTTCACAGCTGGCGAACAGCGGTTAAATTGTGCAAAACTCTGTCTGGACAGTATGCAGAGACGCTCCTGGAGCATCTCGAATATAACGAATACTTGGCTTCTATGCGTTGTAATTTTACGGATGAGGCTGTTCTTGAATTTGACACTGACCTTCGACATTCTGCTGAGAACGAAGGGTTTTCGTTAAATGATTACCAAGCACGAAATACTGTCAGTTCTAAGCATTTTCATGCGATTAATCGCCGAACAGAGCATGGCGCCGATCAAAGCGACAAAGGTCAGCCTTTTCGCGGTCGCAGTGGCGCCAAAATGTCCCGCTATAAGTTTGCATGCTGCTTTGCCTTTCAAGAAGACAACTGCTCTCGGTCATCTGCTTCCTGCTATTATTCGCACGTCTGTGGTGAAGGCGGGAAACGCGGGCATGGCTATCATGGCCACCGAGACTCAGGAGCTGCGAGCCCTACTGACACTGATAATTAATTTAGCTTGTCTTAATTACTTTGGCAGTGCAGACTCAACGGGTCTGCGTCGCCTTTATTTGGCTCTGTATTGTGGTCTGACTAGAAATTTTTATTACTGGGTCATCTTGTTATTGCGCGCCAGTAGCGCATATTGTAATTTGCAGTGTGTCCGCATTTGATTATCTGGTGTTCTTGGAATTTTAATTATTGCATTGCTTCGGCGACGCATTATTGCATTGCTTCGGCGACGCATTATTGCATTGCTTCGGCGACGCATTGTGTCTTATCGTTTATTCTGAATGTGGGTTAGAAGCATTTTTGCTTTTGTTGTGCGATTTGACATGTGAGGCAAACCCTGTTTTCACAGGCTTCTCTCTGGGAAAGTGGGACAGCTCCTGCTAACCTTTGCGGAGAAAGACCTCTTTATATGTGCAGAATAATAACCCGCCAGATTTATCAAACAAGTGATATCAATATCATTTGCATTATTCATTTACTGGAGTCATTATTTCTCAAGCCGACTAAAAGCAGTGTTCTACATTGTCGCAGTTTGGCATAATGCTTTATTTACCACCGGCTTCGGAAAATACGCATAAACTATATTAGCTGCCGCGCATATCCTTAATTAAAATTTCGCTGTAATACATTTTCTGCTTGGCGCTACTTTAATTATTTTTTTTTATAATGTCTCATAAGGCTGGCTTTCATTAAGTTTATTGGCGATAAAGTGCTCCACACTTTTAAGTCTTAATGAAATTTAAGTGTGACCTTTCGGTTTCTGTCTGTTTGTAATCCGCCTTGACACAGTTTTCACTGTGTGGCACTACGTCAATGTCTTGTGGATTTCCGACGTAACCACGCGCAAGGTTCCTGATTTTTTGGTTGCTCCAACTTGCCTCGCCATCGGAATATCCGGATCATAACCAACTTACCCATCTGTTTGTGTTGTGTTTTTCTGCTCTTGGGGGTTTGGAGGTTGTTCCCGCTTCGCGGGCGTGTTGTCAGTAATCAATAAATCACCCCCCTTTTCGATATGGCATTATTTGTGTGTACGGTAACAGAACCAGGGAACAATAATGGGAAAGATTATGCCAATAATCTGCATATTATTGGACCTGGTGATGGTGGGTGGAGCGCTGTGGTCTGTCCTGTCTGTTCAGTGGTTTGATGGTCAATGGTCAGCGTGTACTATATATAGCTGTTCGCAGTGTATGCACCCACACTTGGCACTGCGTCCGGCAATGATGAAGTTTAGATTTTTTTTTCAGAGGTTGTTCCCGCTTCGCGGGCGTGTTGTCAGTAATCAATAAATCACCCCCCTTTTTGATATGGCATTATTTGTGTGTACGGTAACAGAACCAGGGAACAATAATTGCCAGAGACAGTTCATTTTGACTCTATATCTGCTCTACCCGTATCTGTGTATATATGTGCAAGTTGCGTAGTAATGCTACCGACTTCATCACACTTTTGCAAGCACGCAGCCGGTATATCATTATCCCGCAGCGCAGCTGCTTATGTGTTAGATCGACTGCCTTTCGTGAAGGGACAACAACCAGCGTAGGTTGTTCCTCTACAGCAGCCGGCTTTTATGGATCCATCGCCGTCTTACAGTACCACTGGTTGTACAGGGAGCTATGCATGCAAAGCAGGTAACATTTGAAAATTCATTAAACTTGGGTGTACTGGATAATTTTGTAACTTTGAAGGGCATATTGGTATACCAATGTTTGAATTTCGTATTCGCAAGGACATTTATTTAAGAAGCGCTTTCGCATCAACAGTCAAAACAAGAAGGTAGTCGTTTCTTGACACATGGTAATTTTGTTGGCAAAGTTCAGTACGAATTCGCTGTACAAAAAGCGGTCTGCAATTCTGCGTACATACAAACCGGTGCTTACTATTAATTTTGATATTATGTTGTTTGTGCAATTCCGGTTTAATTTCTTAGCTAATACTGTATGGTCATATACAATACTTATGTACGAGTCATTATTATGTTATGTCATGTCTCGTAAATCAATAATGACGCTTTGTTATTTAGGCTTCATGTGCCGTTCCAGTCTGACTATTGCTGAAGCTTTCTAAAGAATGGTTTTTGGGATTGGCTGTGATCGTAGTGCTTGGTATGTTCATATGTACTACATACGTAGTTCTTCCCTGGGTTTCTTACAGTTCGTTGGAATTGCGCATCAGTGTTCAGTATAGCAGTTAAGTTTTTAATGTTTCCAGAATTACCAACAGATACATGTAACTCACAGTTTTAAAGATCAAATTTAACATTCGTTGATAGTTCACAAATTATCAGCTCATGAATTATTAATTTACGGTTTTAAGAGTAAATTTAACATTTTCACTGGACAGTAATTAATTGTTGACCCTCAGTTCCTCAGTCACATAAGTGATAGTTCCTTAATATACAGCTAGAAATGATTCTGACACACGGCAAAAAGACAAGGCTTTCTCATTATTCGCACGAGCACTCGTTATCTTCTCCTGTCCAGTTGCAGTTGCTAGCCTGGACGGTGAATTCGACGGTGGCGCCACCGCTGAAGGATGGAGAAGTACGCAGATGACCAGTCCAAGGGAACTATGGAAATAAAGAAGAGTCGCTTAGAAAAAAGGCAATCAAGGAAGACTACGTTGTACTTACGCCGGAGCAGCCGTGGGTGGCGCAGAAGTCGTTCATGGCGGTGTCGATGACGGGGTAGTCGGTGGGGCCGGCGGTGATGAGCGCCACTACATCGTGCACGTCGTTCCAGGTGCAGCCGGCTTCGTTGAGGATCTGCTCCGTCAAGCTCATCACCTGGATGGCTTCGTTGTAGGTGCCGCCCGGACTGATGATGGTGCGGTTGGCGAAGGAAGTGAAGGCGCGCACCGAGGTCATGAACAGGCTCTGACCCACGCGGACGGCGTACCTGATTAAAAAAAACTCATTACTGTTAGCAATGCGACCCGTGGCAACACTGGCGATAAGCAGTAGTCATTAAAAGCATTTGTAAACAAACTGTTTAGCGAAAACAATTATGATCGCCTTTATTTAGACATGGGTGTCTTCAACAGTACAAAACGAAGCACATGCGAGTTGCCTTTACGGTATTTGGTGCATCGACGGCTAAAGATTAACAGTCAATTAAAATTTGAGTAAAAACAACTTACTGCCACGGCTTAGTGGTGGGTTTTGTTGGTGCCACCGAGGAGGAAATCGGGACAATGTAGCGCTTCCATGCACTGCAGCATTCGGAGCGTCGTCGGTGATGTCCGCTAGCCACTGCAACCATCAGCGTTATTACGAACAAGCGTCACGGCAGCGAAAAACAAATCTTTCAGCTCGCTAAAGCCTTAATAAAGGTCACTTACCGCTTGTAGCCGCGACAGCCAATAGAGCAGCCAGGATAGCGAGCTTCATGATGGAAAGCGAGAAAAATTAGGAAATGTAACAAGGAGCCACGTAAAGGCTGAAGCGGAACTTGGACACGGTGCAACTGATGGAAGCTTCGGATTTCGCAAACCGTTTATATATGAATTTTCCATGCAGCATGCCAACTTTGGTTGTCAATCTGGAGACGTCACAGTGATTAAACGTTATGGCAGCATTTCAATAGGGTAGTAAAAGTTTAGCGAAACCATATTGCAAATGACGCTTATGCAACGTGTAAAATGGAATTATGCGGGGAAATGATCACTGATGTGAATACTGATATGGGAAACTGGTGCCTGGTTTCTGTTTGTTTGCGTGTGCTTGGTTACGTTTTCATGTCCGGATTTTCAACGAGATGCCGATAAAGTGCACGCGATTCCAGAGACATTATAATTTTATCGGCATCGTGTTGGTCGATTGTTAGCGGAAACCGAGAAACCCGGGAACAGTAAGCGCACGTACTATACCGGAATAATGGCCATTTGTTTATCAGTGTGGCGTTCAGCTGCCAACAACAGCGTATGCAGACAGAATACAGCCGTTCACCGGATTCACCCGCCAAATGAATTGTCTGAATTTGCAGTCCTAAAATACGTTTAACGAACACTATAAGCATTACTAGCGTACAAGTACTGCATAACTGCACATGCATATTTTTAAATTTTGTGAGTATGACAGTCCACGGGAGTAAAACCGGAAAAAAACTTTCTGACGGAACTATCTGTATCTGTACATCACACAGTCTGAATTTATGTGGTTCATTTTCCAGTCGTTTTCACAAAATCATGATTCTTTTTTTACACATGATCCATACGTAAAAATAGTTTAATCCCTGATACTGTAACGTAAAATCAGTATTAGTTGCGGTATACCAGATTCCGATGAAGATAACTTGCTACGGTAACAGTAGTTCTAAAGTCGGTGAGGGGCAGTTAAAGTTCACTGCAGAGTGTAAGAAACGGAAAAACATGCAAGCAAGTAAATTTCTAAAAGGGCAAAGGATGCTGCACGCGGTCGTAAGCTGATCGACACGAAGTATTCTTAATTTTGCCGTTGAAGAAGTACCTGACCACTGCTGTACTCAAGGAATCTCTTTCAATCGTACAATATGTAAAGCTACAAAGTATATTACGTGCACTGGTTCCATACACTCGATTGGACGAACCGTGGGCTCTCAGCTGCACATGCTGCATGAAGCAGGTAGGAGTAGCCGTTTGTTACAATATTTCTGGAGCGTATGTGCCTGTGATATTTTATTCATCTTGCATCCTGAAAGCCTGTTGCATTTGGAACACGGTGAACATGTGGATAATTCTGCCGGAAGAGATGGTACCAGTCTCCAGAGCCTGGATAAAAGTAGTGATGATTAAACTCTTAATTTTGCTGGGAATTAAACATTATGATTAATTCAATTAAAATTATGGCAATTTTGATTATGCTGAGCATAATTAAAATTGCGCATTTTTAATTAAGCTTAAGCATAATTAAAATTCGTCAATTTTAATTATACTTAAGCTTAATTCTGAGTAAAATTATGAACAATATAAATAGCCTGATCAAAAGAAAACTGAATTTTAATTATGATAGGCAAAATTAAAATTGGACAATTTTAATTACGCTCCAGTTTAATTAAAATTGTTGAATTTTGATTATGCTGATCATAATTAAAATTGATCAATTTCCAATTATGATAAGCTTAATCAAAATTATAAGCAAAATAATTATGATGAGTTTAATATTCACTAGATAAAAGCCGGCCCGGAATTAAAGCCGGCCGGCCCTAACCGGCGGTAGGCTCTTAGTTGCCCAATTAAGCACACATTACACCACAGAAAATCGTAAATTATAATACCGAATTCCGGGACAAGGTTCAGTAAAGGAATTTTATTTGTGTACAGCAGTTGTCTATATTAACCTACCAAAGTCAGCTACCCGAAGGAGTGCGAATATCAAACTGAAAATTGGTACTTCATAATAAAATAATTCAGTTAAGAAAAATTAATTTTTGGGGAATTTTTGTGACCATAGGTCAAGCAGGGCGATAGCCTGCCAAACCGACAGGGATGGGCATCCTGCCATTTGGCAGGTCACACGCCGAAATTTATAGAAAACCATGGGAACATGGCACTGAGGAGCACGACCACTTAAACAAAAGGTTTTGATAAGCCCTACATTTCTCAAATGCTAATGTGGTCATCGAGATGACCAGTGGTCAGCAACACAGAAAATTGTAAAAAACGTACATTTCTGGGCGGTCACTTGTTAAAAAAGGTACAGTGTCCACTATGTTGGAATAAAAAACCGTTTAAAATGTTCTGAAGGCAGAGAAAAGCGACAAAATACATCCTTTCCAGTGAATTTGCGGTGATTGTCGCTTAATCCTGTGTTTACCTGTGTGTTGAGAACTTGTGCCTACTTTCGGCGCTGACTAAGCTGACTTTCGGTGGACTTTTAAGTGAGTAACGGGTATATCGGTAAGAGTCTACACAGCCAACAAGCAGTCTTGAGCCGAAAATCACAGCAACAATCCGCACAGCACTGCTAACAGTGTCCGGCGTACAGCACAGTGGCGCTGTATAATTCATTTCCGCATGGTCATTTCCGCTGCCAGCTGCTAAAGCTCGGCAACTCCACAAAGCTGCTACGCGGAGGGGATGCAGCAGCTAAGTACAACTTTAAAAAGCTTTATGACTACGTTTTTACATTAACCACGCTCACATTAATTCAAATAATACCGTTCCGCCATATGCCGGACTAGATAAAGTGCGAATTTCATTCGCTTTCTGAATGTAAATTAGGTCTGGTCTCTAAAATTTCGATATCAATAAACAAAAAAGCACACTCATCTCTCATCTCCGTAATTTGCGATAATTTTTATAATTTACGCTATACTTGTACACAGTTTTACCATCCAAAAAATTGAATTTTTAAAACATTTTTTGGGTTGCTGACCACTGGCCATCTGGACGACCATGGAAAGACTAGAGTTCGTGCTGCTCTTTTTTCTCAATTTTCTGATTCCATATTTTATTTTTTATTATGTCTCTAAGATTTTATGTTGAATTTATAAGATTTATTGTTAAAGTAGCACCAAGCCCATCCCTGTCAAGCGTGGCAGGAAAATTTCAAATGACCATCTTTTTCCACCGTCCAGCTATTTTTCAGACCATGCAATGCCTTTGCAGTGTTTGCCATAGGGCTAGCTTAAATGAATTATATGTGAATTATCGGGTGCTGGGGTGGCCGTATATACAGCCAAGACCTCCGCGAACCCCAAAGGTGCCATTTTGGTGATCTTTGGCCATTTGCTGTGTGCCCCAAACATACTGCATCTGATGCCCAAATTTTTAAAATAACTAACAACATCCCTACTCTGAAATAAAACTACTAACTACGAGCTTTCTCCATTATGGGTCGCTGCAGGAATTAAGTCCGCCACCCTGCCATTTGACAGGGATTGTCGGGAACGGGTTAAATAACGGTGGGAAATGCTGTGCTACCGTACCGGGATTAAAGACGGCCCTAACCGGCGGTAGGCTCTTGGTTGCCCAATTAAGTAAACATAACACCACAGAAAATCGTAAATCATAATACCGAATTCCGGGACAAGGTTCAGTAAAGGAATTTCATTTGTGTATAGCGGTTGTCCATATTAAATAACGGTGAGAAATGCTGTGCTTCAGCTGAAGTCGAGTAGGAAATCTGTCGTAGCCTGTTTGGTTTTATTTTCTTAGTTGGCGGTGTTGTGGCGTTGATTATTTAAAATAACAAAACGAGGAAGAAGCTGGCTTTATTCGAAGCGTCAGACTTTTCTATTTGTTTCGGTATGATTCGTTGGAATTAAACATCGCAAATCAGTTCAGTTTCTGATGGTGTTTCACAATTAGTATACTGACATGCTATGCGAAAGTCGCACCGCGACAACCGCACTAGATGACCAAACCTACTCAATCGGTAGAGTGGGAATATGCTCTGGACTCCGTAAGTGGTACTACTGCCTACTTCCGCTAGGTACGAGCGGATTGCTGTGCCTAACGAAAGTTACCGAAACCAAAACACTCAGGAACTTCCCAAATGTTTAATCACCAAACCGAACGAACGAACAAACAGAACAGAACAGAACAGAACGAGGTATGAACTTCCTTCTAACCTAGAGTCACACGACCTTTCAGCTAGAAACAAGCTCACAGATTTAGTTGAAGTTAGAAACTTCAGACTGATTAGTCAAACCAGAATCGTGGATCGCATTAGCGATCAAATGCGTTAGATAAGAACAGCAAATCGTACGTAACAACACGTACGTCATAACACGTACGTAATACGGAACAGACAACACGTACGTCATAACACGTACGTAATACGCGCAAACTACGCATAGCGCGTTACCCCCACTGCTACAGAATTAACGTCCGCGTTAATCAAAGCAAACAAAAAAACAAAAACCAAATTCAAAGAAAATCAAAATCCAGGAAAGTACCGTAATCCTGGGGGATCCATTTTATCATTCGCGTGTGGAATCCGGGGTGTGACGGGGGTTCGAATGGAGGTCCAAGTTGATGAAGTTGGTGTTCCATCCAAGTTCTCCGAAGTTTTTCGTTCCACACGCGTCCAGTTTTATAGTCATCCATCCAATCTTTTCGTATCCAGGTGAGACTTTCATCTATCCTCTCCCTCCGAAGAGCTCCAGGATCCAGAATCGAACAGGCCAAGCACACCAGAAATGTCAACCATTCTAAAAACACTGGCCACAGCAAATCAAAAAACACAGATCAGAACGGCAAATACCGATCATTATCAGCATCTTCAGTGCACCAAAAAGTGGATATTCAATTTCCACTTATAACTGGCAATTACCCCCACTGCAAGCCTGCATTTTTAGTTAAACGATAAAACACAGTCAATCATAAACAGTTCACAAGAACCAATACGATAGCATGGTTCTTCGCAATGATAAAACAAAACGCAACCACAATCATCCAAATTATTTTTGAACGATTGATTCAAATCCCAACTGGATTATACACATCCAGTTATCAAAACCAAACAGCAATCGTAATTACTGCTCCTACTGCGAAATCAAATTGCTTTTAAAATCATTTTTACAGAAATCAAACACTGCACCGCAGCACAGCGTTTCCATGCACGTAGCTACCACACCGGCGGCTACGGCACACAACACAGTTCTCGATTAATAAGTACTTCTTTTCGCCAGTCAACAAGTTTTTATAACTTTCTGACAATTCAGCAATCAGCATCCCTTTTTGCTGATAAATCCTGCGGTTATGAGCAAAAGCAAGTTACACTGTCAGTACACCACAGACAACGGAACAGCGGACTCACAACGTAGCAGTCAGAACTTAAACGTGAGCGTTACAATGCTCACATTCAGCTCCCATTTTCCACAATTCGGCATTCATCCCAGGCCAGTAATAATTCCGCAAAACATACTTACGGACTGACCAGTAATCATGCAAATTACCAGCATGAAAACTTTCATGGCAGTCTCGTAACAAGTCCTGACGGCTAGCTTCCGGTACGACTACGCGGTGTCTACCGCGGTTCCGAACTGGTGCACTTTTTTCCCACATGCGCGCCATGGCATTTAAAACATATCGGTTGTCCGTCTGGAAAATACCATTTAGTGTAATTAATGGTGATCTGCTTACCATTATCAACTGCACTTCCTTCGGACGTCTTCGCCTCATTACTAGCAGCCTTAACTGCGCTGCTATCTGCATCAACTGGCTTCCTGCCACTGAACTGTTTTGATTCAGAGTAACCAGAACCGGGATTACTGTTACGCAGCTTATACTGCAGTTTCAGTTCTGACAGAAATTCTTCAACATCTGCCACTCTTTTCTCTTCCATGTATTTGAACCAAAAGAAACGGTTCTTCTTTAATCCTTGCTTCAGATAATACACACGTTCAAATTCGTTCAGATCTAACTTCCTGAACGACGTAGTGAACCAATCCACATACGAGTTCGGTGTATCGTCACTACCAAAATGACGATCAGCAATTTTATCACGAACAGCCATCAAATCCTTCTCATCCGAGAAATGTTCTCGGATCATCTTCTTCCATTCAGACCACTTCAACTTTTTATTATAATCGTACTTATCCAAGTACCAGGTAAGTGCCGTGCCAGTAAGGCAGCGCGACAAGCACTTACTGATGACGTCACTGTCCGACCAACTGTTGTGGTTTTTACAGTTATCTACACTCTGGATAAACTGTTCCACCTTATTCGTATCTGTTTTCCCATCAAACTTCTCAGGATACATTGTATCCGTCCTGAATGCACCTTTCATAGCATTCGTAAACTTATCCATATCAAATGGAGCGGAAGCAGTACTACCGCCCTTGGCTTCCTGTTCCTTTAAACGACGATCAAGTTCAGCAACCTTGGCTTCCATCTTGGCCAAAGCAATTGTGCTAACTTCTGAAATCGTTGGTGAGGGACTACGCGACTCACCCAAACATTCCTGCATATTATGCGCACGCTCACGTAAATCCAGAAAATTTTCCAGCTTCTGGGTATCTTTGGCCACAAAGACGGGCTTCTGAACTGCGCTATACAGCTTTCGTACAGGTTCAGGCATATCCTGTACTACTACGCTGCGTCGACCTGCTTCAACATGCTAAACAAAGATAACGTCATCATTCACTGCATGAAGTCCATTATTCTGATCAACTTTCCACTTATCAACAGCAACATTAAATGCTGTTTGTTCAGCCAGAAAACTCGCATACTTTTTATTCAAGGCAGCTGTGCCTTGTTGAAAACTTTTCTGCGCCTTCTCCTTCTCTAACTGGAACTTCTGCTTTTCCAGTTGCAACTTCTCGCTTTCTTTATTCACATGCTCGAACGCATCCTGCATTAGCTTTGCGTCTCGAGTACGCATTATGCCAAGCAACTTCACCTGATCAGCCAACTCATTATGACGATCAACCAAACCGTCGTATTTATCGACCAGATCATTATGCTTCTCAACTAAACCATCATGCTGTAAAACCAGCGCATGATATCGCAACTTTTCCGCGTCCAGCTCTTTACGTAACTGTTCAACCACGGCAGCGGTTGATGACTCATCGCTTTCTTTTCCAACTTTCTGACTGTAGTGAACATCAGCGTCTTCAATACGCTGATTATCTACAGCAGCCAGTTCCATATCACTAACATCATCATCACGAGTAACAACAGCTGAATAATCTGGAGCATAATTAATTTGCTCCAAAACCTTATTCATTTCCGTCAAGTCCAAGTGTTGAGTTTCCGCGGTATCCTTCGCAGTACCACTCAAACCACTAGCTGGCAGTGCATTGCCCTCAGTGACGGCAGCTTGCCCACCGCTTTGCTGCACATCCGACCCTGGACGAGCTTTACTGCTATCTGCTGCTGACTGAACAGGCTTTTTGTTGGCAAGATACTGCATCCATTTTTCATGCAGTTCAGTGCCATACTACTGATCGTAATCATGCAGGGTCAGATGAATCGTTCTACGGGCGGGAATCTTCCTTCCTGCCTGGATCCACTGATCATAACCTCCTGGTTTTTTACCACCATTAAGATCATATTCAACCCACTCCTGACTTAATTCTCCAGTACGTGGGAGAACAATTTCCCACTTTTTGCAAGAATCGCCAACCTTTTCGTCTTCAGGTAGAAACCACTGCACCGTAGGCGGGGATAAATAATCCGCCTTCTTTAACATGGCTTCAAACTCATCAACATTTATCATCCCTTTTCGACGGGACGGTTTACTTTTGCCAGTTGACGGCTCTTCTACACCGTCCTCCGGTCCAGCGATTAATGCTGATGGTTCAATCACTGTACCATCCATTGCACCTGCTTGACAAACAACAGACAAGTAATCCAGGTCACCGAACCCGGATGTAAGTCTGCTACACAAATAACAGGGCTAACGCCACCACTTCTCAGTACACACCGTACCAATTACCAGTACGAGTACAGAGTATGGACTCCCGTCCAGCACCTGGCTCGCACTTAGGAACCGTGCCTCGCGCAACCCTCTAAGGTCACTGCGGTACACACTGCGGGCAAGCACCTGGTTCTCACTTAGGAACCTTGCCTCACGGAATTCTCTGAGAATCCACGTGGTCAACCAACATAACCACACAAAACGCCAAAAACTAATACCACTTACCAGACGATCCAGATTCCCAGGGGTTGTTAAAATCCGGTGGGCGCCATGACATGCTATGCGAAAGTCGCACCGCGACAACCGCACTAGATGACCAAACCTACTCAATCGGTAGAGTGGGAATATGCTCTGGACTCCGTAAGTGGTACTACTGCCTACTTCCGCTAGGTACGAGCGGATTGCTGTGCCTAACGAAAGTTACCGAAACCAAAACACTCAGGAACTTCCCAAATGTTTAATCACCAAACCGAACGAACGAACAAACAGAACATAACAGAACGAGGTATGAACTTCCTTCTAACCTAGAGTCACACGACCTTTCAGCTAGAAACAAGCTCACAGATTTAGTTGAAGTTAGAAACTTCAGACTGATTAGTCAAACCAGAATCGTGGATCGCATTAGCGATCAAATGCGTTAGATAAAACAGCAAATCGTACGTAACGGAACAGACAACACGTACGTCATAACACGTACGTAATACGCGCAAACTACGCATAGCGCGTTAATACACATGATTCACAGGTTTTAAAAGACAATTCACTTTCTACACTGCTACTTGCTGAATGGCAATCAAGTGTTGTCCCTCACATGAACAACAGTTATTCGGTATGTAGTTGATGATGATGCTGACACACGGCACACCCTTCGCATTCGCAATTATTCGCAAGAGCACTCGTTGTCCTCTCCGGTCCAGTCGCAGTTGCTAGCCTGGACGGTGAATTCGACGGTGGCGCCACCGCTGAAGGATGGAGAAGTGCGCAGATGGCCAGTCCAAGGGAACTACGGTTACAAAGAAGGGTCGCTTAATAAAAGAAGGCAATGGAGGACAATTGTCTTGTACTTACGCCGGAGCAGCCGTGGGTGGCGCAGAAGTCGTTCATGGCGGTGTCGATGACGGGGTAGTCGGTGGGGCCGGCGGTGATGAGCGCCACTACATCGTGCACGTCGTTCCAGGTGCAGCCGGCTTCGTTGAGGATCTGCTCCGTCAAGCTCATCACCTGGATGGCTTCGTTGTAGGTGCCGCCCGGACTGATGATGGTGCGGTTGGCGAAGGAAGTGAAGGCGCGCACCGAGGTCATGAACAGGCTCTGACCCACGCGGACGGCGTACCTGATTAAGAAAACTCATTACTGTTAGCAATGCGACCCTTTGCAACACTGGCGATAAGCAGTAGTCATTAAAAGCATTTGTAAACAAACTATTCAGCGAAAACAATTATTATCGCTTTTATTTAGACATGGGTGTCTTCAACAGTGCAAAGCGAAGCACATGCGAGTACGGTATTTGGTACATCGACGGCTAAAGGATTAACATTCAATTAAAATGTGAGTAAAAACAACTCACTGCCACGGCTTGGTGGTGGGTTTGGTTGGTGCCACCGAGGAGGAAATCGGGACAATATAGCGCTTCCATTTGCTGCAGCACTCGGAGCGCCGACGATGCCCCTCAACCACTGCAATCAAGAGCATGATGAGTAACCATAGTCACGAAAGCGAATGGCACGCAATAACCTCAATAAACCGCCAGAATAGTAAAGGTCACTTACCGCTGGTAGCTGCGACAGCCAGCAGAACAACGAAGATCGCGAACTTCATGGTGGAAGGCGAGGAAGGCTAGGAATTGCGGCAAGGAACTAAATAAAGGCCAAAGTGGAACTCAAGGCACGATGGAATGGTGGAAGCTACGGATATTTCAGACCGTTTATATATGCATTTTCTAGGCAACATGGCAGTACAGGCGCCGATTTCTAGTCTGGAACATAGACAGGGATAAAAATTTACGCCAGCAATTAAAATACGATAATAAACGTGTGCCAGACCATAATACAGCTTAGGACGAAATGGTCGCATACCCAACATCTCCACATTCAGTACGAATGCAGTGCAGTGCACTGCACGACTGAGTTCAAAATATCCGGTTCGTACAAGTGCACTGCACCGCATGCGTACAGAATGCTGGGTATGGGGCTATGCGACCATTTCGTCCTACATTGTAATCATTGCGCTTATGCAACGGTGAAATGGCATTATGCTGAGAAAACGATTCCTGATAACAGTGATATGGGAAATCGGTGCTGGTTTCAGTTTGTTTGCATGCGCCTGGTTACGTTTTGATGTCCCGATTTTAAGCGAGAAACCGATAAAGAGCAACCGATTTCTAAGTCATTATAGTTTTATGGGTATTTTGTCGGCCGATTATTAGCAGAATTGAGAAATCGAGAAGCCAGGGAACAGCAGCAGGAGGGTCGGGTCCCTCATAGAGTTTGCCCAATACAGGTGGGGCAGCCGCAATACAAGTGGCGGCTGTCTCTACCAGAACCCCCCACCGTATGTTGGCACTAAAATGCGAAGCGGCAGTTACGTTAATTGTGTACTGTGTATTGCTATAGGTAGGGCAGTCACTAATAGAGATTGTGTGTCGCAGTACTCACCACCTGCGATAGCGCGGTTACCAATAATCGAACTGCCTGTCAATCATTCTGTCCGGCAAATTGCAAGGCAAACTTTTCCCATGCAATACTACGGGATTTCTATTGTGTTCACGCTCAGACAATTTTGCATGGCAAATTTGCAGCTATAAAGCGTACTGCACACTGCAGTCCGGTAATTGCCTGCACTTGTAATACCTGTAATTTGTTTGCATTTTATTTCGATACTTTACTGTAGTATCCTTTTCACTACTCTGGTTTTTCCTATACGTTACAATGTTTCATAGCGGTGTGTATTCCCAGTACGACATTGTTGGTTATTTGGAGGGCAAACCGGACGATGCCAAGACCATCATCCTGGACGAGTTCCCCATTACCAGCTTTACGGGTCTGCCGCTGCAGCGTTTTACAACCTGCGCTGTTTGTCGGCTAACGCGTGCGGATTGACCTCCGTTGTCGGATTGCCACTGATGCCGAACCTGACGTTCCTCCAGCTGAATGACAACCGTCTCGGGTTCGCGGAGAACAACCCCCAGCTGGCGGCCCTGGCCCGGACCACGCCTAATCTGAAGCGCCTGACGTTGGCCAATAACGGCATCATCACTGTCCAACAGCTGGAACCACTGAAGAACCTGCCAGCCCTGCGGACCGTGGACCTCTACTCCAATACCGTCACCAGAGCCCATCATCGGCAACTGGTTTTGGCGGTACCGCAGGTCGTGCGTTGGGATGGTGACGGCGGGGACTTTGAGAGTGACAGCGACGAAGAAATGAAAGGTTGGTCAATGCAGTTTTATAATGATAGGCCCATGTAACACCCACGGTAACACCCACGGTTAGTTAAATTATGTAATTTTTCAGAGCGCTTCATGTTTATAGAACCGGCAACGGACAGCGAAGAAGAAGACAATGACGACGACGAATCCATGGCCGAATCAGGTAACCAACTTTCAGGAAGTTTTCGAGTTACGCCTTCAAAAAAGCCTAATTTTGTGTCTTCGTAGATCACACTTGGATTTTGCCTGGTGCCGAAACTCCAGACTGGATGCACAGCAGCGATGAAGAAATGCCGGACTCGGGCTCGGAGGCTGAAGACGAAGCAGACGGCAGTGGAGGCGACGACGTAATTCCGGACTCGTGCTCGGAGGCTGAAGACGAAGCAGACAGCAGTGGAGGCGACGACGTAATTCCGGACTCGTGCTCGGAGGCGGAGGACGAAGTGGATGAAGAGGACGGCAGTGACCACGAAGGCGGCGGCCAGGACGACGGCGACAAGAAGGACAGCGACAATGGCAAGGACGACGACGTTGTTTTGGTTGAGTAAATTGTTTTTCTTATTTCGGAATGCGCTGATTATATTTTGCGCAATGCTACACCCGCGGGTACACCCACGGTTCAGTTTTCTTGTTGTAATGGCTATTCTATTTACTGTTTCAGTCATGATTGTACTAACTGGGTTTCTTCTTGATAACTAAACTAATTTTGTGCTTTTTCTGTTATTTGTACTGGTACTTTAATTGTTGTACGTACGTATAAACCTGAAAAAAAGAAAATGCGTTGAAAAGTTCGGTTGCATTTTGTGCCGAGGAAATATTACACTGGAGTTAAATTTTAGTTGTCTCGATTTCACCAAAGTGATTTATGGTGGTACAAAAACTGACCACAATCAAATTTCGATCGTCGAATTTCGACTTATTTGCGATACGGTGCTCTTTCGTAAATGGATTACGAATTAACGGAGGAAGATCTTGTTGATGCGGCTGCTCTCGCGGCACTTGAAGATTGGGTAGATCAGCACGAAGCCTTATCGCAGCAAGACCTCCAAGATGCTGCCGAGTTGGCAGAATTGGAGGACTGGGTTCATGAAGATCCCCAAGCTGGGGGTGGCGTCCCTGAAGATTTTAATGTTGTCGATCATGTTACGGTGGAACGGAATGGGTACCGGTTTTCGAAGACGTACAATATGCATTTCAAACGCTTTGACGTGCATGTATTTGATTTGGATGCTGTGAAATTTTGTGACGCACCGGCAGTAATAGTGGGTATCTTGGACCACGTTTTGGATGCTGTGCTAGCGGGTGTGGCCGCTCATCAGTACGTCCGAGTGTCTGTGGAATCATCGTATTTGTCGTTCCCTATTTGGACTCCACCAACTTTACGATCACAGCTGACAGTGCGCCGCTGGATGGCAGAAATCTCAAAAGTGCTGAATTCCCACCAAGAATTTGCCATTGATGATTCATTTGGGGTTTCTGTAGAACATACGGAGATTCCTTCCGGTCGGTGTGCCCGCGACGTACCCAAGTTATTGTACGACAGACTGAAGAGGATGACGTCAGTGATTTTGGTGAACAACGTGGACGATATCTGTATGGCCCGTGCCCTCGTTATCGGAAAAGCGTTTGCCGATGGCCGAAAAGATTACGCCCGACATATAGCGAAAGGAAAACAAGAAATTCTGCGTTTGTCCCGGGAATTGATTGAAGAAGCCGGCCTTCCAATCCGTGAGTACACCCTTGCAGACATTTCGGCTTTTGAAAAAGTATTGCCAGGTTACCAGATAGTGGTAGTGAGTACGATGCAAGCCAGCAGCATTGTGTACAGCGGGAACCTGGAGGACAAACATATCTGCCTTTTATTACATAACCGGCACTTTGATGTCTTGACTTCCATGCCGGCATTTTTCAGTCGCTGTTACTGGTGTTTTAACTGCAATAAAGGATACAACAACCGTAGAAGTCACAGATGTAGCGGTCAGTGTAATCAGTGTCTGCGAGCGGATTGTCCCATGGATATTGTCAACATTATGCTTTGCGCTGATTGCAATCGCAAGTTTCATGGCCAATCTTGCTTCGACCATCACAAGCTGGGCCCGGGAAATGATGTGCTGTTTCGCAGTCGAAGGAGTATCTGCAGTACCGTCAAAATGTGTACTCAATGTGGTTGTGTGTACTCCTTAATGAAGAGAAAGTTGGGATCCGCACACCGTTGTGGAGAAATGTTTTGCAAAACGTGCCAGGAGCATGTCATCGGAGATCACCGCTGTTTTATGAAGCCGCAGAAACTTACTCCTTTCCAGAAGATGCAGTATTCGGATGCCCAATTTTTGTTTTTCGACTTTGAAACTTACGTTGCTGAGGATGGGCGGCTGTATCCAAACCTCGCGGTAAGCATAGTTCCTAGTTTGCAATCATAATTTTATACGACACCCGCGGTAACACCCACGGCATTATGCCGTACACTAGTTGTGTAACAAGAAGTTCTGCGACACACCCACGGTAACACCCACGGTATGTTATACAGGTTGTTCAGAATGATGAAGGCGAAGAGTGGATATTTCCGAATGACGGCGAACCGCTTTGCGACATTACAGATCCTCTTTGTCGATTCCTCTTTAGTGAAGACCATCGCGATCACATTATAATCGCCCACAATTTCAAGGTAAAATTGTACAGTCTTTTTCTTATGGTCCTTTATTTTGCCGTTTTATAGGCCTTTGACGGTTATTTTATACTGAACTGGCTTCTCAGCAACGGTATTACTCCTAAAGTTATTTTAAACGGCGGTAAGATCATGCAGCTGGATGTTCTCCAACTCAACATTCGATTCCGCGACAGCATCAATTACAATCCTCAAAGTTTGTCCAAATGGCCGGCTACCTTTGGTATCAAGGACACGTCAAAGGGCACCTTTCCGCACCGATTTAATCGACCGGAAAACTGGGACCAGGTTACCGAATTCCCTACCAAGGAGCAGTACGGGTCCAAGTTTATGAACAAGAAAGACCGTGAAACGTTTGAGCAATGGTACAATATGGAGGTCGCCACCAAGAACAACACGTTCGACTTTCGTAAAGAATTTGTGGATTATTGTCGGAACGATGTCACCGTACTCCGCAAGTGCTGTCTCCAATTTCGAAATTTGTTTTTGGGCATCAGTAACGGCATTTGCCCATTCTCGTCCTCGATGACTATCGCTGGATTGTGTGGTTTGTATTGGAGGTCCAACATTTTGAAGGCGAACCAGATTGGACTGATTCCACCGCAAGGATACAACGTGAACCGCAACCAGTCGGTTAAAGCGCTAAAGTGGATGCAGTGGATGGAACTGGAAGAGAACTGCACAATTCAGACGCGAGCAAGTGGGAACGAGTTTAAAGTTGGACCTTATTTTGTGGATGGGTACTCTGCAGCAACAGGCAAGGTTTTTGAGTTCCACGGCTGCTGGTACCACGGATGTCCTGAATGCACAACGCCGGATACCGTCCACCCGTTCAGAAACTTACCAATGAGCAAAATTTACGAAGAAACCCTGCAACGCGACACGTACATCCGGGACATGGGACACGAACTGTTTGTCATCTGGGAGCACGAGTTCGACGACCAGGTAAAGCAGGTACCAGATTTCGCGGATTTTGTTGACGAAATCACCGTCACCCAACCGATAAACCCTCGTGATGCATTCTTCGGCGGACGAACAAATGCCACAAAGTTGTATCACAGCGTTAGCAATGAAGAGAAGATCCGGTATTTTGATGTCTGCAGCGAGTATCCGTTTGTCAACAAGAACAAGAAATATCCGATCGGACACCCCATCATTATCGTTAAAGACTTTGGGAAATCGCGCACTACTTTGGCATCGTGCACTGCAAAATCTTACCGCCTCCGGATCTTTACCTGCCGATTCTGCCATACCGCTCCAACGGTAAGCTGGTATTTCCTCTGTGCCACACATGCGCTGCGAAACAACTTAACGCCCCTTGTGCACATTCCGACGAAGAAAGAACGCTTACTGGAACATGGTGTAAGTATGTACCGTTGAAATTCTGAACACCCACGACAACACCCACGGTAACCTTTACAGGCACGCCAGAGCTGCACGCTGCAATCGAGCGCGGTTATGTCATCACAAAGATGTTGGAAGTGTGGCACTTTGAGCAGTCGGAAGAAAGGTTGTTTGCGGACTACATTGATCGGTTCCTCAAGATAAAAACGGAAGCAAGTGGCTGGCCAGCGGATATGACAACCGACGACCAGAAAGATCAATTTCTACGAGATTTTAAAGATCATGAAGGCATTCAGTTGGACCGCGAAAAGATTGAGAACAACCCTGGCATGAGGGCGCTTGCCAAGTTGTGTTTGAATAGGTAATATCTGCTGTTGCGCGTTTTGTAAACTGAGGCTAACTGGATTTGTACTTGCAGCTTCTGGGGTCGCCTGGGTATGCAGGACAACAAGCCGAACACCAAGTACCTAACTTGCCCGCAGGAGTTTTACAAAATGCTTCTTTCTGGTGAATTCCACATCCACTCGTGGGATATGTTCAGCGAGGATGTTCTGCAAGTTGCGTACACCAGGGAAAAGTTATTTATTGACCAGAACCCTCATACGAACGTTGTCTTGGCTGCGTAAGTAGTTGCTTCTTGAAGGATCAGTGTTTTTGCTGATAGTGCTTTTTTGATAGGTTTACGACATGCTGGGCCCGGCTCCATTTATACGGCTACATGGAACAAGTCCAAGATACACTGCTTTACTTCGATACCGGTAATTAACTGTTTCAAAACTTGTACCTAGTATGGTGGACTAAGAACCTTACTTTACAGATTCCATCATTTTTGTGGAGAAGCCGGGAGTATTTGTTCCTCCAACCGGCAAGTTTTTGGGGGACCTAACGGACGAATTGCAGCCCGATCAGTATATCACTCAGTTTGTCAGTCTCGGTCCCAAGACGTATTCCTACAAGACTAATGATGGGAAAAGTGTCGCCAAAGTCAAAGGTTTTACGCTGAACGGACACACCAGCGAGAGCATCACGTTCGAGTCAATGGTTGATGTTTTGCATAAGAAAACTGATTTTCTTGTAGCTGAATATCCTGAATCGATTCAGCGTGTCAAAAAATCAATGGTGTTGCGCCAAGTTGATTTGTCTAAACGTTTAAGTCTAACATACGATAAAAGACGAATTGTTGGTAATTGTTACAATACTCTACCGTATGGTTACGTGTTGCAGTGATACCTTATAACATTAAAGCATACGGCAAACAGACGCGTGCTCTTCAGTTTATTGGCAGACTTAATACTAAATCAATCATGGCCCATGTCATATCGGCTTCTGTTTTAGCTCCCAAAAAATTACAGCGACCACTAGCAAACAAAACCGCAGTACATTCTGGTAACTTTATGCGCAAACCAAGAAATCTGTCGGCACAGTATGGAACATTTAAAAGTTTACTGACACTGTCTAAATCAAACCGCTGGCCGAAATCATGAGTGCCTACAATGTTCACGATTCGATATTCAGTCGCATAACATTCGTAGCCAATATTACGTAGTAGTCGTATGAAATACTCCAAAAGAGAACGCGCTTCTTCCAAGTTTTTCCCTCCATTGACCGTCACTTTACCGTTAACGTACAGCTGACAGTGGCCCTTCGGCAGCGTGATCCGCCGCAGTAGCAAACCGGAAAAGGAGCGTGGTGTATATTGTGCCAAGGGCAACCGTTTTTCAATCTCGCTGAGGTTTAGGTGACAGTTCAACTTTGCTGTGGCGACAACATTGGTAGTCCGCACCATTCTTATACAACCATAATCCGAAAACAACCGCCTTGCGTTGCGTTGTCTGATCTGATGCAGTTAATTTACGAAATGGCGGGCAATGGTATTCTTCCAAGTTGATCACTTCTGGCAGAAACTGTTCTAGCAGGCGGCACTTTTCAAGCCCTTTCGCATAAAATGTGACGTCAGCTGGTCGCCCGACTTTAGTAAAAATATCTTCAAAGGCCAGTGCTGTTTGATTGTGGCGATAATCCCCGTAGGTATGCCAAACCAGACCGTGGGAGTGACGAGCTTGCCTTTCCAAATCACCCGCGCATTTGGCAGCAGTGCGTGGTAATGTAAATGTGTACTGGCCGACCTCGGCTTTTTCCAAACAGAAAAAAGACAACTGCTTGAGGTATTTTTGTTTGTCAATTACAAACCAATCAGCGTCTACAACACACCTTACAGCCATTTTACTATTTTTGGCTGAACCAACTGAACCGTACTCTATAGCGCCGCCTCCCTTTTGTACTGAAACGGTTCAAAAATAATATTTTTGCAAGGGAAAGCTTGGCCCAAGTACACAAAAACGTACGTCTTTGCTCGTACGCCTCAAGTTTACCTTCAACTTGCAAGGCAAAAGTGCTACTGTTTTGTCTTGCATTATGCTTTTTTCAAATTTTGTATATGAAGGCAGATGTCAGGCAACGCATAAAAACCCTCGATCAGTTCCAGATATCAGACAATTTTAGTTTGCAACAGTTTTTTGTTTGACCTTTACTTTATTCGAACGCTGTAGTACTTCTTACTCCATTTGCCATGGAATTTATCCCTGATTTCATTTCCTCGCAGCGCGCCGCGTCGCCTAAGCCTTCCACCAGCAACATTGCCCGCGAGATTCCAGCCACGCCTCTCAAAACCCGCACCTTTGCCAAGCGACGCGCACCGGAGATGGACGATATCAAGCTGAACCTTGCCAAGAAGTTCAAGGAGCAAGATGACACCAAGCATCCGCGGCATGCCTTTTCTCATGAAGGATCCAACGTGTACAAGATTGGGTTCGAGAAGTACGTCTACGCCCGCTTCCAAGATGGGGTTTCTGCCATCGTCATCGGGGAGTGGAAAAAGCAAAGCGACGACACCTACCGCCGCACCTTGGAGAAGTCCATCACCGTAAAGAAGCCTGGTTTCTTGCGCCTGTGTGCCTTGATGATGAGTGGTAAAGCGGACCTGGACAAGAATTCTCAGAACTGTGGCACCGACGGTAAGCTGACGCCTCTGTATGCGCTGGAGAGTGGACTGTATTTTGGCTGGGGACGTTACAACCGTGTCAACACGGCCACCGTAAGACGTTACACCTTCGGTCAGAACGGAGACCTGATTCCCACGAAAGCTGGCGTGACCTTTGGACTGAAGACGTACGACGGTCTCAAAGAACTGGTTATGGATATGACGCTGCTGAAAGAACTCCTGGGAGTGGATGAAGCCAACAATGTTCCAAAGACCTTGAAATCCGCTCTGGCTTATGACAAGCTCAAAGAGGTGAGCATTCCGTTTATTTGTGTAATTTTATGCTGATCTCTGTTTCTGAAAGACTTGTGCGGTAATCAGTTTGTTTTGATTATAGGAAGTGGCTGAAGAGTTCACTGAACTCATCCACCAAATGCGCGGTCGCAATGGAAAAGTCAGCTGTGGGAGTGCCAGCGATGACGAGTGGGCAGCGGCTGAAAAGGCTATTGTGGAGTCGCGCTATGTGGAGGCTGTTCTGTTGGAAGCTGACCAAGTGGATCTTGGGCAAGTTGTTGGACTGGACGTTAAGGGGTATTTGGAACTTAATGCTCTGGAGTTTCGTGCTATGTTCGCTAAGCTTATTTAAGTAGCGTCAATAACGAGCTGTATTTGTTTTGGATTATTCCGTGTTTCATTTACGAACTGCACATTACAGGCAGCAGTAGAATGGTTTTTTTCATTTTAATTCCGATATTCGTTTACATATTTGACGGATGAATGAACCGTCAATTATCTTTGTATTGATGTCAAAATAAGAATTCACATACTGGCAGACCATCTTGTCGTTGCTTGCTCGATTCTCAGTAAACAAGTGCACAATATTAGTATAAGTTTCGCCACTAACACGACGAAGTATAAAAAACAAGCAGTATTGGCCACAGACTGTAGTGTATTCTGATTGCAGTTGTTCGGCTTGCTCTACGATCCGATTAGATGAACATAAATCAGCAAAATTCTTAGTATATGAACCCAGTTTCCTCCCAAACGAATCAAACACTTCCAAAACTCCATCTTTTTCTTGGTAAACAGCAATCCAGTGCGATCCATCTTGGTCCGCTGGGTCAATCTTAATCACTGCCGCTCCAGGATATGGCAGTAGCGCAGGGGGCACTTTATCGCTGGCAAACACTCCGCGTAGTGCAGCATTTGTAGCCGGGTTTGATTGGAGAGCGCTGAGGATTTGGTCGGTGTTCATGTCGAAAAGTCCGCAATCAGTTGCCGATGCTGATTGATCTCAATGATGCTGTCGTAGACTAACATAGCCACCATCATTACGGTCTTTTCCAGCGGTTTGTCAAAATTAACCGAAACGCTTAAATTGCCCTGCTTCACCAAAGTCAGCGGTCCTCTTCCAGTATGTCCAGGCGTTAAATCGAACCCGAACAGCGTGTATCCGCCGTTGTAAGCGGTTCGATTAATATGGAGAGCTGTTGTGCGCATGAGTGCGATATCCCAATGTGTCCAGCAACCCATCATAACATTCCAATGACAGCGAACGTCCAAAATCGGCAGTATAGGGTTTTGTTGGATAGCTTTGACCGTCCACCTCCACGCTGATCTGATTGATATTAAAATGTTGAAAGTTGAAAGGATTACTCTTGAAACTGCCGTGGAAATCATCGCTTTCCAAAAACCCAATGAAAATAACTTTGGGAATCTGTCCGATTTGCAAGTTGCTTACTACAGTGCTTTGAGTTTTCTGGGGAATATCAGAAACACGCATCACTACGCGTTCAATGTGGTATTTCACGGTCTTCTTCAGCATTTCTGACGCTACAGCTGTCATGAAATCTGGTGCTGGAATGTATCGACGGACAGATAGTCGTGCGTTCCGGATAAACGGTTTGAACTGCTTTGTTGCGTCAGCATCCCACACTCGCAAACAGAATTCAGGTCGGCTCATCACCAGTCGGATGTTGATTGGTACGCCGGTACAGAGCGGTTTACTTTGATCGAACAGATCAGCGAACAATTTGCCTGATAGTTGTACGTAGTTGCTTCCGCTGAACAAGGCTTTGCGGCTTTTTTCACCGTTGTTTTCTTTTCGTCGTTCATTTTAGTTGAGGTGTCGGCGTAATATCCTGCTGATGTCAACTGTGATCTCTGGGCATCCACGCCATAGGATAGCAATGATTCCAGGTATGCTCGATAAGGATAAAACGTTGCCGCATCCGAGATGAGCCGATTCGCCACGGTGACATGGCACGAAGAGAACAATGAATGCAGAAAGTTGTTAACTGGAGCCACTCCGTCGGTGTTGGTAATTAGATCCCAATCGGCTGCTCCCTTCTTAACCTTTATACCGACCTCGAGTTCCAGCATCATATCACCCAGGCTGAGCAGACCAGCGGTACTGGGAGGAATGTAGAAGTTTATGTCACCAGCCGAACCGTTGTCTGTCAGGATCGTTGTTGGATTAAGTTTCTCATGCTCGGTACGCCATCGATCAGTCAAGGTCGCCGGTAAAGCAAACAGCTGGTTGTCCAACTGCATCGCTGGTTCGGAATTTTCCATCATCAGCAGAGCCATGTTCAAAAGTAGTCAGGAATGTTGGCTGGTGGAATACGTTTAATGCGATGGCGACTACGAACTGTGCGACGTTTCTTACGAATACCACTTCCTTCTTGAGGTGCTAAACGCTTAGTAATAGCTTCTTTGGCTTGAGCCGTGACGTCTTTAATGGCCCCGCTAGCCGCTTCTTGCAGGTGCGGCGCTGCCGCTTCAAAGCCGCTTTAGCATGGGGTGCTGCTCGACGAATAATTGGTTTGGCAAATGCGGAAATCTTTGCAAACAAATTCTTTAGAATCTGCGGGAACCCGGAACCATTCTGCAGCGTGCCGCGGTAACGAATGAGCGCACTTCCTCCGGTTTGGCTGACAAACACTTCTTCGTAGCGTCGCGGATCAGGAACGTACTGAACGAAAGGCATTTTCAGTACAGGCGTTGTGGTCGAAAGTGTAGTTTCACCAGAGACTTTCCCGTTTGGAACTTGGCTTCGGCTCCGAGGTCGTTGGCAATAATCAGATTTATGGTTTCAAAATGTTGACGAAGAACAGGAACATAATGAGGAATGTCAAAACGTGCTTCCACGGTCTGATTAACTTCGCCTCTAATAGGTACGGCACGCAAAAACTGCGCCGCTGTGTCACCGATCAAACTGTAGTCGGCCACGTCGCTGTACACAAATAGACTCTGATTGCCTAGCAATGTGTTTACAGGCCGGTCGGAAATGAACGTAGTTACTTTTGGTGCTGGCGCCTTGTCCCAGAATGCTAAGTATTTTGCTCTTGCCTGACCTTGTGCGGTATCAGTTGTTTCAACAGGAACATTAGGTTCAAACTGGCTTTGATCGAAACCCAGAATCTTTTGCAACGTTGAAGATTCGGGCGGAAAGCATACGGATACTCGGTCATTCCCAATACTCAGCTTGACTTTATGGTTGGTTGGCGTAAAAAACTGCACTTCAAACATTTTATTGTTTGGCAGTGCACTCTTGTCGTCAATCACTTTTCCATCCAACAGATAGGTCTTAATGACGGGAGCCAGAGAGTTTATGGTTTGAAGAAGCAACTCAGCGTTCTTGTAATTACCCGGAGGTACAACAATGCTTTTCTGGGCACTGACATATCTTGGAGTTTGGATAAACTCCCGTCTTTTCTCAAATAAAATTCTCGCACAACATCCACTTGGATTTTCTGCTCAACTGGCAGAGTGTAAAAGAGTTCAGGTACTGTAACTCCACCAATGCCATCTCCCATTTGCCTTTCAATGTAATAGGATGCTTTAGCTTGGTAGTCCAATTGGACGGGGTGTTGGCGGGATCGGTAGCCACATCGCTGGGTAGAGTTAGGTAGAACGGCGCACCTTCATACATTTTTCATCGATCCACTGATCGTGTTCGGGTCCGTAACCTAACCAACGGACTAACACCTTCTTTCCGCGACGCTTTACAATAAAGTCCACAGTGTGCTCTTTGTCAGGCACGTTGCGCACGAGAGATAATTCTGGTTCGTAAAATTTTCCGTCAATGGTATTGTCCTGATAGTCTTTCAAAACGTAGACCGGTACAGGATGAGGAATGACTTGTTGAATGAAGAAGATCTCCTCCTTAAATCGGTAGGTGTATCCTTTTTCCACTTTTCCTTTTCGAATCGAAATTCGCACGGCATCGTTCACCTTGTACCGAGGTCTTTTCACTGTTAGCGCTGGATATAACTTGTTATAGACAAGCAGAGAATTCTCTTGCTTGACGTCGATGGGTCGCATTCCATGAGCGCTGTGTGGTGAGTGATTATATGAGTGCACCATATCAGATAACTTGTCAATGTAGCGGGTGCTGACGCGGTAGCGAAACAATCGGAACATGCGGGATTTAATTGTACGTATTACTCTTTCCGCCATGGCACACTTTACGTCTTCGTTCTGGGAGGTAAAGAACTGTACGTCGTGGTCTTTCAGAAATGCGCGAACAGTTGTGTTCAGCATTTCCGTGCCCTTGTCGTACTGCAGCTTTTCAGGAAATCCTAGTTGTTCGAAGGCTTTCTGAAGGGCATCACGTGTTTCTTTTCCGGTTTTGGCCTTCAAGGCTTGGATGCTCAGCATTTTGGAAAAGCAATCAATGACAAAGAGCAAGTATTTTATCCCATCGTTCTCTTTGGAATATTTCGACAAGTCTGCCAAATCAGCTTGGTACTGCTGCCGCAGATTGGTAACTATCACTGGATTTCGTGGAAACCGTTTCCGACTTTCTTTGGTGACAGTGTATGCATCGATCTCTTCCAGTATCTCCTGGGCTCTCCGTTTGTTGGTCCTGGTTTTAGTGTTCTTCGGAATCGCTCGACGCCTCCAAAACTTCCGGGATGACGAGGGTCGAGGTATTTTCTCATTAGACGATCCATCGTTGCAGCAATTAGAAACACAGTTAATTTTGAAGAAGCGGCACAACCTAATAACCGACGGCAAAAATCCAGACATTATGATAAAGTAATCCAGTTAATTTTGCGTTTCATCCCGTTCCCTGTTTGCTTTCTGCCAGACCGCAACCGTTCAACTGGAATAGGTATTTCCTCAGATTTTTCTTTGGGACGACTAGGGCGCGGCTTCTTTGGTGGCGATGGTGGTACTGGAGGCACGTATTTGGGCGGCTCTACGGGGTTTTCATCCGGCATAGCTTTTGGTTTTAAAGCAAGAAAACGTTCCAGAATACTGGAAAGCTGGCTCGCTTTCTCGTATTCACTTATATCCTTTCGCTGCAAAGTTTGCGCAATTAAATTGTCCAACGAAACAACGGCTTTTGCTTCGGGAGGCTCCCTGTTGACTTGGATCTTTTCGTGAAGTTTTTCTTCCATGACGCGGCGAGGAACAATAAAGTATTCATCCATTACCAATCAATGATGTCAAGACGCCAGCAATAACAGGTAAAATTGCACCCAAGAATCCTCCTTGCTGAAGAATGCGCTTCTTAGCTTTCATGGGATACCGTCGCAATGCAAGCAGCTTTAATGCTTTGCGATGACGTTTGCACTTGTCCAATTCAGTCGGCGATAGGCTGACGGTGTTTTTGATTATGTTCACAGCGATTTCTTCTATGGCCTTTAGTTGCGGTTTGTTGGCAAATCCCATCAAGACGCGGCGTTGTTTTGGTTTGAGGCCTTTCAAAGTAATCACAAAAGGGGCGAGGGCTTTGACTCGTTCCGACATGGTTGGGGGATATCGTTGCAATTAGCTTTAACATAAATTCGCGCCGATTGTTCGGGAAGTGCGTGTGATCTCACCCTTAAATAGTCCGGGCACGTTGATCTCATATCAATAATGAGCGGTTCAAAAGGCACAGAAGTGACTTTGCGGTACGCGTCTGGCAGCTGACTGAGTCCGGTTTGCCGAGCAAGTAGGTTGATCTGATTAACGTCACGCACGCTCTTAAACAAAACAAGGTACTGAGAGTTCAACGTAATATCCCTCATTGACTTTCCCTGTTTGTACAGGTTTTGAAGCAATAACACAACGGAAACCTTCTTATGATGGATGCCGCGCGTAAATAAATTTGAGCAGCGCACGTCTTTGCATATGTCGCTAGCCAAGTCATCGATTATTAAAAGTGTTTGTTGATTAGTGTCGAAAAAATTAGGAGACTCCAGAACTGTTTCAATGCCCTTAATGAATTCAACAGACGCTTGTAGATCATCAAAAACATTTTGCCATTCACCATAGCAGTAAACTATTCGATGCGGAGGTGGACTAATCAACAGCTCTCGGTCTTTAATTAAAGATAACACGAACTGCGTTTTGCCCGACATGGTTGGCCCACATACACACATACCAAACGGCGCTTGGAAGCGCGGAAGTTCTTTTAACACACAATACATGGTGGTGGAAAACTTATGTCAAAAGCTACAAACCCGCTTTAATACAAACAGCACAAGCTTTTACACTCAGGCTTTAGAGTACGGTGAACTTCTTCGGGATCGTCGCCTTTTTCCAGCTGCTTACTATCAGTCCGCAGTAAACACACCCAGCCGTGTCCCCTCCGTTCCATTGAAATCCTGCTGCAGCCAGTCGCACTGGGTGGACAATATGGGATTTCCACTCTGTTGGATATGAAGACAAGCGCTCTTCCGGTGTCTTCATAACTTTAGGGGGTCGTAAAGCGTCGTCGTCGCAACAGAAACATATATTACCATTGCTGGGTCCTTCCCGGTCCCACAGATCCCGAACGCGGTAGCTTGATGCGTAAGCGCTTTCCTGGAGCTGGCGGATCTGGTCGATAGCATCCAAACCGATTCGACTCACAATGACTGGACACCGAGGGCGGTAGCGAGCATGGTGCACATCTACGTTTTCGTACGGCAGTAAATCCCTCAATCCAAGTCCGCACTGATAGCAGTGTATAAGGTTCGACCACGTATAGGAGAATCCAGATGCAGCCATCTCTTCTTTCGTTTGAGTGGTGAACTGCCATTGCTTGACATGGTTGAAGCTGTTAAGGCGGGCTAGATAATGCGCCATCCGTTTGTTGTACGGAGCCATTTAATCTACGAAACACACGAAAACATCAATTTTGTTAGAGCTTATGTCTTATGGGCAGGCGATACGTGTACTGTTAAAAAAAAAACAACGAATTTACCTCAGTAATCCTGCCAGTACTTATTTACGTCTCGAAATTTCTGCGCAAAAGCCGGTCGCAGTGCTTGCAAGTAGCGACAGTCAGGGTTATACGTAGCGTGAGCCGCCCAAAAGTCGGTATCACTATCACAGTGTGTCAGTTGATGACCACAACAAAAACACTCAGCGAGAAAGTAACCTTCCGAAGGAACAAAAATGTATCCACATTCGGCTAAACGACGTGGAGTTCGAATACGTAAAGTAAACTTTTCAGCAGGGAACGTTTGTACGCGACTTTCCACGGAACTATAAGCAGATGTGCCAAATGATTCCATTGCAAAAAGTATCAAGAAACAATACTGCAAATTTTAGCGCTGAGCACTCAGGCTTTAAGTCAGCTTTCAGTTGCATTTTGCTTTTTTCTGTTTTTGCAATCATTTAAGGCCACGCCTGTAATCACGACAGTTACAGATTTTTGCAAATGCAGTGAAAGTCGAAATGTCTAATCTCCAAGCCATGCTACCCGACCTTAACCGTCGCGAGCGGCGATGGGAAAAGGTCACGGTGGCAGTTTTTATTTTCTGTTATTCGCACTATTTACGTTCTTTGTTCTACTAGACGCGTTTGGAAAGGTCCTGCAAACCGATCACTGGAACAGTACTGTTCGGAATCTCACGTCGTGACGAGCTAAGCAAAAGGTTAGTTGACAAAGCGCTTTGTATGTAAGGTTGAGTGGTGGCTACTGATCGACTCGCTGTTCTTTTAGAAAAATATGCCCGTGGATCAACCGCCAACAGCACAGTCTCATACCATGAGAATAAATGTATAACCTTCTTACGAAGACGTTTCCAATGTGCCTGTTCTAGTAGCCGAGATATACTGCACGCATAGAATGTTCATTGTTACCGTGGGTGTCCCCGTGGGTGTACAGAAATAAAAAAGGAAAACTTGCAATTGCGCCGAATTACGATTGAACAACTAAAACTTAAGTTCATCAAAAAACTGATTCGTCACTTTCTGTTTCAAATCAGACAGCTGTCGCAAGTCATACAATGCTAACAAATCCAAATGATCATACAAGCACGAGTAGAAACATCCCGTCGGCAGCTCTTGTAAAAGACGTTTCTCCACGTTTCGCTTCAGGTCTCTGCCCATGAAGTCCGGCTTAAAACGCTGAATTTCGTCGTTGATGTTGTCGAGATAGATGCTCCAAAATGCGTTTGGCAGCTCTTCAAAACACATACATTTGACTGACCGGAATTTGCTGTTTCATTCCATGTACTTTTACCTGCATATCCACGGTCTTTTCGCGGCACAAACTCATTCAGCAGCTGTAGTTGCTGTACCTCGTCGGCATCCCGGAAATCTCTGAAGACTCGGTATCGCGCACTTCGATACAATATCTTCCTTCCTAAAGCCTCGAATCTGAAGTGCGCTTCACCGCGACCCATGCTGACAAACGTTCCCCGTAGACGAGGGCCAAAATCGTGCAGAGGGCATTCAATCATGGCGTGGCGTCGCTTCACTTTGATGTTGGCTGGTCGCTTCCAGTCCAAATGGCTTTTATACGAAAGCATATACTGGAGGAATGCTACGAATTCAGCTTTTCCTGTAGTAAGTACTCCCATGGGAGACATTAACTGAACGGTGTAGACCTCGCCGCGGTTGTCCCTCGTGAGTGCAAGCGATGCGTTTCCAAAGTTCATCCGTTCTACGGGTTCGCTTTCTGCACATAACAATCCAAAAATTAATACAGTCATTCTGGATTAACGCTTTACTTAAAACAAGAACTAAAATATACACCCGTGGGTGTGAACGTGGGTGTTGGTTATTACGACTGCAAATACAACTTACGAAGTTTTCGTACTTCTGATAGAGTTATGCAATTTTTAGCGACGAAACTAATCAAATTCTGACAACCTGAGCAGTGTAATACAGTATATCCACACAAAAACATTAAGTACCTCGCAGAAACTGATCCCTTGGTGACGGTTCTGCTGATTGCGGTAACGGCGACGATAAAATTTTCCATAGGTCCACCCATTCGTTCACCGTTTGCCCCTGAATAACTTCGTTGCCACTGTCCGGAGGCGATTCCAAACCGCTGAATCCACTTTGCAAGACTTCTACGGTAATCGGCTGTAAGGGAGAACCAACACCGCCGTTGAAAATGTTCCCAGCTCCGCCCGTGAGAACTCCATCCACAAAAGTTGGCTGACCGATAAGCGTAGCAATAGGGGGCAAGCTGGTTGGTCCGGCAGAATCAACGTCAGTCCAAGCACTAACCTCAGCTACAAAATTGGCGTGGTTCTCTGGAAAGCTGCTCTGCGTACCCGGTTCCACCGTTTGCATACCGCATTGCTCAAAAGAAACACGGGCGTCGACCTCCGTAACCAATGGGTCTCCGGTCTCCATCTGCTCTGTAGGGTCACCATTCGGCATGCCCATCTCAGCTAGAACCACAGCCATATCAGCGATCCATTGCGCGTCGGCGTCCACTGGCCCGCTATTTGTAGATAATGCGGGCGGATTATCAAGATTAAAATCGGCACCATAGTCATCAAAATCTAACCAGCTGAAGTCCATTATAAACCATAGGAAAACAATTATTGGCCAGAAATGTGGAAGAAGAGAACTTTGACTCAGTGAGAATGGAGACTGTAGAAGAACTGGCTAAAATTGCAAGGCAAAACCAGCTGGACTTGGCTTTCCCACGATTCGCTATACTGAGAACGAAGAATCGGAAGCCCCGCCTCCCATTCTTCTCTTCGAGTTCAATTACGTCACCAGCGTACCGTGTGCAAGATTCGAATTTAAATTGCCGGTGAATGGCAGTTCGAGTCCGCTGCAGTTCTACGCTGCATCTGAATCTGATAATGCCACGGGTAGCCGTCGAATCTCGAAAATTTTAGGATTCTTATAACTTACCTGCTGTTTTTAATCCAAGTTGTAATTACTGCGGTAAATTTTAATACAGTGTTACTGTACTTTGATATAACGCAGCTTATTTAGCGTTTACGTACAAGCAAAATACCAACAACTGCAAACTCAAGAATCGTATTAGCAAATACAAAAAAAAAACGTAATAACACAGTAAAATCAATAATACCATAATAACAGTAATCATCTTTACCAGTAAAACCAAGTGCAGTAACAGCGTGTATTCTGAACACCTACGGTTCCTTGGAAAGTATACAAAAAATATACGCAACGAACTACAAAAAACAAACAAAACATTAGGCTGCCCCGCCAGTTCCATCCTCATCCTCCGACAGCAATGGGTTTTCGGGAACCGCTTCCCCACCAGCCATCAGAGCGTCCCAACCTGCCCCGGTCTCCACCAGGTTTTCGTCCTCCTCCGTCCAGCTGTCCAGCGCGGCGTGCCCCGCAGCCGCTGCCGGCTGTTGCGGCACTTCTTCTGCGTCGCCACCGGCCAGGACCTCCAGTGCAGGCTGCTGCCCATCGGCCTGCGCGTGTTGCTGGACCACATGAGCGTCTAGTTCGTGCTCTGGGTACAGGTAAGTAGTGCGCCCAACCCACGCCGGAGGCCAGTTTTCCTCGCCCGATTCTCCCGTCTCGTCCCCGTTCTCGTTCAGCATCACCCATTGCACCTTGCGGGTGGGGAAGCGCCGCAGCAGGTATTCGTGACGGGAGACTGGATCATCCGACGTGGCCCAAGCCCAGCACGACCGCTGACCTCCGTGTCCTGGAATCCCGCCCACGTGACGCGCGACGGTCTCCTTACGACCAGTACTGCCGGCAAGAAAGCCGCAAAATGGACAACGGAACCTTTGCCGCCGCGCAGCTGGATGTCTTCACGCAGCTTCTCCAGGCGTTCACGAGCCTGCAATTAAACATAAAATAAACTGACGTTTGTGTTGCCGTGGGTGTACCGTGGGTGTTGCCGTGGGTGTATGAAAGTGACCTACCTCTACATATCCACTTTGCCCGTCACGGGCATCCACGAAATCTTCCAGCTCTCCTTCTTCTTCGGAAAGCTCGGCGTCAGACGGTACATCAATATGGCGAAATTCGAGTACGGTCGACTTCCAGTGGGCGACCGGATGGGTCTTCCTGCCGACCTTCAACTTCGTGATGCGGTTGCACAGATGCATCCCGTCCGGAGCGGCAGCTGAGCGCTGTTTCTTCTGCGCAGGCCCAAGCTGTTGCTTGCGGACAGAACCGTTCGGCCCACTGCTGGTGCTGGGCTCTTGGTCGAAACGTGCCGGGCTCAAGGTTCGCTTAGCGGGTTGCCTGGTCAACGGACCGGATGTCCGCGGAGCTCGGGTCGGCTGGGCCCGGGTCGGCGGAGGCCTGGACGGTGGAGGCCGGGTAGTTGGGGTCAGGGTCGGCAGGCCGGTGAACGGAGGGCCGGTGGCCGGAAGACCGGCTGCCGGAGTACCGGTGGCCGGAGCGCCGTTGGCCGGAGGGCCGTTGGCCGGAGGACCGGTGGCCGGAGAACTGGTGGCCGGAAAGCCGGTGGCCGGAAAGCCGGTGGCCGGAAAACCGGTGGCCGGAAAACCGGTGGCCGAAGGGCCGTTGGCCGGAGGACCGGTGGCCGGAAGACTGGTGGCCAGAAAGCCGGTGGCCGGAAAACCGGTGGCCGAAGGGCCGTTGGCCGGAGGACCGGTGGCCGGAAGACTGGTGGCCGGAGAATTGGTGGCCGGAGGGCCGGTGGCCGGAAAACCGGTGGCCGGAAAACCGGTGGCCGGAGGACCGGTGGCCGGAAGACTGGTGGCCGGAGAATTGGTAGCCGGCGGAGCCAAGGTCCACAGGCCGGTGGAAGTCGACTTGGACTTTCTACCAGCGGACGCCTTTGCCGATGCTGGCTTCTTTGCAGCGGCTTTCTTGGAAGCGGCCTCCGCTTTTTTGGCAGCGGAAGCAGCCTTTTTTGCTTCGGAGTCTTGCTTAGCTCCGGCCGCCTTCTTCTTCGCGTTGCCCTGAACACGGGAGCTTTGTTTACCGCCGCCCTTCTTGGCAGCTGGCGTCGCGGATGGCTCAGCAGTATTCGGCACAGAGGATGTCGGTGCCGCTTTCCCAGTCGAGGGCACCTTTGCAGCTGTGGCGGCTTTCTTCTTCGTCGCTGGGTTTGTAGCCTTCTTACGGGAAGAAGAGCGTGTGGGAGCAGCCTTCGGACGAGCGGCACCGCGCTTCTTTTTCTTCGCCGGAGCCGTATTGCCCTGAGAACTTTAAAATTAAAAAGATCTTGTTAATTACAATAATAATAACTGTTTAACATCAATAACAATAATATATATATATAAATATATGTTAGTAACTATAACTATAAAAATATAATATTTAAGTACTGCAGTACGCACGCATCAGTTTTGCCGGCGGAGTCTGCATTCGGAAGGGCGCGTGAGCGGCGCGCATCAATACGGAGGCGAGGGGGGCTGCTATCTGCGGACTCATCCGCTCCAGTTCCGTCGCCTTTCTGGCTCCCGGATCCTTGGTCCGTGTCTGCCACAGCACCGCGGGCTGTATTCGGGCGAGTTGGAGACAGTGCTGCGCTGCCATCAGCAACAGAAACGGTGCCCTGGGGCAGTTGCCCCTGAGGCTGCCCTTGCTGGGGCGCGCTCATTTGCGGCCGCTCGGCGTTGTTTTCTGAAATTTTTAAAGAAACAAAAGTTTCCGACGGCCGATATGCACAATTCAACACGTTGTGCACCGTGCAGCTGACTGCGTTTTGGGTGACAATAATGAATTTATTACGCAAAGGGCAGACCGCTGCATGGTACACAACTTGTTGAATTACGCAAAACATAAATCGGCCGTGTAACAGTATACCCAACACGTACCGCTTTCCATTTCTCAGCGGGCGTTGCTGGTGTGTTGCAGCGAAATTCCCTTCAAAGAGGAAGAGGAGAGCGTCGGTGGGGGAGGAGAAATGGGACGGAGAACTCCGAGGCCTCCGTGAAAAATTGGGGAAGGTCGCTATCGCCGGTACGGCTAAAAACGACAAATCAGTCACGTGCGGCCTAAAAAAGGTTACCGAAACGGTGGCGGGAATGAAAGGGACGTCGCACTATAATTAGACGACAACCAGACGTCGTCACTGATTTCTGGCGATGGCAGAAAGGAAGATTGTCGGGATAATAAAAAAAAATCCAGAATGATTTTTTTTTAAAACTTAAATTCAACAGGTGCACAAATATACATATGCAGCACCACTTAATTAGGTAGCTACAGTTAACGTAACTGCCTCCTCGGCTAATACTTGGGGAGGTTGTGGTAGAGACAGCCGCCACTTGTATTGCGGCTGCCCCACCTGTATTGGGCAAACTCTATGAGGGACCCGACCCTCCTGCTGCTGGGAACAGTAAATGCATATGCCAGAATTATGGCCGTTTGCTAACGTTTATCAGTGTGGCGCGCGAATGTAAACAGCGGTGTACCGCGGACGGATTAAAGCAATGCAGGTTTCTATGCCAAAATGAAATGCTTGCACCATAAACTTGCAATATAAAACTTGAAATTGCAATATAAAATGGGTTTATCGAACGTTGTGAAAATTTCATGGTTGGGTCCATTTAATCAAGGTCACGTCCATTAATTGCATGACTGTTGCATGTGTGCTTTTTAATAATACTGGAACAACCGAAAGCACTAAGAACGTAAAGACAGTTTAGTAAAAGTCACAGAACCACGTCATGAAGCCCAGAAAAAGTTTAGAATTATCATCGTTCGTTCATTTTTACAAATAAAATGTGCGCCTCTGTAATTATAGTAATAAAATATACTCCTCTCAAAACGCAGGAAAGCTCAGAACAAGTCAACACCAATGCGTAAAGTCTACCGTTGGAATGTCATAGGAGTACCTCTTGATTCTGACGAACTGCAGTTACAGCTAGCATTACCTTTCAATTCAAACAGTAGTGGTCTAAATTCACCGCGCTGTTTGTGGTTCATCGGTTTCCTGGCAATTAAATGAGTAACTTGTAGCGCACTGGCGCGTAAGTTACGAAAAAAGTTAATCAACAGCCAACGATAAGCAAGGCTGTTCGGATAGATTTAATACTGAGGTGAAAGCTGCAGTGCATCTCTCTTCGCTATCGTGCGATGCAAAATACGATTTATAATTTCCCAATCAACTCACCGGTATACCGTATACGCATTTTCAGCAATCCCAGACATCGTTCGACATAATAAGTTAATGTGTAAAGCAACTGAATATGGAATTTACGACCATCACATTATCAGCAAGTTTGCAACTCATTGCCCCTGTGCGTTGTAAACGATATCTGGCTATTTTCGTAATTTTCCAGCTTTTGTAACTTTCGTTCTTCATGAACTTTGCAACTGTGCGTTCGGTGACCTTAATCACCATTCACCATCATATAAAAGCTAAGCGTGTACGCAAGTTTTCTCTACGCTGCGTAGATGCGTTTAGACGTATTGCTGTATTACAGTGTTAGAAACTCAATACGAGAAGGTACATAGCATCAAGTGAATAAATTGGGACATTTGTGGTTCAGTCCGATGGGGTCCTTCTGCCGAATATGGCTAATCTTCTTGCTGTTTAGCGTGGTTCTGTTAAGATCAGCTGTCAGTGCGCCAGTGGAAACCGTGGACGTTACCAGGGCGGGAAGATCCATGTCGGTAGATCGTATCGACGCCAAGCAGATTTGGGTAGACCAAATTGTTTTCGGGAAGGGTCGCTGGACCATCCAGGCGGAAAAGTGGGAAAACTTCAGGGAAGGGGATGTGCTAGTCTTCCGAGACCATTGGCATGGTGGAGATAAACGTTTCGCTATGTGGCCGGGACGTTATGTGGACGTCAGTGGCTAACTCTATGGCGGTTGATTTTAATTTTTATGTGATACCTTTTTTTTAATGAAGGACTGAGACAGTATTGTAGCAACTTCCCAATGCTTCTCCAGATTCTAGCTTTTTGGGAAAGCGTAGGTTTGGACCGCTTGATCACCATAACCAGCTCTGAAACTTGATACTCGTGCTCATGTAAATTTTTTAATCTTCTGGACGTAAGTGGTCAATTAAGTCGACAAAAAATCAAATAAAATGTAAAAAAGTGTCGAAAAATATAAAAAAGCCAATATTTCTGTGTCCTGAAATTCGGGGCGCAAAGCCAAATTAAATTACCGGTATAATCTCCCAGACATCGGGGCGCATAGTCAAATTCTATGCGACGTTTTTCGAGGCGCTTAATAATTTGGTCTGTTGGAATGAATCGAGTTCGGCCCGAAAGTACCTGCGTTTACAAAGCAACCTACCTAAACCCACAGAATTCAACAATGGGTTTCGCAACAGACATTATTATTTGCAATAACTGTACAGGTTAAAATGTTGTACAGGTAGTATTGCACTGAGAGAACAAAGTTTACGTTAACTGACGACTATATCTACAACGACAATGTAATCGTAATCTTGCCGGCTATACGAGGTATTGTTCGGGTATCTGGTTTCCCTCACATATAAACGATCTTGTCCATACAAATATAAACACTTTCCGGATTAAATAATATTCCATATATACTCTGGAAATTTACAGTTACAAAGTACCATTTAATAAAAACATGAATGGCCCCACACGGTGCATATCCTCCACATAATGCACCAACAATCAGCCTGCATTACCGAATACCAGTTCTGGCATTCGGCATTCTTCAAGTGCTTTTCGGAGTAGCACTGATAATCACCGATATTATAAGTAAGTGCACTGTATATCCACTGTTTTAGATAAATACAGGGATAAATCTGAGTTCTGAAATCAGAAAAAAACTGTGTGGAAAGCTCTGTAAAACTGTCAATATCATTCCAGATTTCGGTATAAATCTTCCCGGTAACGCCTTTCTCTTCAGCGTTGCTGGTTCGGGGATTTATACCGGAGTGTTTTTCATCATCACCGGATCGTTTGGTATCGCAGCCGGCCGGCCTCTGTCAGTAGGAACGACACCACGCTCACGTCGCTGTCTACTCGTCACTTCCATGGTGATGAGCATTTTATCCACGCTCTTGGCCACAGCGCTGCTAATTCTCCTAGCAGTTCTCTTGGCTGTAAACGTTCGTTACGAAGTTTGCTATCCTGCATTTACAATCGCCGATATGTACCTCTGCGAGCTCTATGTATTTCGTGGACATGTTTTCATGGGCTCCTTCCTGGCATTCCAAGGTGTTATGTGGATCTTCTGTCTGGGTCAGTCAATTGCCGCTGGGGTCAACATGTGCAAATTGCCGAGAAGCACCACCACCACGCAGGTCGTGTACGTGCAGCCTGGATACAGTTATCCACAGGGCGCTCCTGGACAAGCGATCCATTTTGTCACGGGTCAGCCTTCCGGATTGGGTGGTCCACCTGTTCCCATGGGAAATCCGCCTGTGTTGAAATCGTAAAAAATGGCGAGTTTCATAGCCTACGAGTATTTTTCAATAAATTGCTGCTTTGAAAGTTCAGTGGATGCTGCAAGATTTTTTCTACCTACTTTAGGCCAGGTGTTGAGCTGGCTAGTCTCATATTTCGTTTTTTCTTCGCTCTTTACTTCGTACTTATCAACATTAGCAACCAGTCATCTTTAAACGGTCAACGGTCGTTGGACATTTTCCTTATCAATAATTTTAAAGTATGCATGCCGAATCCAGTAAATTATTGCTTTATATGTAACAACTGGCCGTTTGAAAAGGACATTGTAAAACTATTAATGTATATCCAACATATCTGTCCGAGATATCTTCTATAACGTATGACAGTTCATGGTTAGGCACAAAGTCACCGATTGACGCTGATTTTGTACGAGTGTAAATTGTATCGTAACAGCGAGCGTACATTTCTTGGCATACCGCTGTAACCGCCTTTCGGTTCTCAAATTAATATTTTTTTCGTGAAGGGACCCAACGTACGACAGTGGGTTAATTTTCGGGTTATTTTTCGCAACTGAAAAATGTCTAATACTATAAAAACGTCTGTACGTCAGATTACAAAATTTAATGCGAGATTGATGTACAGTACTTGTATTGCTGCACGGCTGACAATGCAGCGGCTATACTCGCGTACCAGATAAAAACAGAATCAAAGTAATGACAAATGACAATGCAATTTCACCGGTATCAAAGCTATTTTTCTCGTATCTCGTTTTCATTCAAACGTAAGTTATCTTGTCTGTGGACTTAACATAATAATATGGCAATCTAACGTGCGAACATATATAACCATATTCAGGAACAAATCCGTCTTAAAATTCGCTGCATGGCGCAAAGTTGTAGTTTTGATCATAAGAGCAATTAGCAAAGAAATTCAGCGCGGAAATGCCGCTTCTGTTCTGGGAACTGTTTGTTGTTCGAAAGAGCTAGAAGAGTTGTTTTATTTGTTCTAGCTATACGTTACTTGAGTTTAAGTGTAAATGGCATCTGCTTGTACAAGTTCCAAATAAAGAAGTTTTATTAGCAAAGATGGCTCCATATGGTGCACCTCCTTCGCAGAATGGAGCAGCAGCTGGACTACACAACCGAATACCGGTTCTGGCGTTCGGTATTCTGCAAGTGATCTTCGGCATCGCACTGATAATCACCGATATCATAAGAAAGTTAATCCAGGGTTAAAATATTAAAGAAGTTTTGGGAGATTTGGAGAGCTGTATAATATTGCAGGTACATTACAGATTTCAGCATTACTTTTATCGGTGACGCTATGATATTCAGCGTCTTTGGTTCGGGAATCTATACCGGAGTATTTTACATCATTACGGGATCCTTCGGGATCGCAGCCGGCCGGCCTCTGTCCATGGGAACGTCACCGCGCTCACGCCGCTGCCTTCTCATCACTTCCATGGTAATGAGCATTTTATCCACGCTCTTGACCACTTCGGTTCTAATTGTCCTCGCAGTTGTTTTCGCTGTCAATGTGGCCAATCCTCGTGGTCCTTATTATTGTCAACCTGGGGTGTCGTTTTCCGATGCCTATCGCTGCAACCTTTTTTTATACCGGGGATACGCTTTTATGGGGTCGTTCCTGGGATTCCAAAGTATCATTTGGGTCTTTAATCTGAGTCAGTCGATTGCCGCAGGGATCAATGTATGCAAGCTGCCGAAGAATACCACCACCACGCAAGTTGTGTACCTGCAGCCTGGCTACAGTTATCCCCAGGGTGTACCTGGACAACAGATCCACTTCGTCACGGGTCAGCCGGCCGGAATAGCAAGCCCGCCTGTTCCCATGGAAAACCCCGCTTCGATGCCACCTGTGCCAAAGTCCTAACGAACGGCGGGTTTTTTAGTATATCGCCCAATAAGTTGGGACATACTTCGAAAGTTTAAGAGAAGCTGCAACGCATTATCATCCTTGGCTTCGTTTTAACTTTTAAGTTGACCACTCCAACCTACTTAGTTTATTATTACACTCTTGATTTTGGGCTTTTACAGGGTGGAGTTTGCCATTTTGGGCTTTTACAGGGTGGAAAAGAAATGGTTACACTTGTACTTTGATCCTGACCAAACGATGTATAAGGGGAAAAATGTGTCTAGCCGAACCAATCCCTTGTACTTCTGATGTAAGCCAGCTGGTGGTTTACGTTGTGGCTGCACAGCGTTTTATGTACAGCGCCGCTATTAAGGCTGTGCGGCATTGACGGTACATGTGGTATTAGCTGCACCAGGCAGGTCCGGGCTATAACACAGTTTTAGCCTGTTTACCTGCAGTTGTACGAGTGCTGCTTACCTGTTATCAGTACCTGCAATCTTAATGGCAGCGCTTTACATAAAACACGGTCAAGCCACAACGTAAACCACCAGCTGGCTTACATCAGAAGTACAAGGGATTGGTTCGGCTAGACACATTTTTCCCCCTATATACTGTTTTCATGTACCGAATTCAGCATATTGTTTTATAACAGTTGGGGATTTTGAAACAATAACATTGTTAGCATAAATACACAACATTGTCTGTAATGGTAAGACAATTTACAATTATGTTAATCAAACCAGTGTGATTATGTCAGCATTGTAACGATGATATTTATTGTTATCGTTGTCAAAGCGCTGTTGATTTGGAGTTATCGGACATTATCTGCTGATAGTCAGCGCTACAGTATCACATTACTACTGCCGCTTGATTCAACAGTGTGAAAACACCTGTATTGTAAACAGTCACTGTGGCTAAGCAGAAGAACGTGCTCAGGTAAACGTCTTTTTTAATTGACCCGAAATCTTTTGATGAAAGAAAATGGCCAAGTTTGGTACGCCGGAGAAATAGTATTAAAACAGTATTAAGAACGGTCATTCAAAATTTCGCGGCTGTACAAGTACTGTACTTTTAGTACCTACGTACTTGTCGTACTAAAAGTGGCACGATGACTATGAACCAGCCAATTATAAGGTAAGAAAAAATTAAAAACGAATGCCTTTGCTTGTGCTGTAAGCCAGCTTACTTTACTCTAGTTGCAGAGTGCAGTGTACAATACGCAGTACTTAATTACCTAAACACGAAGACACAAACATACTCGTGCTTTAAACAATTTTGTATGGACAATATGTTGCGTCCGTTTCGCAAACGCATGTACAGAGTATAGTATTACTGTAGAAGTTGGGTTGTACGTCTGTGTTTACAGATTCAATCGAAATATTATGTAGTTTACTGACAATACCAATGGCGGCGTGCGTGTTGCAAACACAAGAGGAGTGATACCTAATCGGATTACAAGTAGCCCATGCCCACTGTAGAAGTTGGGTTGTACGTCTGTGTTTACAGATTCAATCGAAATATTATGTAGTTTACTGACAATACCAATGGCGGCGTGCGTGTTGCAAACACAAGAGGAGTGATACCTAATCGGATTACAAGTAGCCCATGTAATAAGAACAAGGCACGGTACGGTGCTGTAACAACAGAAACGCATGTGAGAACAAAACAGAGGATAAGATTACAGATACTAATAAGCGAACAAGATAACAAAGCAGTAACAATGTAATCTGGAATCTGGATGATTGTCTCCGCAGCTGTTTAGATATCCCGGTACTGATACTCCAGCTTTTTCTACAGACTTGTATATTACCGTATTCGTAGAGTATCTAGAATAAACAGTAGGGTTGTTTTTCTATTCATTGTCTATTCTATTGCACTACGTCTCGGAAATCGTTCAAGAGCAATAATGACCGCCAACACCGGCATGCTTCCCCCTCAGCCGACATCTGTCGGTCTGCACAGTCCTAAATCGGTCCAGGCATTCGGTATTCTGCAAGTGATTTTCGGAGCCGCGCTAATTGTTACCGACATCTTCAGTACGTAACAACATGCAGCTCTACAAAGAATTCACCAATTAACGTACACCTGCAAAATCCGTTACAGCTTTCAGCACCAACTGGCCTGGTGACGCGCTAGCCTTTAGCGTCGGTGGTTCGGGATTCTACGCTGGAATATTTTTCATCATAACGGGATCGTTCGGTACTGCAGCCGGGGGACGTCTTGCAGTGGGAACTTCACAGCGCTCGCGCCAATGTCTGCTTATCACCTCGATGGTGCTGAGCATTTTATCTACAATCCTGGCATCCGCTCTGATAATTGCCCTTGGCATTTTTTTCAGCCTTCTACGTGGCTCTGCCTACAGAAATTTCTGCGCCCCTGGGAATTACAACGAATTTGCTTGTAACTTCTACGATATTCGCATTCCCGCAGTGATGGGCCCCTATTTAGCGTTCCAGGGTCTTATGTGGATCTTCTGTCTGGGTCAGTCGATTGCCGCCGGGGTCAATATTTGCAAAATGCCCAAGAGCATTCCTGCAACGCAAGTAGTGTACGTGCAGCCGGGCTCCAGTCATTTACAGGGCGCTCCTGGACAGTCTATCCACTTTGTGGCAAATCCTCAGCCAGCTGCAGAAATGGGTGGCTCGCCTGTTCCAATAGGGAAATCTTCAGATGCCGCCTGCGTTGAAGCCGTAAAGCTGGACGAGTACCGTACCACATCGACTTAATTATTAAACTTGCTGCAAAAGTTTAAGTCGTACTGGAAGGTATTCAACTTTTGCGCCTTTATAGTTCCCACTAGTGTTGATCAGGCAGCCAAAAGTCTGCAAATGTTCGCGTAGTTTTATTTTTTGCCGCTTGCTATATCGCACATTTCCCTTCCCGACTAAAATCTGTGCAGTGGGATCGTGGCAAAACAAGTGCATTGCGTTTATTTACAAAGCTCTGTACAGATATTCGAGAGAAATGATAAATAATGTAGATATGCAACAACGTCTGAATATATTATCGGTATTCACTGTATAACAATTCACTGCAGTAACAACCATGTCCATCGTTGCCACAAAGTCGGTGATCTGAGCTCCCTTTGCAGTAATCAAGGATAATCACGGTATTGTTATTAATTATCATTGTGACTAAGCAGAAAGAGCAAGCAGACATCCAGGCAGAGAATAGTAAATCGATGACAATAGCATCTAAATGTAATACAATTAAAGCTGGTGTGAATGTTCTATAGCAGTTACAAGTTTATCGAATAATAAAAGTCCAGCAAACACAGCAGTCAATGTCTCAGTACAATGCAGTCCCTCCAGACAGCTTAAAACAATGTTGGTAAACGAAACCATCCTCCGGTGACAACCGGATGCTATTCCTTTTTCGCTCTGTTGCACAGCTGGGTAACGCAATGCCGCTGATGTTCTTGGCATACTTCTATTACACTTACCATTAGCACCGTCGACTCGTAGTAAGCAAAATAAAAGGTAAAGCAGAAAACCTTTTATAATCGTATTGTACAATTGCGGCAGAACCGCCGATCAACGTTGCTCATAATGTGACCGAATGGGCAGACCAGTTTCACGGGTCCACAGCAGAATAAGACTGACAAATACAGTTCAAATGCAGTCAACGTTGAAAGTACTGTAACTGCAAAAAACTGTATGCTGACGTCTGTATTTACTGTTTCGATTGTGGTCTTTACATAGTTATAATCAAAGGGCAACGGCCGTCAGTGATAGGTCGTGTGATATTTATAGTGAGAGTAAGAGAATTGCACGTCTTTTGTCGGTATAGCCCTAAGTAACATGCGTAATAAGAGTTTTACCGGCAAGAATGCAACACGAGAAATGTATGCATGCGATGAGCAAACGTATTATCAATATGCACTGAAGATAATGTGACAAATTTTATTAAGAGAACACCAAAACAAAACGCAAACAATGTAATCTGGATGCTTATCCGTGCCATTGTCCTGCTGTCGCGGTTTTACGCACGTGAATGCACAATTTCTGCTTACCCTACATATAAAAACTACAGAGTAATTAAGTATGCGGAAAACATTGTCTCTTTGATTCACTGTCTGGTGTACAAGACGATTTATCACAACGCACAACACAGCAAAATGGCCGCTCATACCGGTGTTTTCCCTCCTCAGTCTGCATCTGTCGGTCTGTACAGTCCCAAATCCGTGCTGACTTTCGGTATTCTCCAAGTTGGTTTTGGAATCGCATTAATTATTACCGATATCGTCAGTAAGTACCACTGTACCACCATGATACAGATATAAAAGTTAACCAGCAAACATTACCGGAAAATGTATGACAGATTTCAGCATCCACTGGGGCAGCGACGCGCTATCCTTCAGCGCCGCTGGTTCGGGATTCTATACCGGAGCGTTTTTCATCATAACGGGATCATTCGGCATTGCCGGCGCACGGCGTCTACCGCCGGGAACTTCACCACGTTCCCGTCTGTGTTTACTTATCACCTCAATGGTGTTAAGCATACTATCGACGCTCATGGCTGGCGGTTTGATAATTGCTCTCGCTTCTCTTCTCGTCGACCATCTGGGCTTTATCAGTTCTGTTTACTGCTGGTATGGTAGCAGCTATTATAATGTGTACCAGTGTGCTTTCTACCTCAACCGCATTCCAGCCATGATGGGTACCCATCTGGCATTCCAAGGTCTGATGTGGATTTTCTGTTTGGGTCAGTCGATTTCCGCGGGGATCAATATATGTAAAATGCCTAAGAAGACCACCAACACACAAGTCGTGTATGTGCAGCCTGGGTATGGTTACCCCCAGGGGGCCCCTGGCCAGCCAATCCACTTTGTGACGGCTCAACCAACGGGAATGGGCGGCGCTCCTGTTCTGTCGGGAAATCCAGCTCAAATGCCGTCTCCCGTCAAGTCGTAAAAAGCGACGCTCTGTTGAGAAAGTTGCTTGTTTTGCCACGATTTGCTGTTATTGCTGGACGAACAGCTGATATCATAAATACGAGGTTTGCTTGGCCGTTACTTTTTTATAATGAGGGCGAGTCTCGGAGTCGACTTTTTGCTGTGTTGATCAATCCTGCGCTACCACCGGGTTTTGTGTTATTGTACATAATACATATACTATTATTTTATAAAACAACCTGACATCTGGGAGTATTATAGGACTAGCGTAAAGAGTATTTATTGCTGTCGTATCAGCACAATTTGACCGAATAAAGTGATTGAAATGCATGGTTTTGTATGCGCTTGCGCACAAGGCACATGTAAAACTGCGTATGTACGAGTATAAGAGATAACAGACACGTTGCTTACTTTACAGAGTACATAATACAGTGAAAACATTGGCAATTTAAATTACGTATTTAATCAATACGTTTTGGTGAATGGTGGCAAGCACAAATTTGATACCACATAATATAGCTAACTAGTGGAAATATGTACCGGGCTAAATCTGATCGCAAAAGTAAAATAAAGAAAATTACATAATCTTTGCTGCGAAACGTGAAATCGTAAGATACAGTACGATATTCAATTTTTTGCGGCAATTTCTCGATATTGTTGATCAGGCAGCCAGCCTGCAAGTTACTGTCTGCACTCTAAGATTATTCAATTTAATCCACTTTTTGTATCGCGCATTTCCATCCCAGACTGAAATATTTGTATTATGATTAAAACAAAGCGAATAAGTGCATCGCTCTGGAGCCAGAGTGAATTTGAGGAGAACACTAGTTAAAGTAAATATTCAACACTATCTGTAATATTAAATTAAATTTTATTTCTCAATATGTATAAGGCGAGCTTCCCTCGACAAAACTGATCATGTAATATCGTCGGTATTTAAGTATATCTACCCGTATGGTCGTTTAAGTGGAGTAGGAAGTGACTATAAGACAACTTTCACCCATGTTTACTACTTTCTACGGCATTTAAGCGGCCACATCAACCGAGCTGAAAAACAATCTCAAGAAGTCTGCCGAAACATGATATCATCAAACATTATATTACATCGAAGAACATTGCGCCGCAAAGGCGCGTCTGTACTTCGCGGAGAAAACGGGGTGCAAGCAATAAATAACCGAAAAGGGTGCCTATAGTAAACGGCGGTTTAAGGGATTCCTGTCCAGTTGTAGCATCACCCTTATAACATGTACAATTCACTACTGTAACAATAATGCTCAATTATGCCTTCGTTGTCACGAAGTCGCGGATGTGAGCTATGTCTGCGGTAATCACGACATTATTAAGAATTGTCATTGTGAGTCACTAAGCAGAAAAAGCAAGCAGTTATCTAGGCAAGGGAATAAACAAATCGATGACATTTCTGTATATTGTAATTATAAATTTATCCAACATTAAGAGTCTAGCACACATAACAGTGTTACAGTCACAGCTGCTTTCTACCAGACAGAACGTAAAGCAATGTTAGGAAATGTTTTGTGGAAAGAAACTACAGGTTGTACAACCAGACTACCAGTTAACATAATGCCGCCAACGTTTTATTGTATACTATATTGTACTCCTGTTCGCACAGTACGAGGAAATAAAATAGAATAGATGATCCAACTAAGAACCCTTAACAGCTCTGCATTGTGTAACTACGTAACAGGACCGCTGATTCCAGTTGCTAATATTCTGAACAAACGAATGGAGTAATTCAAGAGTACACAGCGGAATGAAACTGTCAAAACACACTTCAACTTTGCACGCCAGAAACCCCAAATCTGGTTCAAATAATTTGGGCGCTCATGCAGCGCACCAGTCTGCGCTTCCTTAAATAACGGTACACATGCAGCGGCATGCTTATTTATATAGGGGGCAAAACTAAACGTGTTCCACCGTTTCCGGCTACTGCTACCGTCACCCGGCTGGAGTTGTACGTTGTGGCTGAACATGGCGCTTATGTACAGCGCCAGATTTAACCATATGTACTGCCGTAACGTCACACTCCAGGCGGGTGACGGCAGCAATACAGGGGAACCGTGGAACACGCTTAGTTTTGCTCCCTATATACGTATTTTCGTCACTTTTTAGAAGAACTTCAATGGTTTCCCAGTTCCTTCATTTTGGAAGCGCCGTACTTAGCTGCAAAACTTGTATGCTGCCGTTTGCGTTCGCTCATTAGATTGTGATTGCTGACATCATGAAACTCAAGGGCAACGGCCGCGTGAGTGGCTTTCATAAGACCTGCGATTATTTAATGATGGTAGTAAAATTGCGCGTCGTTTATTGTTCTAATAATAAGTATCAGCAATAAAAGTCCTACCGGCAAGAACACAACATAACAAAGTGGACATACTGTATATGAGCAGATGCGATGAGCAAATGTAAGTACTAAGTATAACGATTACACACTCTGATAATCCCGCAAATTTTAATAAGAGAACATCAAAACAAAACACGTACAATGTAATCTGAGTGCTTATCCATGCAATTGTCCTGCAGTCGCGTTTTTACGCACGTGAAAGCTCCATTTTGTACTGCTGCACATATGAAGACCTAATTACAGTAACTGAAACTACGTTAACCGGTTAACGTAGCTAGAACTAATTACTCAGTAGAACGTCCACGTTCTGAATTTTATTGTGTACCTCACATAAAGAATAATCTGACGCAGAATAGAAAAAATGGCCACTCATACCGGTGTTTTTCCTCCTCAGCCGACATCAGTCGGTCTGCACAGTCCCAGATCGGTCCTGATTTTTGGTATTCTGCAAGTTTGTTTCGGAATCGCATTAATCATTACCGATATCGTCAGTAAGTACAGTGACACCATGGTCTACCAAGATTTAACCAGCAAAGATTACCGAAAAATCCATTACAGATTTTAGCATCAACTGGATCAATGACGCCTTATCCTTCAGTGCTGCTGGTTCCGGGTTCTATACCGGAGCATTTTTCATCATAACAGGATCATTTGGTATTGCAGGCGGACGACGTCTAACGATGGGAGCTTCACCACGCTCGCGTCTATGTTTTCTTATCACCTCCATGGTGCTGAGCATTCTATCCACACTCTTGGCCACCGGTCTGATAACTGCCCTTGCCGTTCTCCTCGCCAGCCACCTTGACTTTACCCGTTATCGCTATTGCGGGTATGGATACAACAGCCCTAATACGTACATGTGCAATTTCTACCTGCTCCACATTCCGGCTATTATGGGCCCCCATCTGGCGTTCCAGGGTCTTATGTGGATTTTCTGTTTGGGTCAGTCAATTGCCGCCGGGATCAATATATGTAAAATGCCCAAGAAGGCAACTGCCATGCAAGTCGTATATGTGCAGCCTGGGTACGGTTATCCTCAAGGTGCTCCTGGCCAGCCGATCCACTTTGTGACGGGGCAACCAGCGGGAATGGGTGGCCCGCCTGTTCTAGTGGGAAATACAGCTCAACCGCTGAAGTCGTGAAAAGCGAAGCCAAATCCCTAATGTGCTATAAACGGTGAAAGCGACATGCAAAATTTTATGAATATGGAATATGGATTATATTTGACCGTTACTTTTTTTCCCAATAAGGGCAGGAGTTTTTGCGGTGGTGATGCCTGCGCAACCTGTGCTATTTGCGATGTTTGTATATGCTAATAATCTAACAGAATAAACTAACATTGTAGCAACTAAGACTCCTGCAAGAACATATCATTTATTGTCATCTCAACAACGTTGATTGCATTTGACTCAGTTGAGGACATGATTGATGATAAACTTGCGCACAAAGCACGCGCATATAGCCGTATACAGGAGAAGATAATGGATACAGTCCTTACCTGACAATCGTTCAAGTGAAAACATAAATGCTTTAATCACGACGTTTGGAAGAGGGTGCCATCGATAGTGTGAAGCAAGGACCAGGGTCACCAAAATGAAGCTCGCCCGTTACTGTACTCGTATCCTAATCGGCTGCTTGGTGAAAAGGGCACAGAAGAAAGTGAACCGCATTGAAGTGTATTCTATCTATCTCAGTCGATTCAGTTAATTAATCAGAATCACCCGACCATTTTTGAAAAAAAAGATCAAAGCTTATTTTCGATAGTGTGAAACACAGTAGTTTCTCAAATTTAGTGACAGTCGTCTTAATTACTGACAGTTTGTATCCTGCATTGGGCTACGAGATACGAGCATATATTTCGCAGTCTAATGCAAGACACAAAGTGTACAGTCAGGCTTCAGCCAAGGTCTTACTCCAGCAAATGGAACTCAATCCTGTTTATTTCACCTATTCTATTAAATGTTACAGTGAGTTTGAAAAATTCATGACAGGAAGCTGAAGTGTAACAAATCCCATAGGATAAACACAGTAATTCAATGCACTTACGGTGACTTACCGCTTGTACGGTGACTTATCGCTCTTCGCGTTAGTGGGGCTGAGTGCGCGTAACTCGCGCAGGTTGTCCTTGCCAGCAGAAATGTAGAGCATAGCCAAGCATACAGTAGCTACATACCTCTTCCGCAATATGGCACTCGTTTTTAGTATGACTAAATAATTACGCGGTCACAATGAAAAGCTTGTTTTCTGGCATTGCATCCCACCTGGCAGCCGGAAGTCAATAGGACGTTTTCCTACCGCGACAAAGATCTTGAATCATACTTCAGCCCTACCTTCCTTTCTCGAGATGGAGCAACATTTGTATCTAGAAATTTCAAGTCACTACTTGCTGAAAGGTGAACTCGCGCTCCAGTAATATCTTGCAAATCAATACCTATATGCACCTCGCTTTTCTGATGGGAAATCGATCCTGTAACGACGGTGCGATTTCTTGCTAACGCTACACTGACACCGAGAAATCCGTGATAATACTTACAAGCATGTCACGAGACCCTTATGGCAGTATACGACGCTACTTGCACGTGATTTTATCCCAGTTTTCACACTCGGAAGAAGTATCAAGACAGGTAGCATCGTGGCACAGTACTGCAATCGCCTTTGCAGTCATTTTATGTAAACCAGAAAGATCGTGCGATAATAAAACCACCCACCAGGCGAATATCTACCGTTTTCGATGGCTACCAAGGTGTCTCCTATGATCCCCGTTCCCGCTCCAAAGCCCGTTCCGATGTATCCCCGTGTTCTGCCAGCACTTGGCATACTTCAGTCCGTTGCTGGCTTTGGACTATTCGGCATGCAGTGCCTCGGTAAGTCTGTCGTTGCATTAGCGAAAATCGTGTGTAAGTGCTTTGGTTTTGCTAAAAGTATTTGGGTGATAACAATGCTACCTCCCAAGTTTTCAACAATACCAAAACGCATTCCGCATTTTGTCAGTACGTATCCCCGAGTAAAACAACTTGCAAAAAAAACGTTAGCTTAACGTTAGGAAACGGCTAAAAATGACAGACATCCGTTTACCTAGCGGTACTTACATGTTAAACTAACGTTTTTCCTACAAGCTGTTTTAATCGGGATCGTTGTTAATTTATTTACCAGCCGAAGTATATTTCTTTTAAAAATGTCGACTGAACAAAAAATCAATCCGTCCGAGTTTTAAGTAGATTTCATATTTAAATAGTAAGGCGCATATTCTTTGTCCTTTAGCGCGTGAAGTATCGCCGACGAGTCGGGGACATAATTTTTAAACATATTGTAACCGTTTTCAGCGTTTTGTAGCGTATGGCTCAGGCCACACCTCGGGGGTCGGTTCGGGGTTTTACGTGGGTGCGTTCTTTTTTTTCCTCGGGCCATGTGTGTACATTGCCGGAAAAAGCACAGGAAAGGACGACAAGAGCGGTTTACCCATATTCCTTTGCATATGCGCGATTCTCAGTGCATGCGGCTTCTTAGCCGCTCTGTTTATCCTCGCGCTATCTAAGACATCAGATGATTTCGCTTACCCTAGCCGCAGTCCATGTGTGCCAAAGAAACACTTACACTGGGACTCGTCTGATTCCGAATGGAAACCCACACCCTGGTTCAGGACGACTACGTCTACAATTACTACGACAACCACTACCGCAAACCCATTAAATTCTGTGGAATGCCAAGATTTTTTGCGGCAAAATTCGAGTTTAAAAGCCGGGATTTACGTCTTTCTGGCCCTTGATTTGTTAGCTGGTTTGGGTGCATTTGTCGCATCCGTAATTTACTGTTGCTGTTTTTCACCCGAGTAACATCATCTGGCAATCTGACAATTACTTACACGAATTCTCTTACGTACAGCAAAAAAGCAGGCAAAATCTCTTAAAAGAAGCCAAACCAATGCTTTGAACCACTGATTATTTGAATCGTGCTGACAATTACTGCATTACAGAGTAGCGAGAGTAGGTGTCTGATTTTTTATTACCATATTTTACATCCCTAATCCCTATCTAGTCAAAGGTCAACTCACCTGAAGGAACACCCAACAAAAACATCTCATCGACTGTGCCCGTTTTTCTTTTCATATTTTGGGCTCCGAATCGCCGTGCAGGTGGTTAGCAAACGCAATTGTTTTCGAATATTCAATTCTCTTTTGGCGGTGCTGTTGATGCTGGTTCGCTGTAGAAGCGTTGCAGAGTCCATATTAGTGATAGTATAATCAAATGGTAAGCACAAGTTGCCGCATCTCCGGCACCGTTATTAACATAAAATATTACCCTAGCGGCGTAGTAAACATAGTGCACGTGACACGGCCTGCCATTAATGCCATAGGTTCTCCCAGTGGCTGAAGGCCTGTTTTCCATTCTTCCTTTTTACACCGCAATGGTCTTTTTGGTAAGACGCTTGTACGCTGTACTGCTGCTACTTTGCACTTGCATGGCACGGGGCGTATATCATTATCTAAAGAAAGTACTTTCCGAGTCACCCACACGAGATCGATGATGCTTGATCACGATAACACAAACATTTTATTGATTTGCAACATGCACATTGTACTCTGCAAGCCGGCTTTTTTTGCCAGTGCGCTTCTGTAGCAGCGTAATGCAGTTCCTTGGAATCGCCGTGGGAAATTACTTAGACAAACAGCGTTCATTTCTATCTGTAAGTTTACCCAGACAGACAGATCATGATCCAAAATTTCTTGGAATGTGACAAGATCGCTGCAGCGTAAGTTGTTCTAGTTCTCTTCAACACCCAAGCGTCAGCCAAGCACTTCTGGGTAAAAGCTCTCTCCAGCTACCGCGGTTCTTAACAAAGTTCCGACAGACAACGGAAATCTATCGATAACGGCTGCAGAAGTCACAACTGTTCACTCCCTCGTGCCTGTTGCCGCTGATCCGGTAACAATATCCGGCAATCCACGAGCACTGGAGATATTGGGTATCCTTCAGTTTGTCGTAGGAATTGGTCTCATTACCTCCCAAAGTATTGGTGAGCGCTACAATCATACCGTGCTTAAACCTGGTTAAAAAATACTTAGCAATGCACATTTTTTTCGGCATATGACAACAACGTTACAATTTCGCTCGGTTTGGCATTCTACTTAGGTGTGATGAATGTATTTATCGGACCGATTGTATACGCTGTAGCGAAATACATGGTCAAGGGTGACCCAACACTGGTTCTTATCCTTCTCATCAAATGCACAGTTCTCTGTGGCATCTGCATCTTAGGAGCTCTGCTTGTCCTGGTGGTGAGCTCCGATCAGGAACAGCCGTCCGATAATCCGTGTGCTCTAAGGTCTTGCGGGTCATGGTCATGGTGCAGAAAGTTGCCGGAGCCGGCAGCCCGACCGAATACACCAGAGTGCGTGCATTATGCAAAGCTAAGCGCGACAGTGCACGGCATGAATACGACATTCCTTGTCCTTGGCGTAATCGTGACACTGGGTGGGGCCATAGCGTCGGTGGTTTACCAGTGCCTAAAAAAGGAATAACAAGATTAATCCCAGGATAGCACTATTCTTTTACCGAACGGCTTTGTTCTTGCTGCTTACCATGAGGTTTTCAACTACTATAATACCGACTATGCTACCGGTAATGGTTTCCCACTGTCTTCCACACCTCGTACTACGCAGAAATTCGGAGCGTTTGTTGACACGTTTTAATAGGAATGTAATTTTTTCTACGTTCCGTTGCTGCAATTTGTTGCCGTTATTGCCATTCTTTAATAAATATTTTTTCAGCTTTTGTGATAATAAATACAGCACAGTGCACACTGAGTATAATACTATTAAAATCTTATTAGGAATTTGAGTTGAGCGTTCCTTGTGAGCTGGTGCATCATCATTAAAAATCGACATAATTGAACAGATTTGAACTGTATACTGCAACCGTGCAAATATTCCTAGGTACATAGCTGCTGTGCATAACGCTGTAGTGCAGTTCCACTTCCAACTGCAACTCGGCGCTACAACTAACCAGGGGCCGGTCACCGCCCCCCTCATAAAAATTTCATGTTTTGTTTGAAGACAGAACATGTATGGGGAACACTTAAAAAAATACTTCTGTCGGCAATGGTCCAGTGGGCGTGGCCAAAACAAATATAAGTGCCGTATGTATTGTCAGTGTAAGTACATTGCATTGGAAATACATACGGCACCCCGAGCAATGTTACTTGTTATCACTGCATTTGCAGACTTGCTTCTTGACTATTAATTCTTAATTTTGGTTTTTACAACATTCAATTTTTAAAAATCTAACCGGTAGTCGATTTGATTTGATTTGATCGCACTGCTTACCTCTAAATTCTTCTCTGTGCTGCACCACGCGCGCGATGCTGGCAAGTACAAAGAAGTTCACAAAACTTTGACATTGTCAAGCCCGTCAGTAAAAAAAGAAAAATTTAGCGAAGAAAAACTCAAAACAGAAGTTTTCACCAGTACGTTGAACACGGTTTATTGAGAATACGTACATACGTACACTGGCCATATAATTATTATATAAATCTATATAGTGCCGTATGTTTTGCCAGTGCACTAGCAATACATACGGCAGTTAAATTTGTTTTTAGCCACGCCCACGGGACCATTGCCGATGAAAACACTTATTAAGTATTTCCAATACCTACTCTGTCTTCAAGCAAAATATGAAATCTTTCTGAGGGGGGAGGCGGTGACCGGGCCCTGGTTAAAAGTGCAACAGTGGACCACGTCCCTAATCAAAATAGTAATCATAATCATAGTAATCCTAATCAAAATAGTAATCATCAGTCAAGGCGCTACGCATTGACATGTCTGATGGAGGAATTGCGATGTAATGTTTGCTAATTAGCATTACTGGACGGGATTATAATCCCGTCCAGTACGGAGAGTTGGAAACAGACGTTAATCTTTGAACTTCATATGCTTAACTGCCTGATTCGTAGCGCCACCAAGAAGCTTTCTGCTCTACGGTTTCCCCAGATGCTGGAATTCGGGCTGGACAGCTGTTTTAATCGACTGAGCGATTCAGTTTAGCAAACTGTGGCATTTTCATGTTGTAATGCTGTTTGTTAGTGCTCTGCTCGTACACGGTATGGCACGTTCTTATTTTTATATGAGTAATGTGAAGTAAGTGCAGTACTATTGAGTCATCGGCACGAGACCGGCACTTGATCACGATAACATAAACATTTTATCGATTTGCAATAAGACTGCGGTATGTTGCAAACCGTCAATCGTGCTGCAAACCGGCGTGTTCCGTCGATGCGCTCGCACGGCAGTGTAATGCGGTTCTTTGAAAATCAGGGAGTGAAATTACTCATACTGTACATCAGCGCTTACAGTTAACAGCATCCGTCAATTTCTTGGGCTGTGATAGTGTTATTCGCATAAGTTTACTCCGGTTCCCTGTGAGTCTGTGACGCTCAGATTAAACGTCTCAGTAATTACTGTACATGTATCTCGGGTTATAACAGGGCTGAAATAAACAACAAAACTCTATCGGCAATGACTACAGAAGTAACCACTGTTCACTCCCTTCTGCCTGTTCCAGTTCCAGTAACAATTTCCGGCGATCCGCGCGCAGTGAGGATATTGGGTATCCTTCAGTTTGTAACCGGCGTTAGCCTTGTCATCTCCTACAGCATTGGTAAGCAGTCTATAAATATTAAAATAGACAGATCTGTAAGCACGGCTTCTTCGACTGCAGCGAACCATTTTTATTGCAGCATATGGCAACGATCTCACGCCAACCATCGGTTTGGGTTTCTATTTGGGCTGGATGAACCTCTTTATCGGACCGATTGTCTATTTTGTAGCGAAATACATGGTCAAGGGAGATCCAACGCTGGTGTCCTTCCTCCTTATCAAATGCACGATTCTCTGCGGAATCTGCTTCTTAGGAGCGCTGCTGATTCTGGTGATGAAATCCGATCAGGAGCATCCATATGGTAATCCATGTGCTGCGAAGACTTGTGGGAGCTGGTCTTGGTGCTACTCGGGTGGAACGACAGCGGCGCCGGAAGACCGGTCGACAACACCAGAGTGCGTGAGATATTCACAGCTGCGCGCGGCATGGCTTGGCATGAACACGACATTCCTTGTTCTTGGCTTAATAGTGACACTGGGTGCGACGATAGCATCGGTGGTTTATCAATGCCGCATAAAGAAGGCTTGACAAAATTATTCTAATACATCCTTTATCGAACGGCTTACCCCTCTCAAGCACAACATACCGATTGTCGATTCCAAGTTTTTCACAGCTCTAACTGGACTTTCATTGCAGTCTGTTGCACGTCGGTGCGTTTGTTAATTATTTTTGCTTTGTAATATTTGTGTTCATGTTGTCGTATGGAGGTACTGTATCCTATAAAACAGTAAGGATGTTATCGGTATCACAAGTTTTTTTGTGAACTGCTTTATTCAGCTTTTGTGATAACGAGCACAGCTCACTGGGCAGTGGGCACTGCAGTTTTTGGAAACTGGATTAATAATGGTACGCGGGTACCGTGAACTGAAAATCGACATGATAGCGTGTTTTTTAATTTTTTTGAAACTACGGATAGTTTTCACCGGATTGCGAGTTCGCGTATCTGTAATAGGACGATATTAGAGATGTCTTCCATTACGGGTTAAGCGGGATAGGCTAAAGAAGGGCGTACCTGAAATGCCGAAGGCACGCTTTGCGAATATATCCTGAGTTCCTGTCAATAACCTGTTCAAGTGATCGACACAGTCAAGTTGACTTGAAAATACAATACCACGCTAATATTTAAATAGGAAGCTACTTCAAGCTAGATTTGTACATCAGTCCATAAACTGTACTTGTACCTCTTCTCGTTTGCGGTACTACTACGTATACTACTGGTGTACTTCTACTTACGTTTGTAACCGATCACTTGTACTATACAGTTTCATCATTTATTAGCGACAACCAGTTCACTAACAAACTATGACTACACTGTGTGGTCTACACATTAATAATATTGGTATTATGATTACAGATTCAGTAAGATCATTATGATAGTACGCATACGGCGGACGGCAGTGCCACACTCGTTTCCAACAAGATCCATACATTATGTACTTTAACACAATTTCAGTATACTTCAGTACGTACAGTATACCATTCCGGGTACCATTCTATTCTGGCACAAATAAATGGATACGAGATCAAAACAGACTGGATGATGGTGATAAATATTGATTTTTCACGGAGTGCCTGTACATTGAAAATCCGGCTTTTTCCGTCCACGTGCGTCGAGTGAAGCAAAGTCTGCCTGGATCCCAGACTGAATTTACAACAGTGCTAATAGTAAGTACAAGTGTTTTTGTAAACCAGTTACAAGTGAAATAGTTCCGCTTTTTCGTTCTTGCTGAAGTTTGACAAAGGCATTTTTCATTCACCTGGTTATCAGGCTGGATTTTCTGGAGGCTGCTTTTAACAGTCATAGTTTCTCACTGTTGCACATCCAACATCAACCGACAATGGATACGAGTACAGGAGCAACAAATATAACGGTTTATTCCCTTGCACCAGTTCAAGATCCAGATACAGTTCCGAGAAATCCATCTGCTCTGCGGATCCTTGGCATCTGTCAGTTTTTAATTGGTGTTGCCCTCATAGTCTCCTATAGTCTCAGTAAGTTCTACACTGCCTCGAAATGTCTCCTCATTTTATTCATCACAAGAACATGCCGTGCATAATTTCCTTGCAGCATACGGTTATGGAATTTCGGACGTCATCGGTATGGGATTCTATGTGGGCGTGATAAACGCTTTTATTGGACCGGTTGTCTATGTTGCGACGAAATGCATCCAAATGGTTAAGGGTGACCGATCGTGCGGGTGCATGTTCCTGTGGAAATGCACGATGCTCTGCGGAATCTGCTTCCTGTTAGCGTTGCTTATCTTAGCGCTGGGTGCCGATCACGCGAAACCGTACGATAATCCGTGCGCTGTCAAGTCGTGTGGAGATTGGTCGTGGTGTGCCAAAACGACACCCGCGACGGAGGACCGGTCAAAATCACTAGAGTGCCTGAATTATTTACAACTAAGTGCGACACTGCTGGCCGTTAACAAGGCGTTCCTGGTGATAGCAATGCTAGTAACGCTATGTGAGACCATTGCATCGTTGGTTTACCAGTGTTGTCTCGCAGACACGTAATAAATTTGATATTTTCGCTACTTTTTCTTGGGCATGTGACTTATCGACAGCCGGCCTTTGGTCTATTTAAAATGCGTCAGTTTCTTACCGTGTTTTACACCTGGGCTTCCTTTTCTTTTAACTGCATTCCCAATTGCTGTTTTATGAGCTGTGAGACGAGGCCTCACTAGCGTTCACGCCCGTGGCGCTAGGCGCTACGCCTTTGGATTACGGTCTGTGTTGTGTCTCGCTTCTGATTGGCTTGCGCTTTATTAGTGGGCGCGGCATAGCACGTGCTGCACAGCGTTGCACGCTGTTGAATTGGCTCTACGTTTTACGATCGAGCTGCGCCGATCACTTGTTGATTTCTGTTCTCCAGACTTTCAATATTATTAAAAGTCAGCGATTTACGGTGCGACGTTTGTGTTTCCGCATAGCTCGCGATCCAGGTCGTATCGCTCACTTCTACGGGATAGATTCCGTTTCTGTCTCCGTCTGTGGATCTATTCTGGATCTACCATTAGATGGTAGCAGAGCCGACAGCGGTTCTCTGATTTGAGTTGACTGATCTGATTCAATTTTGTCAGGCATATCTGGCCTGTTATCTGACGTGTTTACCGTGACCAGTAAGGCACAGGTCGATTCCACAGCAAAGCGCAACACCACAAGCGGTGCGAATTCCTCATCTGACGTGGATTACCAGCTTTGGTTTTCGGTACGGTATCTTCAGCGAAGAACCGTGCTGTTTCCTTAGCTGTGAAAGAGTACAAGAGTTCAGTCGTCAGCGTTCCTCGGTGTAGAGTCTTCAGCGAAGACCTACACTGGTGTCGCTGAAACTCGGCAAGGATTCAGCGAATCCTAAGCCGTGGGGCACAAGAGCCGAAACGCCGAAAGGGGCGCACGGGAAAAGACAGATCAGACTCCACCAAACTGGTGTAGAGCGTAAAACTACTGCTGCTACGGCACAACCGGCACAGTAACCTACTGATAGCGCGAGGCACGCTACGGAACAGCGGCGACGCGGGAATCGGAGTGTTGGAAGAAGAATCTGGATCAACTGGATCATTTCCCCGTGGAACGCGGAACGGACGGACGGGTAACAGGTAGAAAAACCGTTATTAATTACGGGATTGGCTAGTTGGTAAATTTGGCAATTTCTATTGGTCCGTACTGAGCTGAGTGTAGACGTAGGCGGAGTTTTGCACGCGGCACGCATGTCTGGCCGTTGACCGTGACGTCAGGCAGATATAAAATTTAAATGGACTAATGTGATTGGTCAGTTATCTGAGCTGTAATTGGCTGAAATTTGAACTGAACATTTTGAGCTAGCAGACCAATCAGAACGAGGTAAACAACCCGAATGGGGATTTTCCGTTGAACTTGAGCGATAATGGGAAATTTGATTTGAGATGAGATAAGTGAGACGGAAAGTGACCTTTGATAGTGTTGAGCGGGAAAGTGACCTTTTAACAGAAATTGAGTTGGAAAAGTAACCTTTTGAGTTGAATTGAGTCGGAAAGTGACCTTTGAGACCAGAACAGGACTTTTGACCTGAAAAGTGACTTTTACTGAAAAGTTGGAATTGACCTAATCGATCTATCTAAGTGACCTTTAAGATCGGGAAGTGACCAACGGTGACCTTTAACGAAGTTGGAATTGAGTCGATTAATAGTACAGCGATATCAGTAGCTGTAGGATTTCATTCGTTAACATATTCTGAGCTGTAAAAGCGGTTTCGAAGTTTTGTCCGAAAGTGACCTTTTAGGGCAAATCTCTCGAACTTTTTACCAAAAAAGTGACCTTTAAACGGGACTTAGTCAAAATTTTTCAACCGAAAAGTGACCTTTAACAAAGACTTTGAAAAATTTCAAAGTACAAAGTGACCTTTAGGATACTTGAATAAACCATACAATAACGTGTGTGTGAGAACAATTGGCAGGAGCGTCCAAGTTATCCGATCAACATGGACAAAGACCAAGAGGAACCGACATCCAACAGCAGTCAGGGAAGCAAAAGCTCCCGAAGCTCACAGCAAGGTGCACCAAATCCGTACAAAAAGATTTGTACCCGTACTCACGTCCAGTTGGACATGAGCGGAACACTCGAGCGCCCAAGGCATTCGAGAAGAAGGATTCACGAGGCTCTGATAGTACTTATCAGAAGGCGCTCGAGTCAGTCGCTAATCAGGAAAGCTCCAGCGACGACCAGAAGCACACTCCCGCGTCTACGGCGGGAGGCAATCCGATGAACCAGACAAAGGTCACCGGGGAGGACAAACCCACAGAAAGGGGAGCGGAACTAGTTGGGGCATCACAGTCGGATGCTACCACTAGCGGAAGGAATGAGCAGGATAAAAACGTGAACCTGACTCAAATGGAAGTAGATAAGACAAAGGTCACCGAAGAGGAACTCGTTGAACTGGGCCTCGATGACCTTTCATTGAACGATAAGACCGCAGGCGATGACCTTTGGGCAACTCCAATGGTCTCAGATGAATCGAACGAGTCCTACTTCACGGATGACGAAGCGACGATGAACATGTCCTTCCAAACTGCGATGAAGGAAGCTGACCGCGCTGAAGGTATGACACGATTCAAGGACATACCAGAGCACCTCATTGAACGGACACAAACTGGAAAGGTCATCAATGTACGACCGCCGTCACCGAACAGCCCCACGTCAACTTTGAGGAGACGCGTCAGCGAATTGGAAAACGAACTGGAAGTTAACGAACGACAGGCGGACAAGCGGAAACAGGAATACCGAGAAAGACTGACCACACTTGAAACCCGCCTGTTTGATCTGCAACAACAACAGGGTGACCTTCAAAGTGCCGCAGATGGTTGGAAAGTGAAATATGAAAGACAGAAAGAACTGGCCGATGAATATTTGAAAATGGCAGATGACAGAGAAATGGAAGGTCATCTTGCAGTCAGTGACCTTAACGAGAGTATGTCCGAAGAAACAGCGGAAAGGTCACGACACTTAGCCGAACTGAAATACGAATGTGACTCACTGAAACTAAAGGTCACTGAAGCGGAAGCTAAGAGAGACGAATACGCGGCCAAACTCATTGACGCGACTCAACGGTTGTTGACAGATACCAACGAGGTGCTTAAGCTCAGAAACGAATTGAAGCTGCGCGACGAGAGTATCGGAACCCTCCAGAAGGAATCACAGGATCATCAGAGAAGAGCCGACGACGCCGTCAAAGTGGCTAAGGACCTGCGTGAACTCACAGCCACCGAAGGCGCACGGTTGAGCAACGAAATCAGACAGGTCATGGAAGAGAACCAAGCGTTGAAGGAGGATAACAGAAAGGTCACCGAGGAGAATACCGAGCTGAAAGGAGCCACTAAGACATCTGCCGAACAGGGCAGGAGGTGGAAACATGAGGCACACCTCTTGGATGAAAAGGTCACGGTGCTCGAACTGAAAGATAAAGAATGGCAACAAACGGTCCATCAGAAGTCACAAGAGATCATCAGACTCAACACGGAGCTGATCGATATGACCCAAACGGTAATGACGAGGGAAGATGAGGTCACCCACACAAAGAACCAGCTGAAAGCGGCAGCTGAAGAATATACGAAATTGGAAAGAGATGTTACCCAGTTGGCGGAACACATCAGGAGGGTGGAAAATGATACGGAGAAGGTGATCCAGGAGAAAACAATTCAACTCCACCAGAACATGTTAAAGGTCAACCAAGAAAACCAGAATCTGAAGAACGAGAAAGAGCAATCTGACTTAAAAATCAGGCGCCTCGAAGATGAGAATAAGGCGCTTGTTATGTCTAATAAGCACAAAGATGAACAGCTTCTGCAATATGGAGTCAGGACCTCAACAGTGGAGTCGCCCCCGCCCAGTTACAGCAAGGCGCACGAAACGGGCACGGGCAAAAGCTTCCACTTTGATATGCCGCTACGAACCGGTACTGGCAGAGGAAGTGTCAAAAACGAAAAGGACGGGGAAAAGGTCAAAGATGACAAGGAGCCACCATCGGAAACTTATTCCCATTCGAATCGCGGTGATCCCACCCAATTTCATCCACATATTGAAACGAAAATCCTCATTGATGAAGGGAAACAGGATAGACCGTCTAGCCGTCAAGAACGCCCAAGGAAGTCCCGCTACGCAAAGGCGAAGCGAAACCAGGAAGATGACGACAGTGATTCTAGTGCAGTAGAAGATCAAGATCCGACACAGAAATTGGTAAACGCACTCAATTCGATGGCACGGAAAACGACATTGGTGACCTTTGACGGAAGTCGCGACGCAGTGAATGGTTGGACACAATTGGTCAGAGACACCCAACGGACATATCATCTCACTGACGATCAGATTTTGATTGAAATAGCCAGCGCAGTCAAAGGACCGGCGAAGACCTGGTTCGAAGGAGAGAGAGAAATCGCACTCCAAGAAGAAACGGAATACACCATTACAGAATGGATGGCCAAGTTTAAAGATGAATATGGAGACCGTGACGAGGAAGTTCTTGGCTTACGAGAAGCTATGGCAAGGAAATTTGACCTTGGAAAAGAATCGCTTGATCAGTTTTATCAAGCGATTATGAAATACAAGGCGAAGAGGATCATAACTGAAAAACAGGCAGTCGGATTCCTGATCGAAGGATGTAGAGTGGATGGTGACCTTTATAAGGCACTACGCACGCAACAGTGCAGGACTCCAACCGAAATCAAAGATTTCTTCCGTCACTGGTCAGCGGGAGAAGACAAATATAAGGCGCCTAAAGGTCAACGTAATCAGGAATACGTGACCATCCGCCAAGGCCAAGTTGAAAATGTACCGCAACAGAGGATGGCGGCTGCACCAGTCCAACAGCCAGTCGAGTACCGCAGAGAGGCGCCGGTCCAAGAGGTCACAAAGGAAGTGACCTTTATCGACAGTCAGACGGGACAACCGATAACATATGCGATGGTGGCGGCGATACAGGCACCAGCTCAAGTGAGACCAGTAGCCCAGAATATGGCTCCCCAGAATGTAGTCCCACCTGCACCACAGAATATGGCCCCTATGAATGTCGTGTTACCACAACAAGGAGGGGGTAACGGAAACTTCGGCGGAAATGGATACGGCAATGGAAACTGGAATGGAGGTCAGGGGAACTTCCAGAATCAGGGACAAGGTCAAGGTCAAGGAAACTTCAGAGGGAATCAACAGCAGAATCAAGGGTCACGAACAGAGTTCAAGTTCCAGATGATTGATGGATGGGTGGCGAACAACGTTCAGATGTGCCAGTACTGCATGTATGGCAATCATCAGACACAGGGGTGCAAGTTCGCCAATACACCACCAGAACAGAACCCGAATCTGTTTGCCTTTAACGAGTGGCAACGCCTCCGAGCTATAGGTGGCTGGCGCCCAGCGGTCGCAAACGGATATGACCTCATCACCCAATGGTACCAACACAAAGCAAACTTCCAAAACCAACAAGGGAACGGAAACGGTAACTATGGAAACGGAAATGGTGGTGGCCAGAATGGTGGCTACGGCCGCGGTGGCTTCGGCCGCGGCGGCTTCAGAGGAAGGAACAGAGGCTATGGCCGCGGAAATTACAGAGGCGGTGGAAATGGAGGCGGAAACTACCAACAGGGTGGTGGCCAGCCAAACGGAGGCGGCCCGGTGAATGAACAACAACAAGGAAATGTGCAAGGCGTGCAACAAGGTGGGGCGCCGGTTCAGGGAAACGGGCAAGATCAGTAGGCACCGGTGAGCCTACTGATCGTCCCGACCCTAAACCACCGGATAAAAGGGAAAGGTCACCACTGCAGAATAGTACTGCAGTGAATGTGACCTCTGCAACGGCTATATGGATGCCGTCAGCGAAAAAGCAAAATGGACCGGCTATATGGATGCCGCAACCACAAGAAACGGCTAGATGGATGCCGCCACAGCAAAGAGAAACGGCTATATGGATGCTGTCATCGCAAAGAGGAAATGGAACGGTTATAGGGATACCGTCACAAAGCGAAAGGTCACCGCAGAATGGTACTGCGAGTGGAAATGTTCAAGTGGACAAAAGGTCACCGCAGAATGGTACTGCGAGCGGAAACGCGCAACGGGACCAAAGGTCACCGCAGAATGGAACTGCGAGTGGAAATTGTCGTGACGGTAGCGCGACACTGCAAAAAGTGCAGCAGAACGAAAGGTCACCGTATTGCAGCGAAGAAGTGTTAGCGCAACGACGCGCACAACGGAACGCAAAGATTAAACAGGCGCTGCTGAATCAGAAGAAACCGCAGAACGATACTGCGCAAGAAGATAACGAGCAGCATGCGAAATTCCGAAAATTTTTGGCAGAAAACGATAAGGCGAATGAGCCAAGTTGCGATTGTTACGGGGAGCCAAAGCCAAAGTTTTGGAATTGTTCAGAAGACGAAGAAGAGAAGCTGGCAAGGCAAGAATGGATTAAGCAGAATATCACCGTCAGTAGTAAAGATGAAAGGTCACCTTCCGTTGGAAAAGTTCAAGTGAAAGGTCGCGGAGTAAGTGCGAACGCTAAAGGTCACGGTGAAAGTGCCGTGTTAAAAGGTCAAGAAACAGACTTGACACTGCGAACAGCGCAGCAAAAGAATAGCGAAACGGCACAACAGAACTCCGAAGACTCACTTGTAGATGCAATAACGCTGCAACGGAAGGAAATCTGGCAAAAAGTGGCCTACAGACCGAATGGGAATCACGGGATGTGGATACCCGTAACGCCGAAGGCAAAGCAGAAAGCAAAAATGTCACAAGAGGACTACTGGGACATGCAACAGTTGCGAACGCAATGTGAAAGAAAGCGACTAGAAGAGTTGGTTACCGGGAAACCAGCGCAAGGGTCACCGAACCCAGTCCCAGCATTCAACGCAGAGGAATATAAGAAGACATGCGCTGACTGGAATTATTCACGTAATGCTCCGCCACAGGATAAACCGCCGAATTACGGAGAAAAAGTCCCCTTACAAAAGCTGACAAACGGCGGATTTGTCATGAAGCGCAACGAAAGGTCACAGGACTTAGCGCAAAATGAACAGAAAGGAAGGTCAGATGAAATGGCGCAAATGCAACAGAGTGGCACAGTTGAAAGGTCACGGGTCTTATCGGAGGCACTGCAAAAGGATGCCAATGACGAGTCACCAGCCCGAACAGACGGAATGTCTTCACAAATTGATCAGACGAAAACGAACAATGAAGTGTCCGCGAAGGTGATCGAATGGATGACCGAAAAGGGATATGACATGGTTACATATGAAAGGTCACCAGATGAGATGAAAGATAGCGAAGAAGACGAACTGAAGCGAGCGGACCAAATAACAAGTGAAGTCATTGAGAAGTTGAGAGATAAACGAAATGAAAATCGCAAAGAGGAACTGATCCATCAAACGATAAATGAAGTGACTAAAGGTCACACGGATAGCACAAAAGCAAATGATCAAGTGCAGAACGTGGAAAAGGTCACCGGTGATAAAATTGCTACAGAGAAGCGAACAAATAAAGAAAAGCCGCGAAAATATTACGATGTTCGGACTAACGTTCCACATAGGATTGATAAGCTGAGCGAGATACTGAAAGGTCATAGCACCCCAGCAAAAGGACAAGTGCTTCCCGATATGGATCCGGGACCAGTATCGCTTATCCCTGTGAAATGTAAGATTCACACCTTGAAGATTCAAAATGGAAAGTTACCAAACAGAATTGAAGCATATACACACGAAGTGAAAGTGGGAGACATAAAGGTCAACGCAATGCTGGACACCGGCGCTGAGACGTCGCTGATCAGCAAACCGTTTTGCGAGAAGAATGGACTTCATATGCTCCCATTGCCACCAGATAGATTGGTGAAGATTAACGGAATTAGCGGAACGTCAGGATTCCTGGTGACGCATTACTGTGTAGCACCAGTGACCTTACGAAAGAAGACAAGCGAACATTCTTTCTACGTCCGACCGAAGTGTGACGACGTACAAGTCTTACTGGGATTTGACTTCTTGGAAAAGAAATTTGTACTAATGGATAACGAAGGTGAAGAAGAGAAAGAAGATGACCCAAAACCAGTCGCCAGAGTTCAAGTCGGAAAGGTCACCGAACTTGTAAAACAGACAGGAAATGCTAAAATGGTTAATAAAACGATAATCCCAGTACCAGAGGCACCGGGAAACGAAAATAAAAAGATGACGCGAAAAGAATTGTCACCATTTGAGCAGTTGCAAACGATTCAGCAGGAGATCAAAAACACGTTAAACCGGACAATGCTGACACAAAAGGGAAGAGAAAAGGTCATCCCAGTACCAGAGGCACCGGGAATGACGAGAGTGCAGCAGAACGAGATTAGCCAACGGATAATCCCGGTACCAGAGGCACCGGAGAAGATTAGCGAAAGCGTAAATGTCAAAAAAGTCAACGAAAGGAAAAAGGAACCACTCGCGCCAGACACGGATGAGGCGATCATATTTCTCCCGGACGGGAGAAGTATGATCGCAGATGACTGTAAGCAAGGAGACACAGAAAAAGGTGTTGAAAAAGCTATCCCAGTACCAGAGGCACTGGAAATAAAGACGGCTAAAGTGGGGAAGGATAAAAAGAGTGAAAGGTTACGGGTTTTGAAGCGAATAACTGAAGAGGAACAGATGTTTACAAGTGAAATCCGCGACAGGGCACTCGAACAGTTGAAAGGTCACCGAACACAAAAAGAACCAGAGGTCATCGAAATATCCTCTGAGGACAAAAGTGTGACTCCAATCGAATGTGAGGAAGATACCACAGCACAGGAAAAGATTAAACCGCAAGCGAGCCAACGGACATTAACTCTAGACGAACGAGCCAGGAGTTGTCACCACGGCTACTTTGAGGACCCGTGCAGAATACAACCACAATGGGAATGTGCAGAATGTTGCGAGAATGCCTCCCAAGATGACCTTTCAGAATGGCCAAGATGTAATGCCGCATTAGCAGACCTTAAAGGTCATGCCCAAAAGGAAGTGAAAAGCATCATGCGGACAAACGAAATGTGGAAACCACACATCGAACGGTATCATTGGAATAGATATCGAACGTGGTTGTCATGCGTGGAAAGTTTTATAATCGGAAGAGGCAGATGGCTAAACCAATGGGTGCAACGTGTGGAGAAAGGAATCCAAGATCCTCTCGATCCGGTAGCAACAGAAAGGAGATTTGAACGAGAGATAGAAGAGATGACCGAAGAAGGAGAAATGTGGGAAGAAGCGAGAGTTGACCTTTTCTGGGACTTCCGTGTGAACCACATGTATAAAGGCGAAGGGAGAACGATCATCTTCCCGGCAGGACTTGGTACACCTGTCTACGAATCACTTGAAGTGTACTACAACGCGTTAAAAGAGGGAAACGAAAAAGCATTCGAGAAATACTGGAAGAAATTCGAGGAAGAAATCCCCAAATTTGACGTAAAAGAAATGCGAGAACTACAGGTAACCCGGAAAAGAAGGTTACCGGGATTAATGCAAAAGAAAAAGGTGACCTTTGCACCAGATCCAGATGGAGTGGACTACCCCGAACGAGGCGGTGATACATGGTGCATGTATGAAACGATTCCGA